TGCTTTCCGCAGGGGCTTTCAAGTCCACGAGGTGGCGGCAATCACTCGCGCCTTGGTGGAGAGGGCGGTGGGATTCCGTGAACATTTATATCTTGGAGAAGGGGACTTTCGCAAACCTATGATCATGTACGACATACACACATCATACGCAATCTTGAAAGACGCAAGGTTCCACGGATGTTAACGGCAGCTTGGCACAGGGAACTTCGGGCCGCGAAGTCAGAGTTTCTACTGCCTGGTGCTGCACCGACCACGCCCATCTCGAGAACCCGATCCCTCCTGCAAGGGGGCCCTGAAGCAATACGTTTGTTTAACTTGTTCTTGGGCGTTCCGATTTTGGAGTTCGTGAAGTTCTGTGAGAAGAATGGTTGGGGATATCCGTTACAGCCCGAAGAACTGGCCATCCTGGGACAGCCCGCGAAACAACGTAAACTTGACCTCCAGAAAGATAGACTACCTTTACTTGTGTTCGGCGACAACTTTTATATTTTCGCTAGCTCGCCCGCCATGCCAGTGGCCATGTGGAGCGAGCGGCGTCATATCCTGCACAAGTTCCCCTGCGTCGCATTGCTGAATGACTGCAGGTGGACCACGGCGGCCGCGGACACCTCTGCTGACCAGAATACCGAGGCCGGAGGGCTTCCGCACGTTAGGAGCATGGATCACCATGGACAACTGCGCGACGGAAGCAGTCCGTCGGGGCATTCGCAGGGCCTGGGCTGCATGGGCGAAACACAGAGCTCTTCTCTGCAACGAGAAGTCCAATCTAGATAAGCGTTTAGGGGTTACTGGACTCCGCGGTTCGTCAAGCTGCCTTTTTCTGTTTTGGGGGCTTGAATTTCACGAAACAGCACCTGATAATGATCCGAGCAACCCAGACCAGGATGCTTAGGTATATGATTGGCCTACGCAAACATGACGATGAGGAGATGGCGAGCTAAAGGTCGAGACGTCACCGCGTGCTGCACAAGCAGATGCAAAAACATGGGATAACTCCGTGGGGTGTGTACGTTTTGGTGTTGGGTCATCGTTGGGCGGGCCACACCGCCAGGATACAGCTGTACGACCCCTCCCGCATCATGAGTTTAGTTGTACGATACAAAGACCATGAGTACCTTCAGCTTCTAGAGAGGACTCTGGGCAGCCAAGGACATCATTCTAACTTTCATGTGTGGAGATGGGAAAACAAGTTTTATCATTATTATGAGCGGAGTGAAAGACTGTTGCCTGGAAATCCGAGAAATTGAAGGCCGCCAGGGGGGTCCGGCTGCAATTGCGAAAATCGAGCTTCGAGAGCTTCACCCAGAGGCAAAAACAGAGCACCGACCACACGTGGATCATTCTGAGCTTCCAGCAGTATGCCGTAGTGAATTATTAGTTGAGTTCCTTCTAGCTTGCTAATCTAGGGTCGTGTTTTTTTTTCTCTCTCTCTCTCTCTCTTTGGATCGACTCGGGGGAAGGGGGACATTTTGCCGCCCTGTGTCACTGCAGCGCCTGTGTCTCACAGGCATACCAGTTTCTCACATCGAGCAACTTAGACGGCCAGGACTCCAGCGTCGCCCAGAGGCCGAGTGATGATGATGATGATGATGATGATGATGATGATGATGATGATGATGATGATGATGATGATGATGTCGTCGTCGTCGTCGTCGTCGTCGTCGTCGTCGTCGTCGTCGGGGGCGAACAGCCCCCTCGAAACGCCGAACAGCCCTCAAAGACGACCCCAAGGGAGGCCCAACAGGGCAAAGTCTGGAGTGCTTCCCCCCTATCATGCCCCCCCCCACGGCCATCAAGCCCCCAAGAAACCCAACAGAGGCTCCGAGACGGCCTCCGGGATGCTCCCCAACAGCTCCTTCGAAACGCCTCAGACATGCCCCTCGAAGGCCCAAGTAGTTTGAAAAAAACATTCCAAAGGCTCCTGGAAGGACTCTAGCAGCTCCGTCCAAACGGCTCCGATATGCTCCTCGAAAACACGAGATGATTGGACGCAACCCGCACCCCACATCTCTTGGCACAACTCCCGCGCGGCAGGGGTTGCATAAAATAGCTGTCCGATCCAGCCGTGGGCACCTGGGAATGCTGTTTCTGCGACCCTGCCCACGCCAAGCGTATCCTACGAGGTGTGGGCTGCAGGTTCTGTAAAAAAATATTGGGCATCCTCCTTCTCCTCTCCGTCGTCGCTCTCCTTCGCCGCATGAGCTCCTGCTGGAGCTGCTGCCGCTGCTACTGGGACCGCACTGCGTATGTTGCTAGTGGAGCTGCTGCTGCTGCTGCTGCTACTGCCCATGCCCATGGATCCGCTGCCGCTGATACTGCAACTCTGGACTTCGTCAGAATCATCTAGCAAACAGCGCACCTTGAAGCAATGAGCAGCAGCAGGAACACTCTGACCATTGACAGTCGTGGACGGTAGTCCACGGGTCAGACTGATTCTCTTCTACAATGTTGGAGCCTCTGCGTGCGAGAAGGCACGGTGCACCAATCACGTTTCTCGAGCTACCAGAGGCTCCGGGAGGCCGAAAAGCGCCCTGGGGGCAGTTCCTACCTCCTTGCGGGCCTCGGGCCACGCCCCCTACACGGCCCAGCGAGGCCCAAAGACGGCCGAAGAGGCACCCACGGCGGACCCAACGTCCCAGCAGCCCCCAAGATGGCTTGAGAAACTCCAAACTCGAAAAGGCCCCCCTCGAGGGCCCAGAGAAGGCAAAATCATGTATTCCCGAATTGAAGGATTTCGACGTTCTCGTCTTTTCGGGTTCCCGATGCTACATGATGGCTCAGGAGGCCACCGATATTGCCAAAGTCGGCCCGACAAGTTCCCAAGAGGGCCCCCAGGCAGCCCAAGATGGATTCAGGGCCGCCAGAGAGGGACCCCGATGGCCCATGACGGCCCCAAGAGGGACCGACGAGGGCCCCAAGAGGGAGAATTGGACCTTGTATTTTGCACACTCCGCCCCAGGATGGCTCTCGAAACCGCCAGCTGGTCCCCAAGACGCCATCCAGAAGCCCCCAGTTGGCCGCCGAGACGACCACCCCATGAGGGCCCAGAGAAAGCAGAACCATTGACGTCCTGTGTGTGTGTGTGTCTTATCTAAGAGCTGGCGTGCTTGCCTTGTCGGGTTCCAGGTGGTAATTCATGGCCCACGAGGCCCACGACATCGCCCCAATGCGGCCCAAGAGGCTCCCAAGATGGACAGCCCAAGAGGGCTTCAAGGCGGCCCAAGAGGGACTCCAGGTGGCACATGACTGCCCCAAGAGGGACCCAGTCCCACGAGGCCCACCAAGAGGGCACACCCAACCCCTAAATCAGTGATGTTCCCATTGGTTGTCCACGGTTTTCGACGTTCTCGCCTTTCTGGGTTTTCGATGCTGCAGAATGACCCCAGAGACCCCCAATATCGTTCCAGGGTGGCCCAACAGGGCCCCAAGAGAGCCCTCAGGCAGCCTAAGAGGACCTGAAGGCGGCCCGATAGGGACCCAAGACACCCCATGGCCGCTCCAAGACACACCCAAGAGGGCCCCAAGAAGCCTCGGGCCATGCCCCATCTACGGCCTAGCGGAGCCCAAAGACGGCCGATGGGGCGCCCATGACGGCCCCAACTGTCCAGAAGGCCCACAAGACGGCCCAAGGCAGTCCCAAGAGGCCCCCCGAGAGGGCCCACCACGTTCTCGACGTTCTCACTTTGTCGGGCTCCTGATGCGACCTGATGGCCCACGAGGCCCCCATCATCGTCCCAAGGCGGCCCATCAGGCCCCCAAGTTGCCCCCAGGCAGCCCTTGAGGGACCCAAGACGGCCGTTGCCCAAAGAACCCAAGAGGGTAAATGAGGAAACTGCAACTTGCAGTCCGCACCCTTCACCCCGAGATAGCCCCCTGGACCGCCAGCGCACCCCGAAGAAGCCCTCCAGGATGCCCACACGAGGCCCTCATCGCCCAGGAGGGCCTTTTCAGAAGCCCAAGACGCCCCACAAACAGTCTCACAGAGGCTTCCAACCAGAAGATCCTTCACAGAGCTCTGGGACCGCGCCAGCCACCCAAAGATGCCCCATCGGCGACCGAAGAGGAGACCAGATGTTGGCCATACACGCGCCGAGGCCGCGTGCTGGCCACTTCTCATGCCTCCCATGTCCCCGCTCGCTCACCGCTCCTCGCTCCTCGCCGCTCGCTCGTCGCTCCTGCCTCTCTCTGGCTCATTTCTTCTTACTCCTCCTCGCTCCTCCCGCCCCTCTCCTGGCCCCTCCCTTCTTCTCCCTCTCGGCTACCAGCGTCTGCCTCCCCCCCTCCTTTGGATCTCCCTCATCTCTCCCTCATCCCTCCTCGCTTCTCTCTCTCTCTCTCTCTCTTTCTCTCTCTGTCTATATATATATATATACATGTACATGTGTGTATTTGTCTTTCCCTTCTCGCTCCAGCCGTTGCGTTCCTTCTCCCTCCGCCCTTCTGGCTCCTCGCTGATAGCTCTTCCCTCCCTCCCTCCTCGACCCTCACTCCTCGCTCCTCGCTCCTCTGTCCACTCACGAACTGCAGGATGCGTCAGCTGGCAAGGGTACCAAGAAACAGCACTCTGCAGCCTCAAGTAGCAACAGCGAACAGCAGCAGTCCTCAGCAAGCAGCGCCAGCACACAGCCAAAGTCCGCAGAAGCAGCAACACGCTGCAGGCAGCAGCACCCTGCAGCTGCAGGCAGCAACAGCAGAGGCGAAGTTCAGAAGCCAGGCGAAGGCTGGCAAACCTGTAGCTGCTAAAACGGAGCTCTGGGAAATGGCTTTTTTTTCCAGGAAGCAGCCTGTTTACTATTTAGTGCGCCGAGCTTGATTCCGGGAATCTGTTTTTTTTCTTCCAGGAAGGCCAGTTTAGCAGCCACGGATCTGCCAGCCCTCGCCCAGTTTCTGAGAAGTTGGGCCCGACGTCATCACGAAAGTCTTTCGACAACAGCTCGGCCCTGGCCCCACGCGCCATCTCGGGCAAATTTCGTAGCCAGCGGGCCATGGGTCAGCTCTAGTCTAACCTACAACGCTGGGATCAGCGCGTGCGAGAAAGGCGAGCAGTGGAAGCAGGCTCTGGCACTGCTCGGCGAGATGCGGGAGGCAAAGCTGCATCCCAACGTCATCTCATCTCTCCTACAATGCCCTTCCGTGCGGTCGGGATGCAACAGTTTCCAAAAACAAACAAAAAACTCGTCTCTCCTACAATGCCGGGAGCAGCGCGTGGTGACCCGCAAATCGTGGCAGAGCCCGGGGGGGGCGCCGGGAGGGCCCGGCGGGAGGGCCTGCGCCTCCCAGGCTGCCCCAGCGAGTCTGAGAGGCCTCCAAGTTTGCCGAAGATGCCTCCAATACGGCCGAGGATGGCCTCGAGATGGCCCAAGACGGCGTCCAGACGGCCTCAGAGGGCCTCAAGATAGCCCAAGACGCATCCAGACGTCCGAAAAGCCGTCCCAAAGGCCCCCAGAGCGCTCCAAGAGCACTCCCAGCAGGGCCATAGGTTTTCCAAGTGCACGACTTGTGGGGCCCCTGCAGCGTCGACGACAGCCCAACAGCCTCCGAGATCGCCCCAAGCCCGCCCAAGAGAGCTCCAAAGAGAATCCCAAGGCGGCTCGAGAGCGCCCCAACACGGCCCAACAGAGCCCCAAGACGGCCTAATAGGCGCCTACGACGACCCAAGATGGCCCACAGATGGCCCACTAGAGCCCCAGATGAATCCCAAGACGGCTCCAAAAACGCTCCCAGAGAGCCCGAAGAAGTCCTCCAACGGATGCTACAACACACCACCTTGTTGTGGCATCCGTCGGGTACCTTCTGGGGGCCCTCTTGGGGCCGTCTTCGGGCCCTCTCAAGTCCCTCGTGGGGCAATTTTCGAGGTCCTCCAGGTGCTCTCAGAACCTCCTGCAAGGCTGCGAGACGGCCCAAGAGAGCTGCAAGACAACTGAGGGAAAGCCCCAGGACGGCCCAAGAGGCGCCCAAGACCGAAGATGGAGTCCCCCGGGCGCTCCGAGACGGCTCCGGGGGGTCCCAGGATGCCCTAAGACGGCTCAGAGACGCTCAAGAGGGCGCCCGGACGCCCCCAGAGGACCCCAAGCGAACCCCAGGATGGTCCCAAAGGCCTCCAAGGCAGGCCAGGGGGCTCCCGAGACGGCCCAGGAGGACCCCTAGCAGAGCCCCAAGAGGCAAACATCGTCCCTAACGGCCCAAGATGGCCCTAAGACGGCTCGGAGACGCTCAAGAGGACACCCAGACGCCCCCAGAGGACCCCAAGCGAGCCCCAGGATGGCCCCATTGGCCTCCAAGGCAGGCAAGGAGGCTCCCGACACGGCCCAGAAGGACCCCCAGGAGAGCCCCAAGCGGCAAAAGCCGTCCCAATCTTTTTCTGTCATATACATATGTATACATACATACATACATACATACATACATACATGCATGCATGCATGCATACATACATACATACAGACAGACAGACAGACAGACAGACAGACAGACAGACACACAGACAGACAGACAGACAGACAGACAGACAGACAGACAGACAGACAGACAGACAGACAGACAGACAGACAGACAGACAGACAGACATGCATGCATGCATACATACATACATACACACATATGAAATACTGTCCGTTTGCACAAGATGGCCCCAAGACGCCCACAAGAGGGCTCAAACACGGCCCGAGACGGCACCGGGACGGCTCCAGAGGCGCCCGAGACAGCCCGAGAGGCACCCAAGACAGCCTCAAGAGCGCCCAGTAACGATCCAAGATGGCCCCAAGACGGCCCCAAGATGCCCCGAGAGGCGCCCCAGACGGCTCCACATCGCCCCAAGACGGCCCAAGAGGCACCTCAGACGACCCAAGAGGGCCCCGAGAGACCCACCCCCAGGAGGATGGAAAGAGGCCCCCAAGAGGCCTTCGATGCTTCTCTCTTGTCGATCGTCGACAACTGACGATCGAAGATCGACGGGCTGAAGGATCGAGGGGAGGAGGAGGAGGAGGAGGAGGAGGAGGAGGAGGAGGAGGAAGAGGAAGAGGAAGAGGAGGAGGAGGACACCCAAAATGGCCCCCAAAGCCGATACAAGCCACCGAGATGTCCCGAGCATGACCCGAAGGAGGCCCCAAGAGAGTCCAGACACACCGAGACGGCTCCTAACGAAGATCGACGGGATGAAGGATCCAGGGGAGGACGAGGAGGGCGCCCAAAATGGCCCCAAAGCCGATAGGAGCCACAGAGATGTCCCGAGCATGCCCCCCGAGAGTGTCCAGACACCCCGAGACGGCTCCTAACGTATAGCCCCGTAAACCGAATGGACAATTACTCCAGCGTCCTATCGGTGATCCTCCCGTGCATTGGGCGCCTGGGCGGCCCCAGCGCGGAGTCCACATCATGACGGCCAGATTTCGCGGCCAGAAGGCCGCGGGTCAGCCTTGGTTAGCTACAGCGCTGGCATCAGCGCGTGCGAGAAGAGCGCACAGTGGCAGCGGTCGTTGGCGCTGCTCAGCGAGATGCGGGACTCAAAGGTGGAGCCGAGCGTCGTTCATTCTGAGATTGCATGGCTCCACGCTTGCCAGAAGGTTGCTGCCTTGAGTGGGGGTGCAGGGCCTCCAGAGAGCCGAAAGAACGCCGAATGCTCTCCCGGCACCTCCCTCCTCAGAGCCCTTCAGAGCCGGGTGCGCCCGCAAGACGCCTCCGGACGACGCTGTGGAGCCCTCGGAGGGCCTCACGCGGCCCTTGGAAGCCTCCGAAGCACCTCGAGATGACGCAGAGGCGATCCCGAGAGGTTCCACCGAGGGCCCCGGACGGGCAAACAGGCTGCGAGAAGATCGGGGGCGGCAAAGAGGGGGGTGATGACTAGGGGGGGGGGATATCATGGCGGGGGCCATGATATTTCCCCAGATGTCATGCCGCCTCTTCTTATTTCATTACGTCCCTGGCCTCCCCGCTGGGCCGCGCACATGCCGCCGGTCATGATTTGCACCCCCCCTCTTGGACCCCACCCCCGCTTGGCCGCTCCCGAGAAGAGCTGAGGTCCCGACCGTTCTCGCGCACTCTCTCGACCCGCTGCACCTCCTGGCTGCGGGTGGCTTCGCACGGGGCACGAGGCGCCTCCAGGAGGGCCTATGAGAGCCCCCGGGAGGGCCGAAGACGGCCCCAGGATAGGCTTACGTCGGGCCTGCCCTTCTATAGGCGGGATATTCAAAAATAAAGGAAAAACAATTTTATCCCAGTGCGACCCTACCTAGGAGTTGGAACCCCTAGGAAAGCAGCATTAGTAGTAACAGTAACGCTAAGCTAAAGCTAAGCTGAAGCTAAGCCACAGCTAAGCTAAAGCTAAGCCACAGCTAAGCTAAAGCTAAGCTAAAGCTAAGCTAGAGCTAAGCTAAAGCTGAGCTAAAGCTGAGCTAAAGCTAAGCTAAAGCTAAGCTAAAGCTGAGCTAAAGCTAAGCTAAAGCTTAGCTAAAGCTGAGCTAAAGCTAAGCTAAAGCTAAGCTAAAGCTAAGCTACAGCTAAGCTAAAGCTAAGCTAAACGCTAAGCGAAAAGCTAAGCGAAACGCTAAGCTAAAGCTAAGCTACAGCTAAGTAAAGCTAAGCTAAAGCTAAGCTAAAGCTAAAGCTAAAGCTCCCAGGGGACTGGGGTGAACCGCGGGGCGGGGACTGGGGGAACCGCCCGGGGCGCTTTACACTGCCCGGCCCCTTTAAGCTAAGAGAGTAAGAACCCTTCTAGACAGAGCCTAGGTAGGGAACAAATCGTCTGGGGACGATGTTTTGGCAATTGTTTTGCATGTGGGAGGTTTTTTTTGAATATTTTTAATTTTTCCCCCAAAATCCGCCTGTAGGGGGACAGGCCCGACTTAAAGATTGGCCAAGCTGGGGCCCGGCTGGCTTCAAAGATGGCTCCAAGACGGCCTGAAGACAGCCCATAGACCGCCTCAAGATGGCCCAAGCGACACGACAACGTGCCCGCTGAGGCTCCCAGAACAGCACCCTGAGGCCTCAAGGGACTCCCAGCTGTGGCCCCAGGGAGCCCAAGAATCGAAAAATGACAAACGCCGTACACATAAACTTGCGGCGCTCCGCGCGGATTTCTTGGATCCGCGCTGGGCCCCCCTGGCGGCGCCTCTTGCGACGCCCTTGGCGCGCTCCGCGCGAAGCGCCACAAGTTTATGTCTATGCCGTTTTTCGCTCCTCGAAAGAAACCCTCAGAGAAGCCACCAAGAGGGGAGAGGGCCCCATGAGCGGCCCGAAGGGAGGCCAGGTGTTCTGCAGCACGCTCGCCCAGACCATGAGGATTGCTCCTCGATCCTCGCTCCACGCTCGCTTCTCGCCCCTCTCGCCTCGCTCCTCGCCCCTGCCTCTCCTTGTTCCCAGTTTCTGTCGTCGCACTCCTGCTCACACTTCTTTTGGGGGATCGTAAGACTCGAGGACGCCGGAGCTCGGGTCTGCCGACGCCATTTTGGACGAGCGCGTCCTGGGTGTACGTACGGTCCAGCTTCCGTTGGACGCTTGCAGCGGGAGCTCGCGCCAAACTTCGGGCTGGGCCTCGTCATTTTCACGATCGCCCCGTCGGGCCCACCCGAGTCCCCCGAACCCGAGTCATACGTCTCCCCGACATTGCCCTGCACCACAGAGATCGTGCCACGTAGCTTGCACCACGTAGCCTGCACCTCATAGCTCGGACCACATGAGTTCTCCTCTCTCTGGAGGAACTGGTCGGGTGTTGCTAGAAGTGCCACTGGCCCAAGGTGCCCCCAGGATTTCCAAGGCTTTCCAAGGTGCCCCCAAGGTGGCCCGAGTCGCACGTCTCCCCGATTCCCTCCTGGCCCCATCGCTTCTCCCTGTCTCGGCTGCGGGCGCCCACCTTCCCCCCTCCCATGCATCCCTCCCTCTTCGGCTCCCCCCTTCGGCCCTCGCTGCTCCCTCGTCCGCCGCTCCTGCTCCTCGCTCCTTCCACCGCCCCCGTCGATCCGGAATTCCTCGATCCGAATTCCTCGATCCTTAATTGCAGGTCGGGCATGTGCTCCTACAGGCGGATCTTGGAAGAACATAGAAAATACACCAAAAATGCTCAAACATAGTCGAGAAAACATCCCCATGCTATGTTTTGACTATTGTCGAATATGCCTCCTGTAGAGGGACGTGCCCAACTTAATCCTAAATTCTCGATCCAAATTTCTCGATCCTAATCCCTCGATCCTAATTCCTCGATCGGCTCACGAGCTGCAGCACTCGGCAGCCTCGGGCAGCAGTGGCGAGCAGCAGCAGTCCGCAGCGAGCAGCGGCGGCACAGCAGCGGTAAGCGGCGGCAGCAGCAGCAGCAGCAGCAGCAGCAGCAGCAGCAGCAGCAGTATGCAGCAGCAGCAGCAAGCAGTGAGCAGCAGCAGCATGCAGCAGCAGCAGCAGCAGCAAGCAGTAAGCAGCAGCAGCAGCAACATGCTGCAGGCAGCAGCACCCTGAGGCTGCAGGCAGCAACCGCAGAGTTGAAGTTTGGGCCCGGCGTCGTGGTAAAAGCCTTCCGGCAACGTCTCCGCCCTGGCCCACCGTGCCAGTTCGGATAGATGTTGTGGCCGGCTGGCCACGGGTCTGCACTAGTCTCCTACAACGCGGGCGTCAGTGCATGCGAGAAGGGCGGGCAGTGGCGGCGGGCGTTGGCCCTGCTCATCGAGATACGGGAGGCCAACCTGGCACCCGACGCTGTCTACCCTACAACGCGGGGGGACCCGCGTGCCAGAAGGAAAATTGTTCAAAGGGGCCAAACCGACCTTGGCCAGCCCCGGCGCGCTCCAGGCTCCACGGGGGGCTCCACGACGGCCCAGGAGGGCCCCAGGACTCCCAGGTCGGTCCAGGATGGCCCGAGACACCTCCAGACAGTACAAGAGGTCGCGAATATTGCTTGCAGACAGCCCCACGGGGCCGCGAGACGGCCCAAGAGGGCTCCAAGAGCTCTCCAAGAAGGGCCCCGAGAGACCAAAATTATTGATTTTCCTTCGGTTGTTGAAGGGTTTCAGCGTTCGCGCCTTTTCGGATTCTCGTCGCTCCAAGACGACCCCAGAGGCCCCCCAGATGGCCCCAAGATGGCCCGAGTTGCCCCCACAAAGGCCCCCAGAGCCCAAAGACGGCCCAAGAGGCCCCCTAAACGGCCCAAGACGGCCCCAAGGGTGATCCCAGAAACCGCCGGCAGGCCCCCAAGAGCCCTCCCCGAAGCCCTAGGAGGCCCAACTCAGGTCCCAGGAGGCCCCCGAGAGGCCCCAAGACAGCCCCAAAAACCGCCTCCAAGAGAAAGCAGGCGCCCATGGCACGGGCGCCTCACTTTCCTGGGCGGCCCCACGCGCCCGAATGGGGGACGCTTCGGAGAATTCTCCCCGAGAGTGGTCCAGAGAGGTCGGCCATTGGGGGCATGCTCCGTAGTAGCTTAGTGGGCCCTGGAAACGACGTTTTTTTACCGGTTCCGTTTTGCCGTTTCTTTGCCGGTCCCGACGTCGTTTTTTTACCGGTTCCCTCGCCGTTGTTTGATCGGTTCCGGCTCCGGTTCCAATCCTGGAGCCGTTTCTGTGCCGTTTCCGGTCGCCGTCTCTTTGCCGTTTCCGTTTTCGAGGGGCATTTTTGGGGGGAAGCGGTGCAAACACGGCCCTGCCGCTTCCGGGGCCCACAAAGCTCCGTGGTGCCTTCGAGCTTCTGCCGAGCCCACGCAGACCGCGCGCAGCCTCCGCCCTCCTCGGGCGGCTACAGCCACCACGGAGCAGTGTTTAGGGGGCCACATGCGAACCCTACCCCTACCTACTACGATGTCTGAGGGGGAGGATGGGGTTCACTTCGTTCGGGAGCTCCCGAGCGAAGTGAACCCCACCCTCCCCCTCAGAAATCGTAGTAGGTAGGGATAGGGTTCGCATGTGGACCCCTAGTGTTGGAAAATGAGGCCCACTGTTGCTTACGTTGCAGCCTTGGCCCTGATGCGGCTTCAAGGTGGGTCAAGAGCATCCTGGTGCGGCCCAAAACGCCGCCATTGCCCGAACGGCAGAAGCACGACACACGAAGCAGGCAGCAGCAACGGCAGCACAATGCAACAGCAAGCAGCAGCAGCAGCAGCAGCAGCAGCAGCAGCAGCAGCAGCAGCAGCAGCAGGTGGCGGTCGGCAGCACGCACCAAGCAGACGTGGCCACCAGCAGCACGCTGCAGCCAGAAGCAGCAACGCCACGCAGCGTCGGCAAACATTACCAACAGCAGGCAACAGCGGAAGCAAGCAGCAGCACGCAGTAGCATGCGGCGAAAGCGAGGTTCGAGCCTCTAGTTGTAAGTTCAGCCTTTCGGCAGCATGTCCACAATTACGTGGCAATTGTAGATTTCGTGGACTGGGTCCACGGATCAGCCCTAGGTTTCTTTTGATTTATATTGCAAGCACACGTGCGTGCGAAAAGGGCTTGGGAGCCAAAAGAGTCAACAAAACACTGCGGGGCGTTTCCTGAGCCCTGGGCGAGGTGCGGACGAAATTCAACACGAAGGTACCGTGTTCAATTCTTTTCGCGGCCCCCAAGTTGGTCCAAGACGCCTCCGAGACAGCTAGCGAGCGCTCCAAAATGCCCAAGATCGCTCGAAGTCCGCCCCAGAGACCACCAGAATGCCGCAGACTGCCCCTAGGATGCTCCCAGAGGCAGCCGAAATCACTGGTGTCGCTTACGTGTTGCAAAGTTGCTCGGTTTCGCGCCATGTCGCGCAAAGACAGCCCAAGCCATGTTCATGACCAACCCGAGACGCACCAGGGCTGCCCAGAAGGCCCCGATGAGAGCCGCGCTGTTGCCCAAGGGTGCTCCACGGCAGCTCTCGGAGCAAGGGGAGGACTTCTTCTGTGGAGGCCTCTATCGAAGAAACAAATTGCTGTAAGCATAATTCAACTGTTGGCGCTCCGCGCGGATTTCTTGGATCCACGCTGGACCCCCCCCAGCGGCTCCTCCAGCGCCGCCCCTGGCGCGCCCCGCGCGCCAGGGAGGGGGGTCCAGCCCAGATCCAAGAAATCCGCGAGGAGCGCTAAAAGTTCATGCTTACAGCCATGTGTCCTTCTACTGGAACCTCTCGCGGCGACGAGGAGGACACTTCACGCAAGGGTGACGTGTTGCATGCTGTCCGCGGCCCCGGGCTCGGGCGCTGCGGCCTCTCCGCACCCCTGCCGCGGGCCGCGTTAGATTCTCATGACGGCCCCGTGAGGCGGAAAAGCGAGCCAAAACCATGCAGGCTCTAAGGTTAGGTCGGGCGTGTCCCTCTACAGGAGGAATCTCCAAAAATAAGCCGGAAACAGTATGGGGACGATGTTTCGAGTATTTTCGTTGCTATTGCATTGCATGTTTTGTAGATTCTGAATTCTTCGCCCATGCATCCGCCTGTGGGGGGACATGCACGACCTAACTCTAAGGTTGTCCACGTTCTCCCAATGACGGGCCCAGAGCGGCCCCACACGGCTCTAGGTCCTTCCACGATCGCCCCACGATGGCCCAAGAGGCCCTCACGAGCCCACCGAGACGGTCAACGCGGGCCCCAAGACGGCCCAGAACAGGCCCCGGAGAGCCTCACAGAGCTCCAGATGGCCCCCCAACCCCAGGAGCTGCCCAGGAGGGCCCAAACAAAGTTCCCAGAAATCGAGCAAAAACCATGTGTGTTTTCTGATGTTTCCCACACTCTCGCCATGACGGCCCCGCACAGCTTCAGGCATTTCTGCGAACGCCCCACGAGGGCCCAAAAGGCTTGGACGAGCGCAACAAGACGGCCGACGGCCCCAAGAGGGCCCCAAGCCGGCCCAAGACAGGCCCCCGACGGCTTGCTGGAGTACCAGGTGGCCCCCCAAGACGCACCAGAGCTGCCCACGAGGGCTGGAGGGGGCCTCAGAAAGCTCCTGTGGGAGGACGGAGAGGACCTCCGACGGGTGCCCCCTGGAGGGCAGCAGGGAGCCCCTCTCGGCCCCGCCTTCGGCCGTCTCCGGGCCTTCCGAGCGAGCCCCGACGGATGCTGCAACGCGCCCCCCAGGTCATAGCATCCGTCGGGGGGCCCCGTTCCGTCCCCTCACGGTAGCTTTCTGACAGCAACTTCGCAGTACGCACGCACGCACACGAAGTTTCCTGGGCTGTCCCCCCAGACGAGGCTCTGGAGGACACCCCGGGAACGGCCCCCAGAAACGCCCACAAACCGCAAGAGGTTCTCAAGACGGCCCAGGCAGGCTCGCAGGAGGGCCTAACATGCCCCCGACACGGCCCCAGGGACGCCCGAGCTGTTCAACTTCGACGAGCTGTTCACCACGGTGTGCGAGTCCCAGGTTCAGCACACCTTGGTGGATTTAATCCACGGTTTCGTACCAGTCAGCTACAACGCTGGGATTAGCGCGTGCGAGAAGAGCGAGCAGTGGCAGCGGGCTCTGGCGCTGCTCACCGAGATGCGGGAGGCCAAGCTGGAGCCCAACGTCATCAGCTACAGCGCTGGGATCAGCGCTTGCGAGAAGGACGAGCAATGGGAGCAGGCTCTGGCAATATTCGGCGAGATGTGCGTGGCGAAGGTGAAGCCCAACGTGACGGCGGGCCAGGAAACCCTCAAGAGGGCCCCAAGACGACCCCAGAGAGCACCCACGCGGACGAAGAGCACGGCTCCAGATGGTTCCGAGGCGGCCCTGAGACGGCCCTGGAGCGCTCCGTGTTGATAGCTGTAAGTCGGGCCTGTCCCTCTACAGCGGGAATATTCAAAAATAGTCAAAAAAATAGTCTGGGGACTATTTTTTTGGTATTTTTGACCATTTTGGAATATGTTTTGAGTATTGTTCATTTTTCGTCGAAAATCCCCCTGTAGGGGGACACACCCGACTTAATGATAGCTCCAACGCGCTCTCCCCAGCCGCCCCGGAACCCCCGCCCCTAACAGCACCCACAGGCTCCACGGAACGCCCCACTGACCCCACGAGGCCCGCACTGGCTTCAGAGAGGCCACCAGAGCGCCAAGGCCCCCAATGTCGCCCCGACGGCCCACCAGCCCCCCAGACCGTGCGAAAGGCACCCAGCATGGCCCAAAACAACCCCAAGAGGGGGAATTCGAGCTGAGATTTCCAGGCTGCCAACAGACCCTCAAGAGGTCCTCTAGGAGCCCCAAGAGGCCCCCAAGAGGTCCAAAGCAGGCCCCAAGAGGCCCCAAAACATTCACCCTTCCATACAAGCATACAAGTGCACTTACGTGGACGATAGCCCGAGGGCCCCAAGACGTCCCAGGATGTCCCGAGAGATTGCACAGGTGTCCCGGGGCCTTCAGCAGCAGCAGTAGCCGTGGGCAACCAGCAACACCAAGCAGATGCAGCATCAGATTCGCAGCAGGAGCATGAAGCGGAAACAGGAAGCAGCAGCAACAATCACTAACCGCCCACAAGCAACAAACGGTGGCGAACAGCAATCACAAACAGCACGCAGCAGCAAGCAACATCCATCAGCAGCAGCAAACAGCAAGAAAGTAACATGCAAGCGAGCATCACAAAGCAATCCGAGTCAACTAGCAGCAACAATCACACGCTGGACACCTCGGCTTTCGTGGGCGGAGCCCACGGAGCCCTAAGTCATCTGTACTACAATTCCGGGCGAAGCGCGCGCGAGAAGGTCAGGCAGTGGCAGCGCCCCGGGCCGCCCAGAGAGCTCGCGGGCCGCCCGGAGAGCCTCCGGGCCGCTGCCCGACGGGCCCGGGAGGCCCCCTGACCGCTGGCGGACTGATCCAGGATTCCCAGATCGCCCCAAGACGGCCTCAGGAGGTCCCGAAGACGGCCCAAGACGGTCCAAGAGTGGATCCGAGACGCTCAAAATGGCTTCAAGACGCCTTCAAGACGGCCCGGGACGCGTCCACGAGGCCCCCAGAGCGCTCGAAGAGTACCTCCAAGAGGGGCCGCAGAAGCCAAAATCGTTGATTTTCTTTGTTTTTCCGATGTTTCTGGCCTTGTCGCGTTTTCGGCTTTCCGACGCTCCAAGACCGCCCAAGAGGCCCCCCAGACCGTTCCGAGACAGCCCAAGAGGCCTTCAAGACGGCCCCAAGACGGCCCAAGAGGGCCCCAAGACGGCCCAGGAGTCGCCCAAGACAGCCCAAGAGGGCCCCAAGAAGGCCCCAAGAGAGGCCCCAGACAGGGACCCGGAACCGAAAAATTTAGGCCTCCACCCCAAGAGGCCCCCAGGAAGCCCCAAGACGCCCCAAAGAAACGCCGGGACGCTCCCAAGACATCCCCAGGAGGCCCCAGGACGCTCCAAAGAGGCTCCAAGAGGCCCCCCAGAGGCCGCCAAGCGCCCCAAAAGACCCCCAAGAGGCCCCAAAAGAGGGCCCAAGAGGCCCCAAGACGCCCCCAATTTGCTACCAAGAAGCCCCCAAACTGTCTCCCAGAGGCTCCCGAGAGGCCAGCCATGAGATCCCAACCAACATCCACGAGATCTCTTACCCATTACCCAGGCCCGCAGCGACATTGCCCGCAGGCCACTACAGCCAGTTCGGGGGCCCTACGTATACCAGCACCCGCACCCTTGGCTGTATCGGGGGCCTCACCGCTGCTCTCTCGGTTCTGCTGGCTTCGATCTGCCAGAGCTCTCGAGACGGCCATCTCGACGGCCCGAGAACCCCGAGATGGCCCCAGGACCACCCTGCGCGGGCCCGCTAACGTGGCCCCTTCACTCTGACGGTGCCTGAAAACCCTTGAGTTTGCTGATCGCGCCCAGTCCCAGCGCGATTAGCAAAAACCCATTCCTTTTCACGCTTCCAGGTCAGTGCCCCCGGGGCTCCCCGACTGCTTTCTGAGATCGCCCCTGGACGTGGCCACTTACACGTCGGCCCCACGCGCTGCCTCCAAACGGGACCCCCAAAGGCGGCCCCCACACAAAGCCTCCGAAGGTCGCCCCTACCGCCCCAGTAAGCGTGGCCCCCGAACGTCAACCCCACGCGTAGCCCCCAGGCGCCCCCAAACGTGGCCCCAACACACACAGCCCCCAACCATTGCCCTCAAACGTGACCGTCACATCTGCCCCCGAACCCCACACCCTCAAACGCGACCGTCACATGTGCCCCCGAACCCCGCACGCGGCCCCCAAACATGGCCCCCGGCAGGGCCGCGAACGTTGGCCCCAACCATGACACCCTGACGAGACCCCCCAACGTGGCCCTCAAACGAGGCCCCCCAACGTAGCGCCCAACTCTGGCCCCCACGCGTCCACCCCCCACATCGAACTTCTCGCGCACAGGGACTCTGTAAGATCGTTCGGGCCCCCTTACTCTGATTGCGTCTGAAAACCTATGTGTTTCTGCTAATCGCGCCCAGGCCTCGCGCGATTAGCAAAAATACATTACTTTTGACGCTTCCAGTGCTTCCGACACGTGCGCGTTCGGGACCAATGCCTGGACCTGCAGGCCGTGGATTTTCCACGATTTCACACTAGTCAGCTACAACGCTGGGATCGCCGCGTGCGAGAAGGGCGAGCAGTGGCAGCGGGCTCTGGCGCTGATCACCGAGACGCGGGAGGCTGAGCTCGAGCCCAACGTCGTGCCGCGTGCGAGATGTGCCTCCCCCCCCCCGACGGTGCGCCTGCACTGCTGGGGGGCTGTCGCTTCTGCAGTGCGGTGGCCGGGCGTTCCCTCCAGGCGTTCGCCCGGGCGGGCGCCCGTGGCCTCTCCCGGCCTCTCGGGCGCCTCCGCGCCGGCCAAGGGGGGGGGCCAGGTCTGTTGCGCCCGGCGGGCGCCCTTTTGGCCACGCGGTGGGCGCCTCGTGTCAAGTCGGGCCTTTCCTCTCTACAGGAGGAGTATCCCCAAAAAACACTGAAACATGACAGTGTGGAGGCGGTGCTTCTATTCTTTTTGGAACAGTGTTGCAAACCTGCTGGCTACTTTTGATCTGTCGCCCCCAATCCGTCTGTAGGGGGGCATGCCCGACCTAAGCCTCGTGCCGGCTGGGAGTTCCGATGTTTCGCCCTGTGGGCGCCTCGCGGGCGCCCGTTGGCCGCCTCCCCCCTCCCTTCCCCCCTCCCTCCCTCCCTCCCTCCCTTCCTCCATCCTCCCTCAGCCCAAGAGGGCCCCAAGACAGCCATAGCCTGCACCGCATTGTCGGGGAAACGCGAGACTCGAGTACGCCGGATCTCAGGTTTACCGACGTTTTTTGTCGAGCGCGTCTAGGGTTTGACGGTCCAGTTTTCGTTGGATGTTTGCAGCGGGAGCTCGCGTCAAGTTTCAGGTTGGGTCTCGTCATTTTCGTGATCGCCCCGTCAGGCCCACCCGAGTCCCCCGAACCCGAGTCATACGTCTCCCCGACATTGGCCTGCACCACAGAAATCGTACCACATAGCTTGCACCACGTAGCTTGCACCTCATAGCTCGGACCACATGTATGAAAGCCATCGGTGTTTCCACATGTTCATCACATGCGACCAAACGGGCCTCTCGCGCGCGTGTCGAAATTATTCGAACGCCCTTGCGCGCGTGCTGGGTGGGGCACGATCCCTGTCAAATAACACCATGCGGGCCACTCGCGCACGTTTGCCTTGCGCGCATGTCGAAATCTTTCCAAAGCCTTCATCACCGACACGTGGACACCATCGTCGTCATTGGCGTGATCAGCATCGGCGCCGTCATTGGCCTTGTCATCGTCATTCCGTCATCAGCATTCCTACTATCATCATCGCGTTTGCCGTTGTCGACGTCGCCATGATACCGCGCCCGCCCGAGTCAACGACTCGGATTGCAGTGCCCGCGCTTCAGCGCGGCCTGCCAGACCCGTTGGGAGGTCCCCAGCTGTCAGCGCCACCACGGCCGCATCGGTCGCGCCAGACTAGCTGGCCGCTCTGCGCGCGAGCCTTCGCGCGTTAGCGCGCTCGCAGCGATGCGCCAGCCAGCGCCAAGCAGCCATCGCAACCGCCGCCGCCTGGGTTTTGCAGACGAAGTTGCAGGTGGGTCGGTGGGATGATCGTGCGAGCAGCAGGATGAATTGCTTCAAGTTCGGCGGGGCGGTTTGCATCACGTATTTTGCACCACACAGCTTGCACCACGTCGTTTCAGCCACAGCTTGCATGCTACAGCTTATACAGCGCTTGCACCACTTAGCTCGCACAGCATATATTGAAACACATCGCTTGCACGACATAATTTGCACCACATTTATTGCAAGACATAGATTGGACGTCATCGCGCAAGCCACTACATAGTGTGCACATCCAGGGTGCAAGAACTTAATGTTTGAAGTACGCGCTGGCAAACAGCAGTGGCATGTTTCGACCCCCCACTGCTCAGCACAGGATTATGATACTGGGTGCATTAAGAATGTTGGCGGGAAGCGCGGAAACGTCAGGAAATGTTGTGGAAACCGTTGGCAACATGAAATCGCAGGCGAATTCGCAGTTTGCCGAGTACCTCCGAATCAAGTAAAAATGCTGAGAAGCCCCCTCCTTCCCCATCCGAAAATCTGTTTGTTGTCTCACTGGTGTAGGGTTTGTGGGCTTCTCTTCCCAAGGCTGCTTCAGAAGGGCTCCGCACAGCCTCCAAATGCCCTAACATGCTTCTAAAAAGCTTCACGGACGGACCCAAGAGGTCTTCAAGACGGCTTGGGAGCGTTCCCGTAGGACCCCAAGGCGATCCAAGAGAGCTCCGAGATTGTTTGAGAGCCCCGATGCGGACCAAGACGGCCCAAATGTGGCCCAAAAGAACCCACCACGACCTCCAGATCCATCAGCATCAAAGCCGGCAGCACCAATGAGCAGCTAGCGAGCAGCAAGTTGCAGCAGCCATCAGCAGCAACCAGCAGCATCAGCAAACAGATCTAACACGCAACAGTGGAAGCCGCAGCGCCAAGCCGCAGCAAGCAGCAGCGCACACGAGAAAGCACCAGCGCATAGCGACGAGCACGAGAAAACAGCAGAAAGCAGCAGCAGTAACAACTAAGCATCAGCAAGGCATCATAGTTGAGCTATTTTAGAGGGACGAGCAAGCAACGACGTCATCAAGCGGTTCTTCTCTAGGCCAGCAGGCCAGCAGCCACGCAAGTATGCAAGCAGGCAAACCATCATTGCCCCTGCATTTGAATGCATGAATGTTTGTTCATTCCAGTTCACGGATCAGCAGTAGTCAGTTACAGCGCTGGGATCAGCGCGTGCGAGAAGGGCAGCCAGTGGCAACAGGGTTTAGCACTACTGAGCGAGATGCAGACAACGAAGCTGGATCCCAACGTCGTCAGCTTCAACGCTGGGATCAGCGCGTGCGAGAAGGGAAAGCAATGGCAACGGGCTCTAGCGCTCATGAGCGAGATGCGGGAGACGAAGTTGGAGCCTGACGCCATCAGCTACAATGCTGGGATCTCCGCGTGTGAGAGATGCGGCCACTGGCGGCAGGCATTGTCATTGTTCGGTGAGATGTTCGAGAGCAGTTTGGAGCCGGACGAACTGTTTTACAATTTGGTCATCACAGTGTGTGAAAGAACATCTGGCGATTTCGCCGGATTTCCAGACTCCTGCCAGATCGGTCTTTCGCGTTTCAGAGCATTTTACGATGCACTGTGCGTGTGCGATCATGAGAGGCAACCACTGTGATGGCGTGGGCGGACATTCTCTTCTTTCGAGTTTGCCAGTGGTCATCCCTCGCACAGAAAGCAGTCTTGAATCCCGTTCCATATGCCCGCTCTGGTCAGCCGCAACGCTGGGATCAGCGCGTGCGACAAAAACGAAAGGTGACACCAGGCTGGGCATTGTCCAACGAGGTGTGGTAGGTGAAGTTGGAGCTCGACGTCATCAGCTGCAGCGCTAGGATCAGCTCGAGCGTGAAGGCAAGCAGTGGCAGCGGGCCATGGCGCTGCTGACCGAGATGTGCGAGGTGAAGCTGCAGTCCAGCGCTGGGAGCCGTGCGTGCAAGGGGGAAAGCAGTGCATGTCGCCCCCCCCAGGCTCCGAGGCCCCAGGGTTCTTCGTCCAGCACCCTTGGCCGGGAGGAGACGTTTCCTCGTCGTTTCCGTTTTTGGGGACACATAAGGAGTTCCACCGACGGCCCCAGTGGCAGGGTCCACTTGCGGCTCCCCGCCCACCGCATGTCCACTTCGGCACACTTCTCACACATTTCGGCGGTCCATGGGGAGCTCCACCGAAGGCCCCATGCAGTGGCAAGTCCACATGCGGCTCCCCGCCCACAGCATGTCCACTTCGGCACACTCCTCACACGCTTCGTGGCCCGTAGTTGGCTCCACCGACAGCCCCAGTGGCAGGATCCACACGCGGCTCCCCGACCACCGCATGTCAATTTCGGCACACTCCTCACACGTTTCGTGGCGCCATCGGGAACTTCACCGAAGGCCCCAGAGCATGCGGCTCGCCTCCCACAGCATGGCCATTTCGGCACTTTGTTCGTCGGCGGCGAGGCGGAGGCGATCCGCACCAGCGTCGGGCTAATCGGGGGCACCGATCGGCAAATTGTCCTGCCTGCAAGAGAACGAGGAGGAGAAGACGGCGGCCGCGCGGGGGGAGGAGGAGGATTGCGCTCAGACGCGGAAGACTTCAGCGGTGAGCGGGCTGGAGCGGCCAGCCAGGGCAGCGGGGTCGCGGCAGCAGCCGGGGCCGGGGCCAGGGCGCACCCGCGGGCGCTGCCAGGGCGCAGTAGCGGTGAGGAGCAAGTACAGGGGGGGCCCTGAAGAAGGAACCCTTTTGGTTGGGGAGGGGCTCCGCGTTCCTTACGTGTTTCACAGATTGCCTCAGGTTTTCCTTATGTTTTCGATCGGAAATCGAAGTTTGACTTATGGAAAAAGGGGCCTCGTTCCTTATCTAGGGTTCCTTAGGTCAACGCCCCGACTGTAGAACCAGCACTGGAGCCCGAGGACTGCCGCCAGCAAAAAATGTTGCACCCACCAGGCGCTTCCGCCGTGCGGTGCCCACCGCACTCGTGCAGCAGCCCCGCCAGGGGCTGGGCGCAGCGCCAGCAGCACCAGGGGGGGGGTGTTGAGCTGCAGGCCGCGGGCGAGGCAGCACAGCGGCGCCACGGCGGCGTGAGGGGAGGGAAGGGCAGAAGGAGAGAGGGGCAGAGAAAAGGAAGAGGAGGAGCGCCACGCCCGCGGGTGGAACCCGACGGGCGGGGCGGCGGCAGCCTGCGAGGCGGCGTGAGCGGCGGCCCGGCTGGGCACCGGGAGGCACCCGCCGATACAGCGACCAGGTGGTGACTGCCGTGGGGGGCGGCAAAGCTGCGGCCAGAGGGCCCGTGCGGGTGCCCGGAAACGGGCACGCACGCCAGGGCGGCGCGGTGCCAGTGCCAGCGGGGCCAGGGTGGCACGCGAGGGGCGGTTGGCGCGCCACGCGGGCCGGCGAAGGCGCGCCAGGGGAGGGGTGGCGACGGGGGCTGCCAAGGCGAGGGAGGAGGAACGGAGATAGCGGTGCAACGACGTGTGAGAACAGGGCTGCGCACCGCCTGGGCAGACAGCGCGCAGCCTGATGAGGAGGGGAGAGGGGAGACCCACCAGGTACCAGGTGCCCGTGCCTGGGAAGGCACCGAGCTGGCGTTGCGGTGCAGAGGCTGAGCCAGGTACGGATGGGGGCCACTTCGGCACACTCCTCACACGATTCGGGGGCCCACGGAAACCTCACCGAAGGCCCGAGTGGCAGGGTCCACCTGCGGCTCCCCGACCACCGCATGTCAATTTCGGCACACCGCTTCCGCGCTTCGTGGCCCCATATGGAGCTCCACTGGAGGCCCCATGCAGTGGCAGGGCTTGCATGCGGCTCGCCTCCCACCGCATGGCCATTTTGGCACATTCCTCGCACGCTTCGGGGGCCCATCGGGAACTCCACCGAAGGCCCCAGTGGCAGGGTCCACATGCGGCTCCCCGATCAGGGCATGTCCATTTCGGCACACCCTGCACACACTTCGTGGCGACAATAGGGAGCTGCACCGACGGCCCCAGTGGCAGGTTCCACATGTGGCTTCCCACCCACCGCATGTGCATCTCGGCACACCACTCACACGCTTCGTGGCCCCATCTGAAACTTCACCGAAGGCCCCAGAGGCAGGGTCTACATGCTGCTCCCCGCCGACCGCATGGCCATTTCGGCACACTCCTCACATGTTTCGGAGGGTAATCGGGAACTTCGCCGACGGCCCCAGTGGCAGGATCCACACGCGGCTCTCCAGCCACGGCATGCCCATTTCGGCACACCCCTCACACGTTTCGTGGCTGCGTCGGGAGCTCCACCGAAGGCCCCAGAGGCAGGCTCTGCATGCGGCTCGCCGCCCACCGCAGGATGCATCTCGGCACACCCCTCACACGTTTCGTGGCCCCACCGGGAGCTGCGCCCGAGGCCCCGGGCGACAGGGTCCACGTGGCGGCCTCCTGCCCACCGCATGGCCGTTTCGGCACAGCCCTCGCGCGCTTCGGGTGCCCATCGGGAACTCCACCGAAGGCCCCGGTGGCAGGGTCCACATGCGGATCCCTGACCACCGCGTGCCCTTTTCGGCACACCCCTCACACGCCTCGCGGCCCCATAGAGAGCTCCACTGGAGGCCCCGAAAGCAGGGCTCGCATGCGACCCCCCGCCCGCCGCATCTCCATCTCGGCACACCGTACACCTCTCACACGTTTCGTTGCCCCATAGGCTCGCGGGGACTCCCCTACGCTCTGCTTCCAGGAGCTGCGCGACGCCCGCGCGCTCTGCACAGCGCCTTGCCCGTTGTCAGCCACCTGTTTTTTTTTCCTCTGTGCGCGGACAACCCGCGTGCGTCGTCGGGACTCCTTCGGGGCGACCGGCGTGGGGACTCCGCAATGCGCGGTGCCCAGAGCCGCGGCCACCACGCGCAAGGACAAAGAGGAAGGAAATACTGGAAGAGGAAATGTATGCAGAACAGCGTGACCTGGGGCTCGGGCCACCGTGGGCCAGGCTGGCAGGACCGCAACGCCGCACACTGGAAACAAGGAGGGGAGTGAAAGAGTTGGGGCAGAAATAGGTACCACCTGCGTTGTATCAGACATGAGAACCCTCCATCGGTCTGATGGTATGTCGTCTGATCCTACAGCGTCTCCATGTTTCAATGTCTCCCGGACTTCCAGCCACTCGACCATGTCAAAGACCAAACCCTCACAGATGTGCAGCACGAGGTCTGTTGCATGCGGCCGGCCCGGCCCCGCCGCTGGGCGCGTGCCTTGAAACACTGGCGCCACCGGCGCCGGCAGGCGCCGGGAAAACCAGTTGCGTGAGCTGGTGCGCTGTGCCCTCAGTTGCTATCCCCCCCTTTCGCCCGACCCGATCATCATCCGAGTTTGTCCGCGTCCTAACGGTGGTCCTAAGAATAACCCCCAGATCCAGGACACATCTCCCTCGGGACCCGTTTGGTTCACAGCAGATGTTCGGCGATCGGCGTTCGATCCATACCAATGTTGTTGCCCCCCAATCTGGACGCCAGGAGGAAAAGGGCATGGTTTAAAAATTCGGCACCCAAGGTAAGATTCTTATTTGTGTTTTCTGGACCCATGCTGAGATTGCGGTGGGATGGGGGCGTGAGCAGGAGCATCTACAGAAGGGGATCGATCGCTTGATTGTCCTCATCCAAGATTGTCCGCGCCCTGCCCTCGTCGCGCCCAGGCCACCGCGGTGGCGCGCTGGCCACCGCGCGGTTCCGCCTCGGCCCTGGGCGTCGGAGGCGGAATCGTTGTGGGGCGAGCGCCGGTTTCATTCCCCGGCGATCGAGGGCCAGGGAGGCCTTCGAGCCACCGCTCGAGGGGGGGGGTGCTGGGAGGGGCGAGGGGGAGAGCGAGGGTCTAGGCTTAAGTCGGGCTTGTCCCTGTACAGGGGGAATATTCAAAAATAGTCAAAAAATAGTCTGGGCACTATTTTTGAGTGTTTTCTGTCCATCAATATGTTTTACTTTTCGTCGAAAATCTCCCTGTAGGGGGGCACGCCCGACTTAAGTCTAGGCCTCCCAGATGGGGTCGGAGTAGATGGGGTTGGAGGATCGCGCCGCATCGCCGATGCAGCGGCGATGCGGCTCGATGTGGAGCCCGATTTGCTTCACGTCGACGTCGGCGATGCATCGGCGTTGCGGCGCGATCCCCCGACCCCATCTACTCCGACCCCATCTAGGAGGTCTCTAGTTGGAGGCGGAGTCGTTGTGGGGCGAGCGCCAGTTTCATTCCTCCTGTCCCCGTGCGCTTGGCCCAAGCGCTCGCAATGCTCATCCTCGGCATCCGAAGAAGACAAATTGCATATACAACTGTTTGGAGCTCCGCGCGGATGGCTTGGATCTGGGCCTTGGCGGCGCGTCCAGCACCGAGGGGCACGTCCGACATGTTCGGAGCTTCGCGCGCCAGGGAGGGGCTCCAGCAAAGACCCAGGGAGTCCGCGCGGAGCTCCGAAAGTTTGCGCCTATGGAGTTCGGTGTTCTTCCATCATCGGCGCGTCGACCACCCCGAATCGCGCCCACTGGCTACTCGCCGATCGCGGCTTGGGTGCCCCGGCCATTCCAGGAGCCCGAGGTGTCGCGAGCAGGGGCCGTCGGCGATGCATCTCCGGTTCCAAGTCAACGTTCCCTTCCCGAGCCAGTCCCCACCCCTCCCCCTCCTCCTCCTCCTCCTCCTCCTCCTCCTCCTCCTCCTCCTCCTCCTCCTCCTCCTCCTCCTCCTCCTCCTCTCCTCCTCCTCCTCCTCCTCCTCCTCCTCCTCCTCCTCCTCCTCCTCCTCCTCTCGTCGCACGTCGGTCTGGCGAGCCAGCCCCTTCGGGGTCGAGCGCCCCAGCTCCCTCGCCCGCCTCTGGTCGCGTCTTGCTGCCGTTCCGCGGGCCCCGTCGAGCGCACGCGACGCGGCCTGACGAGCCGAGCTTGGCGCGCCGCTGGGTCTGGGCGTGGCGGGCGTTAGAGGAGCTGCATCCCAGACCTCAGCTGCATCGTGCCGAGCTCAAATTCCTTGCACGTGTCGGTCCTGTCCAGGATGTCGGCCGTGGGTTAGGCGCAGTAGCAGCACAGAACCTGCCAGATGCACGCGCCAGCTATCACCGAGCACATGACGTGCCCAGTCTTCGGTCGCGTCCCACAAGATGGGCAATACGCACCACCTCTGGCCCTGCCTCCTCCGTCCATCCCTCCGCCTTCCTCCCTCCGTCCCTCATGTTCTATCACGCCTCCTCCCCCCTCCCAACAGATCATCCTCTTCCTCCTCATCTCTCGCCCGTCTTCTCCTCTTGACTTCTCCTCCACCTTTTTCGCCTCCTTCTCCCCTTCCTCCTCATCCTCCTCCCCCTCCTCCTCCTCAGCCACCTCCTCCTCCTCCTCCTCCGCCTCCTCATCCTCCTCCTCAGCCACCTTCTCCTCCTCCTCCTCAGCCACCTTCTCCTCCTCCTCCTCCTCCTCCTGCTCCTCCTCCTCCTCCTCCGCCTCCTCCTCCTCGTCCTCCTCCTCATCCTCCTCATCCTCCTCATCATCATCATCATCACATCAGCATCAGCATCATCATCATCATCATCATCATCATCATCATCATCATCATCATCATCATCATCATCATCATCATCATCATCATCATCATCATCCTCATCCTCATCCTCATCCTCATCCTCATCCTCATCCTCATCCTCCTCTCCTTTAGTTCCTCCCCCTCCTCCTCCTCCTCCGCCTCCTCCTCCTCCGCCTCCTCCGCCTCCTCCTCCTCCTCCTCCTCCTCCTCCTCCTCCTCCTCTATTCGTTTCCTTCTAAATAACTTCTCCCTGTCGCACCCGGAGGCCTGTTGCGTGTTGGGCGTTTCGCTTGAGACTTCCTCACCATGGATGGCCCTGAAGCATAAACAGTGAGAACATCTTCACACATGGAAGGCAGATGGTTTTCAAAATGTGGCTCTCGCTTTAGAGCCGCGCACATTTGCTTCAGAAAAATGCAAGAGCTTCACGGATTTTGGGCGGGTTGTTTTCAAATTGATTCAAGGCGGGTGGTTTTCAACATGTGGTTCTCGTTTCAGCGCCGCACACATGCGTCTTAAACAAGTTCAAGAGTTTCACGGGTTCAGGGTGGGTCGTTTCCAAAATGTGGTTCTCGCTTTAGCGCCGCGCATATGTGATGTTACCAAATATGTAAGAGTCTCGCGAATTCAGGGCGGGATGTTTTCAACATGCGGTCATCGCCTTCGCACCGCGCGCACGCGTTTCTTACACATTGCAAGAGTTTCGCGGATTCAGGGCGGCCATTTTTCAAAATGTGGTTGCGCGCTCGCAGTTAAAATTCGCAAGTGTTTCACATATTCTCACGATCATCGTACCAACAATTGCGTTCTGGAAGGATTCAGGATTATGAGGGTGCAACAGTTACGTTGACTTGCGGTGTTGAAGTCCCAGGAATGGCGTTCTGGCACGATTCAGGATCACCAAAACGCAAAAGTCAGGTTGACCCGTGGCGTTGGAATCCCGAGAACAATGTTTTGGCATGCTGCAGGGTTGTCTTCCAACGAGGCAGTTCCCTCAGTGGAAATAAACTGTTGTATGGGGCCTATGAAGAGGGAGCTTGGAGGGAGGGTTTACTCCATCGTTGGTGACTCTTGGGTTTACATGGTTCTCCTCCTCATCCTCATCCTCATCCTCATCCTCATCCTCATCCTCCTCTCCTCATTAGCTCCTCCTCGTCCTCCAGCCATGGCTGGACGCGGGTCGGAACATCGGTCTGGACATCTTCTCTTCCTCCCCCACCCCCCACCACTTTCCCCTTATCTTCCTCCCCCTCTCATCTCCTTCCCCCTCGCCTCTCATATTCATCCTCACCCTCCTCCAGCCCTCCCTCCCCTCCTTTCCCCTTCCCTCTCATCCTCCTTCCCCACCTCCTCCCGCCCTCCCCCGTCCCTCCCTCATCCCCTCCTCCCTGCCGGCCTCCCTCGTCCTGACTCCTCCCGCCTGCCTCCTCCCTCCAACCCTCCTTCCCTCCGCCCTGCCCGACTCCCTCCCTCCCCCCCCCCCCTGGCGCGGAGGCCCTGGAGTCGGGCGTGGACCTGATCTGCGCGCAGGGCGGCGAGGGCGGCGGCCACACGGGCGAGGCCTCAAAGGGGGCATGGGGGCGGCCGCAGCGGCTTTGGCACGGGGCCCCTGGAAAACTGCGCTGGCCGATCGGAGGGCGAGGGTCGGTAGGCGAGGAGGAGAGAGGAGGAGCAAGAGGAGGAAGAAAGGGGGGTGAGTAGGAGGAGGAGGAGGAGGAGGAGGAGGAGAAGGGAGGAGAAGGGAGGAGAAGGGAGGAGGAGGAGGAGGTGCAAGAGGAGGAAGAGAGGAGCAGAGCTGTACTAGGGGCCCGTGCTGACGGCTCCTGCGGGCTCCCTCTGGCGCCCCAATCGGAGTGCGTGATCGTAGTGCTACGGTGGTTCTGCACTCGGTGGCCGCTGCAGGCTGTCCCTGACCAGGGCCTTGCTGCCGCCAGCGTGCTGGTTTGGGACGCCTTCTCCCTCCTCCGCACCCCCCCCCCGACGGAGGAGGAGAAGGAGAAGAAGGAGGAGAGGAAGGAGAAGCAGGAGGAGGAGGAGGAGGAGGTGGAGCCTCCAATTCACCGCGCCTCCAATGGACAATGAACTCGAAGCGCTGCTGGCGCCGGGACGCGACCGAGCCAGTCGATACGGCGGACAAGCCCGCGAGCCCGGTACTTGCTACCCCACCCTGGAGCCCAGGAGGACAGCAGCAACCGCACTGCACCGCACGAAATTGGGCGAGACTTGGGCAGTGCAACCGCGAAGCGGTGAGCCCACCCCTCCTCGAGGCCAACGGCTGGCGAGCGACTTTCCTCGCCACGCCGCCCATGCGGGCACGCGGCACGCGAGGGTGCTGCCACGAGACCCTGCATGGCCGAAGCTTTTAAGATACCGCAGCGAGCCTGCTGAATCATCCTGCCCTCAAGCCCTGGAGTGCTTATGGGCCATGAGGAGGAGGAGAAGGAAGAGGAGGAGGAGGAGGAGGAGGAGGAGGAGGAGGAGGAGGGAGGAGGGAGGACGGAAGACGGAGGACGGAGGACGGAGGACGGAGGACGGAGGAGGAGGACGGAGGAGGAGGCGAAGGAGGAGGGAGGAGGAGGGAGGAGGGTGGGAGGAAGGAGGATGAATGACGGAGGAGGAGGTAGGGGGAAGAGGACGAGGAGGAGGAGGAGGAGGAGGAGGAGCAGGTTTTCGAAGTTGCCCCATAAGGTGCCAGGGGGGACCAGAACGTGTGAGGTGGAGGAGGGGTGAGGAGGGGGGAGGAGGGGGGGCCAGGGTAAACCAAGGGTGCGTCAACGGTGTTGCAATACACCCTCCCGCCCGAAGTCCCCTTCACATGCACCACGCGCCCCTACAACCCTGCCCATTCTCTGCAGGAGGCGCCCATTGAAAGACCAGCACCCCCTGGGCCTGCCATTCACGCGAGCGTCCCGTTTTGAAGAGGAGCTGAATTGCGCCGGGAGGGTCTCCTCTCCCTCCTCTTTTTCCTCCTCTTCCTCCTCCTCCTCAGCCATTTCGCGCTCGAGAGTGTTGCAGGTACGTACTTCGAAGTAGCATCGTGCCTGCGAGCCTTTTCGGTGATCGCGGCTCAGGATCTTACATGGGCCCTCCTCAAAACGATGTGCTGCCAGGCCCGAAGTACCCCACGTGGGGGTGCAAGTGCGGAACTGACGGGAACTGGGCCAGCAACTTCAACTGCCGAGGGTGTCAGCAGCCAGCCCCTCGGCGGATTCAAGCCGATGCCAAGACAGCCGCGCAGCAGCTCCGCAGCCCTTCCAGCGTGGGCCCAAGGGCGCGTGGGCCAACGGGCCGCCAGGCGAGTCGGCATCCATCAAGGCGCTCAAGGCCGAGCTCAGTGCCCTACGCGCCCAGGTCGGAGGAGGTGGTGGATCAGTGCAACGTCCAGCGACGCAGCCCCAGCCGCCTCAGTCAGACTTCACCTTCGGGCAAGTTGTGCAGTTCCCCAAGGCTTACAAGATTGAGGACACTGTCATCACAACGGTGCAGCAGAAGCAGATTGCAGAGCAGGAAGCCAAGCCAACAACTGCCATTGCTGTCCAACACAGGGTTGAGAACTCGAAGAGGAAGGTGGAGCGCCTGAAGCAGAAGGTGCTCAGCTTCACGCAGCAGCGCGGCGAGCTGGACAAGGCCATCACGGAGGCCGAGCACCAGCTCACGGAGGCGCGCTCGGAGCTGGAGCGGAACATCAAGGTGTCGCATCGAGTGCACCTTGAGCAGGCGGCTGACCCGCTCGAGCTCGGCTTCGCAGGTCTCACGGCCTCAGTCAAGGACTCGGCCGACGGGCGCCAGGCCCTTGAAGTGCTGCGCAGGTTGCAGGAAGCGGCCGCCAAGAAGGCCGCCGATGAGCAGGCAGCAGCGCCTGCTCAAGCCAATTCCTCTGCTGCTCCAGCTGGCGCTGGCGCTCCTGATGCTGGCGTCGCAGGCGGGGGCCCACAAGCTGGCGCAGCAATTGGGGCGACTGGGGCAGCTGGATATTCCAAGATGGAAGAAGACGACTTTGACGACTCGGAGTCCCACGATAGCCTCAAGCGCCTCTACGAGCGCGGCGCAGAGAAGGACGCCGTTGCCAAGTCCCTTGCCGAGCACTCGGCGAAGAAACAGCGGCGGCTTTGATGCATGCTGGGAACATTTGTCGGTGGAGGATTGGCCGCCGCTCGGCGTCGCGCCCCCGCCCGGGAGGCCTGCTCGGCACCCTGTCGTTCGACGGGAGGCGTCTGCAGCCCCAGCGGACCTCCAGGCGCCCTGGGACTACAACGTGATCGACGCGGAGTGGTCCTGCGGCTTCGCGGTGCCCGCGCGGCAGGCTCGCCCTCAGATGTCTCTGAGCGGCGGCATGCCAGTCCCTGGGCGCAGAAGGGGGGGCGCGATCGCTCTGGGCCGAGGGGGGGGGGGGGGGGGGGGTCAGCCCCTCGTCGTCGCACCCCTTGGCCCACATCGGCGTTGAATTCCTTGTCAAGCGCTGGGCCCTCTGCGTCGAGCGGCGCACTCGCGGCCCCAGGGGGGCCGCAGAGGTCGCCGCATGAAGGAGCTGAAGGTATTCCCCAACTGGCCCGCTCCTCGGGGCCGGGGGCAAGAGCGACACGGGGGGGCGCCGCAGTATCCCCAACTGGCCCGCTCCTCGGGGTTGGGGGCAGGAGCAGGCGTTATGGCATTTGCTCCTTCACTGGTACCGTCTGCGTCTTCATCGAGTACTTCGGCTCCCGAAGGCACGCGCTGCCCAGTTCCGTCAGACGGCAATCGGGGCGCCAGCGGGCACCGACCTTCGGCCGGGGCCGTCGGCACGCACTGCGCAGCGCCCCTTGGCTACATCTGTGGAGGAGCCAGAGGGCGCCGACCTTCGGGGGCGGCCGGCGGCTTGGAAGCCGCGACCCCTTGCCCCCAAGTTAAGCTTGACGCAGCTTCAGAAAACAAAAAAAAATGGTCAGGGCCCGACAGGAGGACGAACGAGTTCCTGGTGTGGCTCGAGGCTCGACTGAAAGCCGTCTCGCATCGGACATCGAGGCGGTCAACGTGTCTGGTGCGATGTTGCAGGAGCGCCGCTGTGAGTTTCAGGGCGTGGCTGCCAAGGGCGTTTATGCTGGTCACTTTCAGGTCGCGAGCGGAGGCTGCGCGGCGGTAGCGTCAATTGATGGGCCTCCCGAGCCAGCGCCCTCGAAGCCCAAGGGGGGCGCCAAGTCGCTCACCATTCTCGGCGTGAGCGCGAACGCCTGGAGCACCGCTGAGATGGTGGTGGAGTGGCTCATGGACCGCGGCATTCGGCACGGCGGGTTGGACGTGGTCCCAGATGCGCTCAGTGCGCAGGAGATTAGGCTGAAGAACCCGGACAAGGTTCTCTCAGCAACTCGCTGGTGTCCTCGGCGCGGGTGGCATGTTGCTCATGGGATGGCTCACAGCACTGGCCCTGGCCCTACTCAGAGTTCGTCGGGAGTGGCAGTGGCGGCGCAGCAGTCGATAGGTTTGGAGCACGTTGCCTCAGCCCAGCTGAGTGGTTGCAAGTGTGGGTTTGTGATCTCGGAAGGCGAGTGTCGGCTTCCCGCAAGGAATGTTGATTGTCTCGGCCTACTTCACCACGGGCATCGAGCTGACGGGAACCAATCTGCGGTTGCATGAATTGCTTGGCGAGTTTCTCCTCAGTCAGCCGCTGCCCTGGATCGCCCAGGGGGATTTCAACGATTCGCCGTCGGACCTGATTGCACCAGGTTGGCTTCAGAAAGTGCGGGGAGAAGTTGTTTCGCCGACGGTGCCGACGTGTCCGGGAGCTTTTTTCACAGAGAAATCGGGCCGCGGACGAAGTCTCCCGGGCCGTTTTAGAGGGCAAGGCATGGGGCATGGAAGAGTTTGAGATCTCAGGAGGTGGGGGTCGCGTCTTGGACTACTTCGTGGTGGCGGAGTGCCCCATGTCTAGGGTCAAGGGCCTCCAGGTCTTTGTAGATGCCCCGCTGTTCCCCCGCAGCCCCGTCTTCATGGAGCTCGAGGGCCTCTCCCACACGGCGGTGATTTACCGGCAAGTGAGGCTTGAGGGGTTTGAGCACGACCTCTATGGACCACGCCAGGGGCCTCCAGGAGACCTCGATTGGGGCCGGGACTTGGGCGCCGACAACATTGAGCTTCCCCTGGGGGAGATGTGGAAGAGGTGGTTTACGCTTTCAGAGGCTAGGCTCGCTCACATCCGCGGGATAGAAGAGTCGGACACCAAGTACTTTACGGGCAGGGCCCGAGGGCCCAGGGCGCAGAAAGTTCCGCTCGGGGCCCTGCGGGACCCGGACCAGAGGCGAAGGTTCTCCAACTCCACCACCGTTTGGGTTGCTTTTCAGGCCCTGCTTCAGCGCCGCCGTCAATCTGCCGCAGGTGCAGTTGGCCGTCGAGGCCGCGAGTTTCTTTCCAGCTGGCGTGTCCAGCTGGAGCGCATGATAGATTGCACGCAGCCCGTCGAGGGCGTTCTCTCTGCCTCGGTGCTCGTGGAGCTCGCCAGGGACGCCTCAGAGGGAAAGCTCCAGGGGGACTCGGAGGCGCTGGAGGAGATAGACGAAGAGGTCAGCCGGAGGAGGAAGCAGGACGCTAAGGAGAGCTTGAAGGAGTGGGAGGCATGGGCGGTTGGGTCCGTCAAAGGAGGAGGCAAAGCAGCTCATGCATTTTCGAAGCGGACCCTGTCACGCCCCACGCCTTTGCTGAATGAAGCAGGCCACCCTGTTTGTGGGCACGAGTCTCTCAGTTTTCTTCTGCGGGCATGGACGCCGCTCTGGGTCGCAGCGGGCCGCGGGGCCCAGCGCCCATCGTCGTGGACGATCCCGCCCGAGGAGCCTGAGTTGACGCCGATCTCGGTCGACCAGCTTCGAAGGGTTTGTAAAAAGGCATGCCAGAAAAGTTCGGTTTGGGATGGGGCGGGTTCCACCCGCGCTGGGTACTAGACCTTTGTGGTGAATATGCAGCTCGGTTAGTCGACGCGTTGCACCAGTTTGAGAGAGCCCTGCAAGACCTCCTGCTATTCATGACCAACATCGTGTGCATCGATAAGAGTGATGGGGGTGTTCGCCCGATCGGGCTCTTAGTGTTCTTTGCGAAGATATGGCCCAGGGTCCGCCAGCCGCCGTTCAAAAAGTGGGAGCAGGCACATATGGAAGATGTGTCCTGGGGAGTTAGCAGCACTACCACGCGTGAACTGGCGGGGTGGACACGTATCCCCCTGGGCAGCTACTGTAGAAGTGTAGGGTTCGAATCAGGAGCTGCTTTAGTATATATGTCAAAGCTCTACGAACACATTGGTCACGAGGATATGTACCAGGCGGCGATGCGATTTGAATTTCCCGTTCGGCTGTTGCGCTGCCTGTGCACGGCACACACATGCCCCCGCATGTTGCTGCACGGCGGCGCGGTCTCCAGCATCGCGCGCGCGAACGGCTCGGTCATAGCTGGCTGCAGTGGAGCGACGAGCTTGGCTAAGTTGCTCTTGCTGGGGCCTCTGCTGAAGGCCAGAGAAGGGAGACCACAGCTCTATATCAGGAACGCGTTGGATGACATAGCGTTGCAGGCGCGCGGCAAAAGTATCCAGGTTGCGTCGGTGCTCAGCTCGGTGGTGGAGCCGCTGCTCAGGGACTTCGATCGCCTCAATCTTCCCGTCGCCGTGACAAAAAGACTAAGTATATTTGCAGTGCCGAAGTGCAAAAGCTCATCCAGGGGCACTGGCGTATCCCATCCTCGTCGCGAGTGGACGCGGCTCGGAATCTGGGCACGGGCGCTGCGTCAGGTACCTGTCGCAGAGTGGGGATCGCCAGGAGTAGATTTGCCAATGCTAAGTCCAGGGCTCGCAGGCTCCAGATGTTACGTGACGCTGGGGCGGAGGTCGGCCTCATCCAAAGAGTCGGGGCCACTGCCGTGGCCCTATGAGGTAGCAGTGCGATGGGGGCCCCCCCCGTCTGTAATGCATGGTCTCCGTGTTTCGGCGGTTCGTAGCATTGGACGCCTTCCCAAGGGCTCTAGTCTGGGCCTCAGGCCCCATTCTTTCAGAATGGGTGTGTTGCGTGATCCTTTAGTAGCCTACGCGGGGCACGTGGTGTTTCAATGGGCCACTGCGATCTGGGACAGTTTTCCTTCGAGGCTGATCCAGGGGGCGACGATGGACGCGGCTATCGAAAAACTGGCGCGCTACTGCCACCCTTGGAGGGCGGCCTCGTCGCCCGCTGACGCGGCTTTTCTTTCCCTGGACAGGACCGGCTGGAGGTTTTTAGCGAGCATTAGGCTCCGTGACGATCCAGGTTCAGTTTGGAACCTTTGCCAGCTTTCGCCATGTGAGATCAGGGAACTAGTGCACGAAGGAGCCTCCAGAGCCTCAGACAGGCTCGCTTTGGAGAGCGCGGGGCGCCTCGGGAGCGAAGGCCCTCGAGGGCTCGATGGTGTGTTTCCGATTGTTTGGGATGGCCTGGGATCGCTCCTCAGGAGGAAAACCAAATTCTGGACGGCCCACCACCAGCGTGCGCTTCGCTCGCTTGTGCGCAATGTGCACTGGCCGCAGGCCCGAGTGTGTGGCCACGGGCTGCACAGCTCCGATGTCTGCCATCTTTGTAAAGAGGCCAGGGGGACGCTGTGGCATAGGCAGTACAGTTGTATTGCGCACTGCAGCGTCAGAAGGGATGCTGCCGCCCCTTGGCTTGCTGCTTGCGCCCGTCGTGCCTTGGATTGCGGGGAGGACGTGGGTGCGCGGTTCGCGAGGCGCGTGATGCCCAGCCCCCTGGCCTTCGTCCCTCGAGAGGAGCCTGATTCCACGATCAGGTGGCTGAACAAGCCTGCCAGTGGGTTCCTCACGGGTTGCATCTTCAGTGACGGTACGGCCTTGTGGCCCTCTCTCCCAGGAGTCTGCAGAGCAGGCTGGGCTCCTGTGCAAGTGGATCCCTCGGGAAACGTGCTGCATACTGCTTACGGCCCAGTGCCGCTTCCGCCCTCGCCAAACGGCTAAAGATGGCGAGGACTTCGCGTCGCGGTTCGCATGCCCACACAAGTTAGCATCGCTCCGTTCGATCTCTATCTGGAATGCAAGGCCACTCTAGATGTTTCGCCCGGAGGCCCAGGGTCTGGGGCGGAAGGGGGGTCCCCGAGGGGCCATATGTGGAGCCCGTGTTGGGCTGCCTTCGAGGGGTGCGACATCCAGGCCCATGAGACCTTGGCCCACGCCACCAGCAAGGACATTGAAGTTGGTCGAATTTCGGCCTGGGAGAAAAAAGGCAACTTCTAGTGCTGATCAGTATGCCAAGCTAGGTGCAAAGATGCATGGAGTGGACGACTCCCATGCTGATCTGTTTAGAGGATTCAAGGCCCTTGTGGCTGAGCAGGGGAGGTGGGCGGGTAGGCTGGAGGTTTTGATGGTCACCAGCGGCCAGAGCAGGCAGGACACGGTCGGGCTGCAGCTGCACGACCAGGACTTGCCAGCGGAGCCCCCGCCCGATCCCGCTGAGGAGAAGGAGGATGTCTTGTCGTCGAGTTTCGTTGGAGCGGAGGAAGGAGTCGATCTGTGCTGGGCCGACGAGGCCCGTTATGCGTTCTACTGCAGGCGTCATGCGCTCGTCCGGTGCTCGATTGAGACGCCTTCAAGAGTAGGCAACAAAGTAGTGTTTTGTTTTCGGTGTGGGGGCTATACATCGGGGCGTCTGGGCCGCACCCTCCTGGAGCATTGTCCCGGGAAGCCCGCTAGCCCAGGGATCAGGTCCCAGTTGAATCGTATCCGAGCGGGAAAGCACCCACACTACCGTCCCACCACGGAATCCCTCGTGCTCGGTCCTTCTGGCCCGTTGAGCTCTCAGGAACAGGTCGAGATCGAGGGGTTAGCGGATTCATGTGAAGCAGCGGCGGCGAGCTCGCGCTCGGCTGCTGCTGATGGCTTCTGTCCAGGACTGCCCTCGCAAGCATCTGTCCTTGCGGCCTTTGGGATTCTGGAGTCTGAGCTGCCGAGGGTGAAGGAACTCGGGCAGCGTCGGGCCGTGGACGGATCAGACAAGAGTCTGGGTCCTCCGACGGCGAGCTCTTCTGAATTTGAACCCGCCTTTATGGCCGTCCACCACCTCTTCCTCCTCCTCCTCCTCCTCCCCCTCCTCCTCCTCCTCCTCTCCCTCCTCCTCCTCCTCCACCTTCCTCCTCCTCCTCCTCCTCCTGCCATTCACGCGAGAGTCCCGTTTTCAAGAGGAGCCGAATTGCGCCGAGCGGGTATCGAGCGAGAGCCCACGTTGAAGAGGAACCGACCTCCGCCCGTACAGCCGCGAAGCATGCTCAAGACCATGGCCGCAAAGCCTGCAAACCTCGTTTTGAAATGGAGCCGCCGTCCCATCCTTGCAGATGTGGCAGACGCCCAAGAGAAAGCCGCGCGACGCCGGAGCGACAGCCCCACCTCGAAACCGGCCCGCCCCCCGCCGGAGGTCGCGCGACGCTGGCGCGACAGTCCCATTTTGAAACTGGCCCGCCCCCCCGCCCTCCCTCCCTCCTTGCGTTTGTTGCGGGCTTTGCGGACGCGTGTGCGCGGTGCCAAGGCGAGAGCCCCATTTCGAAAAGGAGCCGTCCTCCACCTTTGCAACGGTTGCAAATGTGAATGGCAAGTCTGCGCGGCGCTCAGGCGAGAGTCCCGCTTCGAAACGATCCATTCCCTCCATCCTTGTGACTGTTGCAAGCTTTCATGGCGAAGGTGCGCGGCACTTATCAAGGGAGGAAAAAACACCCGGACCCGGTACTTGGCGTTCACGACACGGCCTTGGACGCTTACTGAACAGCCCTGCCCTGTTTGATTCCCGCTCTGGGTGCGTTTAGTAAGCGACTTCGCGTGTCGGGGTGACTACTATGAGGGTGTATGTTCTGTTTTCTCACTTGGTCACTGAGGCGAAAGCTCCAGTTCAAACAGGCACCACCCTCCATCGCTGCAGTCGCTGCAGGCTTGTATGACGAACGTACGCGGCGCCATGGCGAGAGTCCCATGTTGATCGCCTCCCCCCCTCCAGCCTTGAAGCCGCTGCTAAGTCTTGGGCTGAATATGCACGGCGCCAGGGCGACAGCCCCAGTTTGAAAACCAGCCCGCCGCCATCCTCCAAGTGTTTGCAAATCTCAAGCTTCAAGATCATCAACGGTGAGGAAGTCTCCAGGGGGGGTGCGACAGGGAAAAATTGTATTGTAATGGCCTCCAGCCAGTGCCGCCGATCCGGGGGGCTCCGGATTCGGTGATCTTGGAGTCGTCGGGGACGCTGTTTGGGAGGGAGGGCGCTCTTGGAGTCCCGGGGAGGTTCCGGGGAGGGTTCCGAAGGGGAGGGTCCTGGGGGCGTTAGCGGCTAGATCTGAGGGGGGTCCCTGCAGGGATCCCCCGAACATCTTAAGGATGTGCAAATCTTGAAGAAAACGCCAGATGGGGGACCGCCCCCCCCCTCCCCCCCTTCCCCCCGGGGTTGTCCGTCTTGGGGGGGGGGTCCCTGGTACCACCCCCGGAAAATCTTGGGGATGCGCAAATTATTAAGGCCAGATGGGGGACCGCCCCTCCGAAAACCCCCCTCCCCCCCTTCCCCGGCAGAGCTACCCCGGCGACCCCCCCCAAGCAGAGCTGAAGCTCTTGCTTAGGCTCAGAGCTGAAGATCTTGCTGAGGCTCCTTGTAGTTCACACGCCAGATCGGCGGAAATAAGGACCAAGGGTAGAGGCGGAGGGAGACAGGTGAGCAATATGTAGACGAAAGTTCCCAATCCACCGCAGAGCGGTGGACGAGTGCAGTCAGTCGTTCGCCCCTCGCGAGGTGGCTACCAGCATCCTCATCCCGACGGTGGTTGACCTGGTCCGCGGCAAGATGTCCCCGCTGACGGGCAAGCAGGTACGCCCGTGACGGAGCCCATCTGACTCCTCCCCCTCCGCCCCTCCCCTGACTACCTTGCGCCGTGGCCAAAAATCACGACGGAGTGTTCTCGGCCGCTTGCGCCCTCTGGGGGGGCCCATGAGAACGCCCGTCCTTGGGAAAGGGTCCAGACCTCTGCAGACCCACGCTGTGCCCCTCCTCCTCCTCCTGAGGTCCTCGCGATCGCACTGGTACAATCCAGCCGAAGCCTTAGGCTACAGTCGAGACTGAGTAGTAGGACGACCCTGCCGAGTCGAGGGTACCCTTGTGTCCTGAGCTTCGCGACCCATGCCTTTTTAGATTCCTATGGCAACGTGGCCCTCGGAAGGGTGTCGTCCTCTCGCATGTCCTCTCCAATCAACCCCGACTGTATGGCTGGGCACCGTGGTGATTTTGGAGCTCTCCTCGGGCCGTCCCAGGCCGTCCGGGTTCCAGGGACCCCCCGTGGGCCCCTCTGGGGCACTCGAAGCTCGCAAGCCCGGATTTCCGACGTCGCGATGTTTCCGCAGCGTGGCTCCCCAGAGGTCTGGGCCCCTTCCCCGGCTCCGGCGCTTCAGCACCAGTCCTTGGGCCGAAAGCAGCCAGAACGCCTCCGTCCTGGTGTTTCTGGCACGGCGCGAGGATGCCAATAGCCGCAGGCAGGGCCGCTCCCGATCCGAGTCGAGTCGATCCGGCCTCGGCCGCGACTCCGATTCCCGTTCGGTCCACCCGCGGCAGCGCGGCGAGCCGATCTCGATGTGATTCGGGACGGTACGCTTGCGAAGAAGAAGAAACACCATAAACGTAAACTTTTGGCGCTGCGCGCTGGATGTCTTGGATCCGCGCTGGGGGCCCCCTCGGCGGCGCCTCTGGCGCCGCCCCTGGCGCGCTCCGCGCGCCAGGGAGGTGGGTCTGGCGAAGATGCAAGAGATCCGCGCGGAGCGCTAAAAGCTTATGTTCATGTGGTTCTTACTTCTTCTACGCTTGCGACCCGACCCGTTCCCGATCCGATCCGGCTTCGCAATTTTCGGTCCAGCTCAGAGCTCTGGCCAGTGAGCTTCCCCCTCCCTGATTTTCGGCGGCGCGCTGAGAGAGGAGGAGGAGGGAGGAGGGAGGAGGGAGGAGGGTGGAGGAGGAGGAGGAGGAGGAGGAGGAGGAGGAGGAGGAGGAGGAGGAGGAGGGGGAAAGAGAGAGGGGGGAGGCCTTCTCAGAGAACAACGGAGCTTCGCAGAAGCCCTTCGGCCTTCTGAGAACCTCCGGCCTTCTGAGAAGCCCGCTGCGGCTTCGGAGAAGCTTCTCAAAAGGCCCGAGGCCTCCGGAGCCTGCCGAGGAGGCAGGCCCTCGTCTGCCTTCCCAGACCCTCGACCTGATTATCCCAGACGCGGACCCCACGAGGTCTGGACCCCTTCCCAGGGCCTGCCTTCCACATACGGGGTCCTGCTTTGGCGGTCCTGGGGCCCAGCGAGGGCCCCCAGAGGCCGAAACTTCGCAAGACTGCCCCGTCGCGACTGCTCACGGCATCGAGGGGTCCTGGGCTCCTTCCTGGGCGCGCCGCCGACTGGCACCGCCGTCCGCGACCGGCGGGCGCCGGCCTGGGCCGCCTGGGCCGCGCCTCCGCCCGCGGAGCGCCCCGGGCGGCCTGCCCCCCCCCCTGGCCCGGAGGTCCGGCGTACAGGGAAACACGCAGCATCTCGAGACGTCGCGGCCAGAGCCCAAGGCCCCATGTTCTTGCTGCTTCCTTTTGTCGCGGGGGATGGAGCTGTGAGGGCCCTGGGGCCCGAAGCCGCGAGTTTGGAGGAGGATCGATCCGAGAGGGTCCTGGGGCCCGAAGCTGGCCGAAGACGCCCGCTGTGACAGAAGAGAGAGTTTCCAGGGTCTCGGGGCTCCCCCCTGGGATCAAGTCGGGCACGTCCCTCTACAGGAGGAAGGTTCGAACATAGTCCAAACAGAGCTTCAAAAGATAGTCAACAAAATAGTGGGGGGAGCACAGAAACAAAAAGAACAGAACAAAACACAAATAATGTTTACCCTACATTCTTCACTTTTCGTCCAGAGTCCGCCTGTAGGAGGACGTGCCCGACCGAACCCTGGGCACACCGCCGCTGGACCCCGCCCCCCCCCCGGCGCGGGCCGGGCCCCGCGCCCGGCGCCCAGGTGTCCGTCGTGGCCGCGGGGGGCATCTTCGACGGCCGTGGCCTCGCGATGGCGCTGTCGCTGGGCGCCTCCTCCTCCTCCTCCCCCTCCTCCTCCCCCTCCTCCCTCCTCCTCCTCCCCCTCCTCCTCCTACCTCCTCCGCCTGCCTCCCCCTCCTCCTCCTCCTCCCCTCTCCTCCTCCTCCTCCTCCCCCTCCCCCTCCTCCTCCTCCGCCTTCCTCCTCCTCCTCCTCCTCCTCCTCCTCCTCCTCCTCCTGCCGCGGGTCTCAGGCGATCGCAAACATCGATTAAGGGGGCGTGGATTCGAGACGGGTCCCGTTTCCACGGGAAATCGCGGATTCCCGCCGCCGAAGGAGGCGGCACCGGCCGCGTTTTGGGGAGGGCACATCCCCCGATCCATGGATTTGGCGACCGCGCGCCTAATCCATGGATCGCTCATCCATGTTTGTGCGCCCTCGAGGGTCGGTCGTCGGCGCCGCCGCCGTCGTTCTCGCCCTCGTCGGCCTCGTTTCCCTCGTCGGGCGCAGGTCGCGGGGGTCGACGCTGGCCCCAGAAGCCCCTCGCGTCGCGACAAGGAGCATGGCGGACGGCTTCTATGTGTGATGCATGAGGCTTCTGGGGGCCCTCGCCAGGCCCTGGGAGCGTCAAAAACGATTCAGGATGAAGAGTCGGCCCTGGGGAATGGGCCCAGATCTCTGGAGGTCAACGTTGTGAAGAGTTCGTGAGGTCCTCGTCCTTGCCGTCGTCCTTCCTCCTGTTCTTGTCCGTCGTCGTCGGGCGAGGGGGAGTAGGTGCAATTGGAGGGGGGCGGAGGTGGGGGAGGAGGAGGAGGAGGAGGAGGAGGAGGAGGAGGAGGAGGAGGAGGAGGAGGAGGAGGAGGGGGGTCGGGGGACGAGGGGGGAATGGGAGGGAGGGAAATTAGAAGAGACTGGGGCAGAGCATGGAGGACGGAGGATTAGAAGGAGGAGGATGACAAGGTCGGGCGGGAGGAGGAGTCCTCTTCCTCCTCCTCTTCCTTCTCTTCCTCCTCATCCTCCTCGTCCTCCTCATCCTCTCGCGGGGCCTCAGAGAGGGGGCCTTCGCCGCCGGAGCTTCGTCCGCCTCGGAATCCCGATCGTACCGCGCTCCAGGAGGAGTCCTTGCCGTCATTCATTGACCGCCGCCGCGTGATGATGGTGATGATGAGGAGGAGGAGGAGGATGATGGTAATGTTGCTGATGAGGATAATGAGCATGAGGATGAGGATGAAGATGATGAGGACAAGGATGAGGATGATGTTGGTAATGTTACTGATGGTGATGATGATGACGATGGTGATGGTGGTGGGGATGAGGATGAGGACGAGAATGAGGATGCCGATGTTGTTGATGATGGTGACGATGGTGATGGTGATGGTGATGGTGGCTGTGATGGTGATGGTGGCTGTGATGGTGATGGTGACGATGGTGATGTTGATGATGATGAGAATGATGATGGTGATGATGATGATGATGATGATTTTGGTGATCATGATGATTATGGTGGTGATGATGATGGTGGTGGTGGTGGAAATGGTGCTGGTGATGATGGTGGTCATGGTGGTGATGATGATGTTGATGCTGGTAATGGCAATGATGGTGGTGGTAGTGATGATGATGATGATGATGATGATGATGTTGATGATGATGATGATGAGTATGGTGATGATGATGGTGGTGATGGTGATGGTAATGATGAGGGTGAAGACGATGCCAAGTATGTTAGTGAGGTTGGTGATGATGGTGATGATGATGGTGATGCTTATGATGCTGACGATGGTGATATGGTGATGGTGATGATGGTGGTGATGATGCTGTTGATGGTCATGGTGATGATGGTGGTGATGCTGGTCGTGGTGGTGATGATGGTTGTATGTATGGTGTTGTTGATGCTTGTGCTGATGCCGATGGTCATGATGAGCATGATGATTATGCTGATGACGGTGATGGTGATGATGGTGATACTGGTGATGGTGATGGTGACGATGATGGTGATGATGATGATGATGAGGAGGAGGAGGAGGAGGAGCAATAGTACAAGGATGAGGATGAGAAAGTGGAGGAAGTCGAGGAAGAGGGGGAGGAGAAGAAGGAGGAGGAAGAGGAGGAGGAGGAGGGGTGAAGGAGGAGGAGGAAGAATAAGAGGAGGAGATGGGGGAGGAGGGGGAGGAGAAGGAGGGGGAAACGGAGGAGTACGGTGGAGCAGGGGGAGGGGAGGAGGCCAACCGGCACGAGTCGGCATCCCAGGCTGCTGGTCGGGCATTGACAGGGTGCCGTCCCACTGACGCCCAGCAGGAGCTTGTGGCTCAGATTTCTGCTCAGGGGGAGGGGAAGGAGAAGGAGATGGAGCAGGGACAGGAACAGGATGATGAGGCAAAATGTGAGGGGGGAAGAATGAGAGGAGGAGGAGGAGAGGGAGGAGGCCGCAGGAAAAGGCGGCGGCAGGGGGGGAGTGGGACGGTGTTGAGATGAGGGGTGTGGGAGGAGGAGGAGGAGGAAGAGAGGGAGGAGGAGGAAGAGGAGGAGGAGGAGGAGCAGGAGGAGCAGGAGCAGATGCAGGAGCAGGAGCAGGAGGAGCAAGAGGACCTTTGTTTTACATTCGCTTCGCGGGGACGCACTAAGCGGAGGAGGACGAGCAGCAGGGGAAGGCGGTAGCATAATGAGAAGGAGGAGGAGGAGGAAATGGAGGAATTGATAGAGGAACTCGAGGAGAGGGGGTAAGGAGTGAGAATGGAGGGGGCTGAGGACGAGGACCCGTCGTCCTCGCCTTCCTCGTTAGACCTCGTCGTGCTCCCTGCAGCCTCCTCGTTGCGGCCCTCCTCGTCCCCCGCCCTCCTCGTCATCCTCCCTCCTCGTCCTCGCTCCTCCTCCAGATCCTCTGGTCCCAGACCTCCGACGTCGCGGCCCTGTCTTCTTCGCCGTAGGCCCCAGGAGCTCTCCCAACATCGAAGCCTGGCCCTCGTCGTGTGGGGGAGGTGCAGTGCTTGTTGAAGGCCCAGGGTCTCGAAATCGGGAGGGAAGCAGGGTATCAATGACTCGCCGACGCTGGGAGCCAGTCAGCAAGTTACTCCTTCGCTTGAGTCCAGAAACCTGGCGCTCCCTCCGCGGTCACACGCTGATGGGTTCCCGACGGTGGCGTGTCGTTGATACGGTCCAGAAGTTTGGCTGAGCGTGCCGCGCCGCTGGTTCTGGTCCACCACGCTCTGGCGCGACACGCTAGCCACGTCCCAGCCCTCAAGCACCAACGTCCCGAGCTGCTCCTCGCCTCCCGCCCCGCGGAGCGGAGCGACACGCCATCCGCTCGCAGGGCAGAGCGGGTGGCCGAGCCCTCCGCCGCGACACGCCGAGCAAGAGTTCATGACCGTAGCACGCTGATGGGTTCCCCACGGCGGCGTATCGTTGGTACTGTTGCTGCCCCCCCGCGGAGGGAACCCCCAAAGTCCGCAGTCCTGACAAAAGGTGTCCGTCTCGCGGCGCATGGAGCTCGATGAGCTAACAACGGCGGCGGCAGCGACCACGACGGGGGCGACGGCGACGACGACGGCGACGGCGACGGAGACGGCGACGACGGCGGCGACGACAACGGCAACGGCGGCTGCGTTATCAACAACGACGACGACGACGGCGGCGACGACGACGGCAACGGCGTTGACGACGACGGGGACGACCGGCGACGACGACCCCGGCCGCGACGAGGGCGACGACGCTGACGTCGGCGGCGACCACGGTGGCGACGACGGCGGCGACGTGTGTCTCCGTCGTGATGTGTTCTTTGTTCCGCGGCGCGCGAGGGTGCCAGCGGTGCGGCGGCGGCGGCCGGGCAGCGCGCCCGCGCGAGGCGCGGACGCCGTGTGGGTCGGCACCCGATTCGTGGCCTCCGCGGAGGGCGGCGCGCCGAGGGCGCACAAGGAGCCTGGCCGCGCGCGCCGGCCCGGACCTCCAGCACGCGGAAAAACAAGGCAGGGGTGTTTCGGACGTTTTTGTTTGCTGCTCTTCCCTCCCCCTCCCTCTGCGCGGCCGACCGCGTCCTCTTCCCGCTCTGGCACGCCAGCCCATCAGCCATTCGGTGGCCCGGAAGGGCCACACGCTGGGGCGGACCGCCTCCGCCTCGCCGCCGAGGGAAAAAGTTTCGGCGGACGTTGTCGTCGGCATTCGGAGCTTTTCCGGGCCTCGGGATGCCTTCCAGCAGCTGCGCCTCGCCCGTGAGCGTTTCGGGGGGCGTTCGGACCGTCCCAAGCGGCAGCTGGAAGCCCGAGGTTTGACCCGAGAACCAGACGTCCTCGCGGCGCGGGAAGCAACGCGACGGGTGGTTTTTGCAAGTTTTCAGCTCCAGTTTTTCAGCCACCGGGGGCCCTCGCCGTGCCCCAACCCGTCAAGAACGAATCGGGACGAAAGAGGGGCCCCGAGGAAAGGGTCGGGATGTCTGGAGACCGCGCGTGAATCAAGGAATAAATCGAGACATCGGCCTTCGGGGAACGGGTCGGCGCCAGGTCCAACTTGTTCGGCGCTTGAGGTTCGAAACGAAGTCCGACAGCGTCTGGAGACCTCAGGTCTTCGGACGTGCGAGGTTCGAGATGATATGAGAATGTCAATCCGATTGATTTTCTGCCACGGGGGCCCGCTATCGGGCCCCAGGATTTTCAAACACGTGCCCAGGATGCACAATTATAACCTCCAGGGAAGAGGTCGGGAGGTCTGGAGCTGCGGATTGAGGATGTCTGGGGTTCGAGGTGTTCTGTCGTCGATTCTCAGTGGTTTTCCAAAATCGCAGCGGAGAAGGGTTTTGTTAGTTTCTGGCCTTTGGAGGCCCTCCCCAGGCCCCAGGACTCTCCAAAAACGGTTCGGGATGAAAAGCCAGTCCTGGGAACGGGGTCCAGGCCTTGGGGGAGCCACGTTGCGGAAAAGGCCCAACGTTGGATATTTGGGTTCAAAGAACGCGGTGGGGTTCTCAGAAGAGGCCTTCTCAGAAGTCCCCAGGTCCTGCTGAAGAAGCCCCATGCCAAAAGGGTGCGGTGACCACACCGTGCGGTGAGTCCTGGCGGGTCGGGATGACCGCACGGTTCTGGTACTTGGGCCGTCCACCGAGGACGTCTTGGGCGATTGGGGCCTTCAAGGTCCCCCAAACCGTGCGGTGATGGACCGTGCGGTGAGGTCTCTTAGGAGTTCGAGGTCCCCGTACGGTCTGTCGCCGTTTCGGGGATCCTTGCCTTTTTATAAGCCCACCGCCTCAAAAGGCCGCCCCCCATCGCGCTGCCCCGCCTCTGCGCGCCGCCACAGGAGGCCGTGGTCGCGGCCGGGGTGCACGACACGCACCGGTGCGAGGCTTTCAGCGGGAGGCCGTCCGCACGAGTTTGGGCGCTCGGCAGCGCGGGACAACAGACGGGACGGGCACGGGGGGGGGCGGGGGGGGGGGGGGCAGAGGATCGCTCGCGCCCCGGAAGCCAGACCGCGAGGGCGTGGAGGCGGATGCGCCAGCCGCTCGTGAGAAATTGCACGAGAGCGCGGCCCTCGGAGGGCCTCTGGAGCGGCCCCCCCAGCTTGCCACCGCGGGCTCACAGAGGATGCTGGGAAGGCGGGCGCTGCTTCCCCCCCCTCCCCTCTGTGCCCGTCCCGTTGACGGGCGCCTGGACGACGGCGGCGAGGGCGAGGAGCGACCCGGACCACCTCGCGTCGTGGAAAAAAAGACATATCACGACAGGTCGTGCTCTGTGTTCTTGCGTTTTTGTTTTTTCCCTACCATCCTGTGGTGTTGGGTCCTCGTTTTGAAGAGACGGTCCCCGCGTTCTCCTCCTCTCCTCTCCTCTTCCCCCTCCTCCTCCTCCCACTCCTCCCTCCTCCCCCTCTTCCCTGCGTTTCACCCACCAAGTACAGCGTTTCGTAACCCATAGGGAGCTCCACCGAAGGCCCCAGTGGCAGCGTTCGCATGGCGGCCTCGGGCCATTTCGGCACACCTCTCACAAGGATCGTGGCCCCATAGGGAGCTCCACCGAAGGCGCCAGTGGCAGCGTTCGCATGGCGGCCTCGGGCCATTTCGGCACACCCCTCAGGAGGATCGTGGCCCCATAGGGAGCTCCACCGAAGGCCCCAGTGGCAGGGTTCGCATGGCGGCCTCGGGTCATGTCGGCACACCCCTCACGAGGATCGTGGCCCCATAGGGAGCTCCACCGAAGGCCCCAGTGGCAGCGTTCGCATGGCGGCCTCGGGCCATTTCGGCACACCCCTCACGAGGATCGTGGCCCCATAGGGAGCTCCACCGAAGGCCCCAGTGGCAGCGTTCGCATGGCGGCCTCGGGCCAGCACACCCCTCACGAGGATCGTGGCCCCATAGGGAGCTCCACCGAAGGCCCCAGTGGCAGGGTTCGCACGGCGGCCTCGGGCCATTTCGGCACACCTTACACGAGGATCGTGGCCCCATAAGGAGCTCCACCGAAGGCGCCAGTGGCAGGGTTCGCATGGCGGCACGGGCCATGTCGGCACACCCCTCACGAGGATCGCATCGGCAGGGTTCGCACGGCGGCCTCGGGCCATCTCGGCACACCCCTCACGAGGATCGTGGCCCCATAGGGAGCTCCACCGAAGGCGCCAGTGGCAGGGTTCGCATGGCGGCCTCGGGTCATGTCGGCACACCCCTCAGGAGGATCGTGGCCCCATAGGGAGCTCCACCGAAGGCCCCCAGTGACAGTGTTCGCATGGCGGCCTCGGGCCATTTCGGCACACCCCTCACGAGGATCGTGGCCCCATAGGGAGCTCCACCGAAGACTCCCAGTGGCAGCGTTCGCATGGCGGCCTCGGGGCATTTCGGCACACCCCTCACGAGGATCGTGGCCCCATAGGGAGCTCCGTCGAAGGCGCCAGTGGCAGGTTTTGCACGGCGGCCTCTGGCCATTTCGGCTCACGAGGATCGTGGCCCCATAGGGAGCTCCACCGAAGGCCCCAGTGGCAGCGTTCGCACGGCGGCCTCGGGCCATTTCGGCACACCCCTCACGAGGATCGTGGCCCCATAGGGAGCTCCACCGCAGGCCCCAGTTGCAGGGTTCGCATGGCGGCCTCGGGCCATTTCGGCACACCCCTCACGAGGATCGTGGCCCCATAGGGAGTTCCAGCGAAGGCGCCAGTGGCAAGGTTCGCACGGCGGCCCCGGGCCATTGCGGCGCACCCCTCACGAGGATCGTGGCCCCATAGGAGCTCCAGCGAAGGCGCCAGTGGCAAGGTTCGCACGGCGGCCTCGGGCCATTGCGGCACACCCCTCACGAGGATCGTGGCCCCACAGATGTGTTGCTTCAACAACCGCGCCTGGGCGTCGTACTCCGCCGTGTCGACGTGCAACGCCACATCCTCCCTCATGGCTCTCAAAGCCTTCTTCTGGTTTTGCTCCTCGGTCAGAGGGACGCCGTCCGTGTCGTCGTCGGCGCCCGCGAAGACGGCCACGAACGTGTTCCTGAGCATGTCGGGTTCTGGCGGGAAGCTGTGGCCACATAGGGAGCGCGGGCAAAGATAGTATTCACAATTGCGGTATTCACAACTGCATATGGTTGGGTCCTTCGCCAGGCTAATTTATCATGGTTCTGCGAGCTGTCGGAGCCCGGGGTGCTCTCCAGCAGCTGCGTCTCGCCGAGGGCGGTTCTGGGGGTGTCCGAGCCGTCCCAGACGGCCGCCGGAGGCACGGCCCGAGAGCTTCACATCGGCGTCGCGCCGTGGAGAGGTCGCGGCGGATGAGGGTTTCGGGAGTGGACAGAACCCCCACCCCGACACGTCGATTCGTGAATTGTCCGTTTTCGGTTTTCGAGAGGGCGCCGCGGCCGTCATTTTCCCGTCTTGCGGCCGCCAGGTTTCGGCCCGAAGTCGTGTGTTTCGAGGTTTCGGCCTCTGGGGGCCCTTGCCTTTGGGCGACCCACAAGGAGGTCCAGCTGAAAGGGGGCGGTGCCATAGATTTGGGGCAATCGTATTGCAGATGCATTGCGCCAGAGAGTTGCATTGCATTTGTATTGCAAGTAACGCATTGCACGCGGACATACATACAGCAATACACGTGCGCCCCGCACGCCCCAAGTGTATTGCAACCTCACACATCTATTGCACCAAATCTACTGCACCACCCCCTTGTCGCTGGACCCCCTCTTGGGCCAACCCGAATTGCTGGGCCCAGGGCCGTCGGAAAACAGCTCGGGACGAACACCCAGTGCCCAGGGTGTGGTCCAGGCCTATGGGATGCCACACCGCGGAAAGTCTGAAAAATCGACGCCGGATGTCTCGCGGCGACGAGATGGCTACGGGAACGACGACGAGTGCGAGGCGGACGGCGGCGGCGGCGACGGCGGCGACGGCGACGGCGACGACGCCTTCTCGACCCTTTCTGGGCCTCTTGGCAGGGCCCTTGTCGCCGTTGCCGCATCCGCCACAAAATCAGTGCCCGTGATGTTTTGCTGTTTTTTTGTGTTCTCTCTCTCTCTCTCTCTTTCTTTCTCTCTCTCTCTCTCTCTCTTGCCCTCTCTCTATTGCGGGCCGGGAGCGTTCCTCGAAGAGGCCCCAGGGGGTCGGTCCGAGGACGTCGCCGGCGACGAGGACTTTGACAAAAATTTTGAAGACGACGACGACGACGACGACGACGACGACGACGACGACGACGAGGACGACGACGCCGACGACGACGACGACGGGGACGACAGCGACAACGACGACGACAGCGACAACGACGACGACGACGACGACGACGACGACGACGACGACGACGAGAGTGAGGCCGAGGACGAGGACGAGGGCGGTGACGGCGGCGAGGATGGCAGAGGCGAGGTCCGGCGGGGGGGCGGGCGAGGGTGGCGGCGGCGGCGGCGAGGGCAACTCGGGCCGGGCGAAAGGGCAGGACACGGAAAGGGTCGGCGCGAACGAAATGGGTACGGGAAGAACGGGTACAATGCCCAACCGCAGTTCCTGTTCATTTTGAGCAGGGCTCGCTGTCGGTGTCGCCTCGGCCTGTGTACATCTGAGACAGAAGGCCGCCTGCCCAACAGCGGCCGCTGTTGGTTTGGGACAACATTTGTTGTTGGGCATTGTGCCCATGTTTGTCCGTACCCACTTCGGGCGTCCAAAAAGGGGAAGGTCGAAGAACAAAAAAGCGGCACGCAGTGGGGGCCCATGCCAAGAAACACCTTGCTTGCCTCCAGGGTGCCCTGGGTTTCTTGGGTTTCGACGGTTTTGCCATGGGAAGCGTAACGCTGCCACCCCAGAAATCAATGGACGTCCTGTGGAAGGTTTCTTGTGGACTGGCCTCCACTGTAAACATGAAGTGTCGACTGTCCGATCGGATTTCTTGGATCCGCGCTGGGACCCCCTGGCGGCGCCTCGGGCGCCGCCCAAGGCGCGCTCCGCGCGCCAGGGAGGGACTTCTAGCCTAGATCCAAAACATCCGCGCGGACCTCCAAAAGTTTATGTTCATGCCGCTGCTTCTCCCTCTACAATGCCGTTTTTTCTCCCTCTAGGCAGGGGGGGAGGAGGGGCGAAGTCTGCGGCATGTGCAGCCGGGGGAGGCGCCAGGAAGATCAGCTGCATGAGCTGATTCTCTCAGGGGGTCGACCCAAAACGGTGGTTTGGGCGTTCTCAAGGCCGTTTTCGTGTCGGTGTCGTGCTGCAGCACCAAGGCGGACGGAAGACAACATGAGGGAAACAACGAAAGCGAAACGAAAACGAAGAACATGGTTTAGGTCGACCCCTGGATTCTCTGCCCTGCCCTTCGCTGTCCTGCCCTGTCGCCCCCCCCCCCGAGCGTTAAGTCGGGCCCGTCCCTCTACAGGAGGAAGATTCGAAAATAGTCAAAAAATAGTCTGGGGACTTTTTTTATTATTTTCTGACCCTTTCGGAGTATTTTTTGAGTGTTGTTCCTTTTCCGTCCATAATCCCCCTGTAGGGGGACGCGCCCGACTTAACCCGAGCGGCGGACGGCGGGCGACGAGGCGAGGGCGCGCGCGGCGCACGGGGGCAGGGCGCCCGCGCGCGCACGGGCGAGGGGGTGTCGCGCACGAGTGCGGAGGCGAGGAGAGCGAGCCGATGAGGTGCACTGGGGGGGGGAGCGGCAGGAGGAGGAGCAGGAGGAGGAGGATAACGAGGAGGAGAACGAGGAGGAGGAGGAGGAAGAGGAAGGGGAGAAGGAGCAGAAGACGGGAGGAGGAGGAGGAGGGAGGAGGAGAGGGGGAGGAGGGAGGAGGAGGAGGAGGGAGGAGGGAGGGGGGGGGGGATCTCTGGGCCTCCCAGATGGGGTCCGAGTAGGTGGGGTCGGTGGATCGCGCCGCATTGCCGACGCGTCGCCGATGCGGCTCGATGTGGGGCCCGATTTGCTTCACGTCGACGTCGCCGATGCATCGCCCACGTCGACGATGCATCGCCGATGCATCGCGGGTGCATCGCCGGTGCATCGCCGATGCATCGCCGATGTATCGGCGATACGGCGCGATCCTCCGACCCCATCTACTCCGACACCATCTAGGAGGCCTCTAAGGAAGGGTGGAGGGAGGAGGGAGGAGGCGGGAGCGAACGTGCTGAGAGAGATCAAGACGGAGGTGTTTCAAGACATCGGACTTTTTGGGGGGGGAGGGTGAGGAGTTGAAAGGGGGGTCAGGGGAAACATCTGGTGGGGATAGACGCATGGTAGGATGCATCGACCCCCAAAACGCCCATTCGTCGCCGACGGGGGCCTGATAGCCAACCCCGCCCAGGAACGTGAAGGATTGCTATCGGTGCCATCTCGCCGACCTATCGGCGGTGTATAGCCAATTCCAGGCCGATGCCCCCCCCACTGAGCCTGTCCCTCCCGGGCGCTCCCCCTCGGGAGGGGGGCAGGGGCCCGGGAGGAGGGACGGTGGCGGTAGGCCGCTGCGGGTCATCAAGACGAAGTACTCCGAGAAGTGGCTCGGCAGCCGGCTGGGCGAGATGAGGGAGCTGCTCGCCAAGGGGACGGTGCCCGTCGAGGCGGACTTCGCGAGGCGGGGCGCGCCAAAAGTTGCCACACAGGAGGAGGAGGAGGAGGAGGAGGAGGAGGAGGAGGAGGAGGAGGAGGAGGAGAGGAGGGGGAGGAGGAGGAGGGAGGAGGAGGAGGAGGAGGAGGAGGAGGAGGAGGAGGAGGGGGGAGGAGGAGGAGGGGAGGGGGGGGGAGGAGCTCCGTGAGGATCCTGGCGTTGCCTTTTTTCACGGAGGGGCGGTTGTCGCCCGGCGTTGGGCCTCGGGGCCACAGGTCGATCCGCCTCGAAACTCGCAGCAGGAAGATTGGGTCTAGGGTTGGAGGAGGAGGAGGAGGAGGAGGAGGAGGAGGAGGAGGAGGAGGAGCTGGAAGGAGGGAGGAGGGAGGAGGGAGGAGGGAGGAGGGAGGAGGGAGGAGGGAGTTGGAGGAAGAGGAGGAGGAGGAGGAGGAGGAGGAGGAGGGGGAGGAACAGGAGGAGACAGGGTCTAGGGTTCCAGTGGTTTTGTTTTGTTCCGCAGTGTTGCAATGTGTGTCGCATTGCCGGATCTCAGGCTTCGACGAAACGATGGGTTCGCGTTTGGATGTTAGCTGAACTTCGAGGGAGTAGAACCAGGGAGGCTTCGTTGGCGGAAGCCAGCGGGACTTCGTCGGAAGCCAGCGGAAGTTCAGGCGCAGTCAGGACGCCAAAATAAAAAGATGTGTGTTTCGCCAGGGGTTCGCTGTTCCCTGGATCCTTCCACGATTGATCCTCTGATTCGCGCTCCTGTTGCACCCAGGAGCTTTTAGGGCCAAGACAGGGACGCTGTTCCTTGTCCAGCATCCCTTACGGTAGAAGTTTGTCAGCAGACCTTCCGAGAGAGAAGCCGCAGCGGGCGCCCTCACAGGCTTCCGAAGCCGGCCAGATGGCAGAGTACAGACCTGGCGGGAGTAGAACGAGGGCGGTGTCGTTGGCGGAAACCAGCGGGGCTTCGTCAGAAGCCAGCGGAAGTTCAGGCGCAGTCAGGACGCCAAGATAAAAAGATGTGTTTTCGCCAGGGGTTCGCTGTCCCCCGGATCCTTCCACGATTTGATCCTCTGATTAGCGCTCCTGTTGCACCCAGGAGCTTTTAGGGCCAAGACAGGGGTGCTGTTTCCTCGTCCAGCGCCCTTTGCGGTCCAAGCTTGACAGCAGACCATCTCAAGAGATGAGCCGCAGCGGGCGCCCTCAAGAGGCTTCCGAACCTGGCCAGGTGGCAGAGCGCGGAAGGCGACGAGGAGGAGCAGAAGAGGTTGGCGCAGCAGTTCGGCATGGACAGCTTCGGCACCCAGATTGCCTCGCAGGTGCACCTGTGCGGCCAGGTGTGGCGCGGGGGGGGGGGGGGATGCGGCGAAAAGCAGAGGTTGGGTTGGGTTAGGTCGGGTGGTGCGGGGGTTGGGCTGGGTGCGCGAGGGAGGCGGAGAGATGCAAGGGGAAGGAGGGAGGGGATGTGGAGGGAGGGGGAGGGAGAGGGAGGGAGAGGGCTTGTCCTCTCATGGTTCCCCACAGGTCAGCGGCCAGGAAGTTACGAGGGAGAGGGAAAAGGGGAGGCAGGAGCACCACAAGCAGCCGCAGGGAAAGGGCACCAGGCGGACAGGCGGGCTAGATCCTGGCTGCGGGAGCCTCGGCCGCTTCTGCACGCCCTTCGAGTAGCCCAGCACACTCAGTCTGGGGTACAGTCGGGGCTCAAGAGACGGGGGTCAATGCAAACGGGGGTCAGCCAGAGCGCCCGATCTTGCAGGATCCTGCCGGGTCAGGGTCGCATTGACCCGGGCTTGGGCGCAGGACCCTGCAGGATTTTGCAGGATCCTTCGCATTGACCCGGGCTTGGGTGCAGGATCACGCAGGATCTTGCAGGATTCAACGAGGCCTAACTGACCCGGGTCTGGGATTGGGCCCCGGTCAGAAGATCCCCGATGCAGCGCGACGGCGGCGGCACGCTCGGCCTGGGGCACGGCGCGCCCCGCAAGCGGGTTCAGCGGCGCTGCGGCTGATCTTGTGCAGACCCGTCGCCCGCAGGGCTCCGACGTGCCCCGCGCAACCGCCATGGCAGCAGGCCGCACGTCGATCACGGCTCCAGGGCTGCCCCTCGCCAAGCCCGTGGCATGCCCGCCGCACTCTGCCATGCGAGGCAAGTAGGCACGGCCTGCCGATCCGTCCTGCGGGTGTGGACAGAGCAGTGCGGTCCAGCGCGAGTTTGGGCACGGTTTCATGTGCAGTCTCTCTGCGAATATACACTACCCAAAAAACGACGGCGGTTTGGTCATTCTCTGGATCCCAGAAGAAACTGCGCCACTGTGGGTCCAGCACGTCCGATTCCCAAGAGAATCTGCGCCACGATGGCTCCTGCATGCTCGACCCCCTCCCAAGAGGAACTCCGCGGCTCTGAGACCTTCCAGTTTGACACCCACCCGTGCTCGGTGCGCGCCCGCCACGCGCGGTGGCGCAGTTGCGTCGCCTCGGCGAAGATCTCGGAACGCGACTCCTCGCACTGGGGTCGGCGCGCGGCATCAGGCAGACTCCTCGCGCGACTGGGCCGCGCTCGGGCGCACCGGGGAGGATTCGCGCGGCGCCACGCAGCTCCCTCGCGTGGGCAGCGCTCGCGCGCGCAGGGGAAGCGCGGTTTCCGCGGGGGTCGGCGCACCCGGCGCCGAGGCAGCCTCCCTGCGCGCTTCGGCAGCGCCCGAACGCGCGGGAGAAGACTCGCGCGTCGCGCCGGCGGCGATCTGGGAATAGTATTTCGGGAGCCTTGAGACGGGGGTTCATGCAAACAGACCGGTCTTGCAGGATCCTGCAGGGCCATGGGCGCACTGCCCCGGGCTTGGGAGCAGGAGCCTACAGGACCTTGCGGGATCTTGCGGGATCCTGCGAAGCGTGACCGACCCTGGTCTGGACTGACCCGGGTCAGTAGATCCCCGAATGTTCCAGCGTTGCGGTCTCAATCCGCGAATCGGATGGCGCTTCGCTGCGCGACTGCACGCGCGCGCGTGCGCGCGGATGTGTTTGCGGGTGCGCCGCAGCCGCGTCGCACATGCTGGCGCACCGCTGCGCGACCACCGCGCGGGGGGATCTGCATGGAAAGAAAGTCAACAGCGTCTCTGGGAGCCTGCAGGCCGCGTTCAGATTCCTCGGGCGCTCAAATCCCATGATGGTTTCCTCACGGCTTCTTCTGGTTCGTCAAAGTTCCACGCGGTTCCTCTGGCGGCGTCGCAATTCTTGCGGCTTCTTGGGGCCAACTGTGGCTTCTTGGGGTTCCCTGAGACTTCCTGGGGCTTGCTGGGGTGCCCTGAGGTTCCCTGAAGGATCCTGAGGTTTCTTGGTGCTCATTGAGCTTCATGAGGCTTCCTGGACTTTCCGGAGCCTTTTTGGAATTCCCTCAAGTTTCCTGAAGCCTCCTGAGGTTCATGGGGCTCCCTGGTGTTTCCAGGGCTTTCCTGGTGTTCCCTCTGGTTTCCTATGGCTTCCTGTGGTTTGATGGATTTGGGGGGGTTCGTTGGAGCCTCCTGGGGCTTCCTGGGGCCCCATGAGGCTCCTTCGGGCCCTTTGTGGCTCCCTGAGTTTCCTGGGGCTTCACGGCACGTTTTGGAGCCCGCCCTCTGTACCGCTAAACGGCAGGCGAGCTAACCTTCGACCGCCGACGTAGCTCATTTGGAGCTCCGCTGAACGTTCCGACCATCAATCGCTCGCTGTTCGACGGTAGTCGGAAGCGGCGCTCGCTCCGGAGAGACGGCATGAAGGAGAGAGGAAGGAGAGGGAGAGAGGAGGGGAGGGAGGGAGGGAGAGAGGGAGAGGAAGAGGAGGAGCCGCATGCCCGCCCAGCCCCGCCCCTCCAGCTCGACCTCTCCAGAGATTCCAGATCATCCTAGTATCTGTGAAATATTTAGGCTATTCATTTTGACTTGGTCGCATTGATGTCCTCTTCTCACCCCTCTCGCGTTCACCACTCATGCTGGGGTTACGGCCTCCTCTTACCTCATGCGGTATCCATTCATGCCGGGGTGTCCCCCTTCATTGTTGACCCTCCATGCTGCTGGGACCACCCCCTCATATATTGACCCCTCATTCTGTTCGTTTGATTTTCTTTGTGTGTTACCCTTCACTCTGGGTCTGCGACCCCCCATGCGTTGACCCAATCCCTGGAACTTTGACCCACATGCGTTGACTCCTTCCTGCTGGGCTTTCAACCTTCATCATTTGACCCATCATGCTGGGGCTTTGGGCCCTCCAGTCACAGACTCAAGATGTGGCTTCTCATGCGGTGACCTTTGCCCTGGGTCTACGACCCTCCATGCGTTGACCCCATCGCTGGGGCTTTGGCCTCATGCTGGGCTGTCGCTCCTCATCATTTGACCCATGCGCTGTCCCCTCATGCTGGGGCTTTGGCTCCTCAGTTGTTGACCCGCCACGTTGTCCCCTCATGGGATGCGCTGCGTTTGGTCTTCGCATTTCATTCCGGTTCGCTTCTCGCTTCCACCGTCTGTTGCCCCGTCTTTTTTGCCACGTTGCTACCCTGGTGTGATTGCTCTTTCTAGCTCATCCTGTTACCCCGCACAAGCGTTCTGGCCGCCATCTCAACCTTGTCCTGCGCATCTTGGTACTAATTGTTGTACCATGCTACGGCCACAAGGTATGCGGAATGCACATGCCATCCGCTGGAGCTCCGACCCCTCATTTGCTGACCCCTCATTTTGGGGCCGCCCCCTCGCGCATTGACCCCCCACGCCGTGCAATGGACATCTCATGCGTTGCGCCTTGGCCCCTCATGCGTCGACCCCTCCTGCCACGGCGCGGGCCCCTCATGCGATGATTCCGAATGCGGGAACTACGGCCCGTCATACATGGACCCCTTCATGGATTACCCCTTTCAGCGCACCCGCATCAACATGCGGGTCGCCCTCACCCGCACGCACCTCCTGGTTAGATTGCGGCTAGACCTCCATGACGGGACAAATGTCGCCCCTGGAGCACCCACGCACGCTTGCTTCATACATTGTTTCCTGTTTACAGAGACCAGCCACCCCAAAGGCTGTGTCACGGAGTGCCCATGCTAATTGCTGGGGCAAGGGCTCCCATGTGTTTGACATCGGTGGGAGACATAGCGTCTTCGACCGCCTTGCGGCCATTCTGCTGAGGAAGTGGAGAGGATTGGCCATATGCAGATAGCGAGCAAGCGAGCCTCCTCCTCGTCCTCCTCTTCCTCCCCCTCCTCCGCCTCTCCTCCTCCTCCTCTTCCTCCTCCTCCTCATGTCCCTTGTCCTTGTTATGTTCCGTTTCCTCCTTTCTTCTTCTCTTTCCTCCATCTTGTTTTCTTGATCAAAAATTATTCCGTTCAAAGTCTAGTTCTCGCTTCAGCGCCGCGCACATTTACTTTAAAGTCTGCAACAATGCCAAGGATGGAGGGCGGCCCGTTTACAAGATTTGGTTCTCGCCTTAGCGCAGCGCACACTCACCTTCAAGTCTGCAGCAGCTTCAAGCATGGACGGCGGCCCGTTTACAACATTTGGTTATCACCTTTAGCGCCGCGCGCATGCGTCTGAACAGCTTGCAACAAATTGAAGGGCTCGCACGGTTGAAGTCGATGGAATTTCCTTATGGTACGATTTCGGTTGTGGGGACGCAACAGTCACATGGATTCGCGGTGTTGAAGTCCCAGGAAGGGTACTCCGGAACGGTTTAGGGCTGTCAGGGCGTGAAGTCCCAGGAAATGTCTCTTGGCAGTATTGACGAGTATCAAAGCTGGCGCAACGAAAATAAATGATTGCAGGGGCCTATGAAGAGGGAATTTGGGGGAGGATGTATTGCAGCATCGTTGATGCGTCTTGGGCTTGCACTGGTCCTCCTCCTCCTCCTCCTCCTCCTCCTCCTCCTCCTCCTCCTCCTCCTCCTCCTCCTCCTCCTCCTCCTCCTCCTCTCCCTCCTCCTCCTCCTCCTCCTCTCCCTTCTCCCGCCTCCGCCCTCCTCCCTCCCAGTCCTCCTCCGCGCCCACCTCCAGCCCTGCCGCAAAATCCTCCCGCTCTCCCCTCCCCCTTTCTCTCCCTCCTCCCTCCCCGTGCTCGACCTTGCTGCCGTTCCCCCTCCGGGCCTGCCGCCGCCCGGTCTTGTGGGCTCCCCCAGGTGGCCGGAGCCATACGCGAGGTGTTGCCAGCGCAGGCGATCATCTTCATCGTCGTCCTCCCCACGATTCAGACCTCCAACGTAATGAGAAAAACAAAGTTTTTCCTAGTCTCCGGCCCTTCGGGGCCCTCGCAGGGCCCCAGGACCTTCAAGCAGTGGTTCGGGTTGAAGAGCTGGCCCCGACAAAAGGGTCCAGACCATTCCGGGGACCCCGTATCGAGAGAAATTCAATACATCGGACGCCTGGATATGTCTGATTTCTGTATAGGACGGTGGGTGGAAAGGTTGGTACAGATTCGGACGTGTGAGACTCTTGTACAGTGGAGACCCATGCCAAGAAACACCCTGCTTGCTTCCAGGGTGCCCTGGGTTTCTTGGGTTTCGATGGTTTTGCTGTGGAAAGCGCGACGTGCCCACACCAAAAATCGGGCCGAACGAAAGGGGGGGATAGGGAAAGGGGGGTTTACGAAATCTACTGCATGCAGCTGGTTTCGGCCCCGCCGCCAGGCCCATTCCTCGATACACGGGCGCCTCCTGGCGCCGGGAGGCGCTGGGAAAATCAGCTACGTGAGCTGATTCTCTACCCTACCCTTTGCTATCCCCCCCTTTCGTTCCCCACGAAAAAAGCAATTGACGTTTTGGGGTCTCAGGTTTGAGTTTCGTGTGGAAGGTTTCTTGTGGACTGGCTTCCACTTGTACGGGAAAGGCCAAATGGCCTGACCTGCCAATTGCAACCCCCCATCGCAGTCCTCTCCAGATCCTCAGCCTATTCAGCGTGCTTCCCCTTGGTGGTGTTAAATCGGGCCTGTCCCTCTACAGGAGGAATATTCAAAAATTGCAACAAAAAAAAAAAGTCTGGGGACGATTTTTGCATATTTATATAACTAGTTTTGGATTGTTTGTTTTATATTTAGTTGTTCGCTTCCAAAATCCGCCTGTAGGTGGACACGCCCGACCTAACCCTTGGTGGGGGTATGCGACCGTGGGATTGAGATTCCCTTGCCCGTTCCTAATGTTAGCCCCGGAATCGGAGAGGGAAGATCCCCCCCGCGCTCTTCCACAGAGGAAGAGCGTTCGTTCCCAGCGGCGAGAGATTCATGATGCTTCCTCCCCGGCGGTTGCGGCGGTTGCAGCGTTCCAGTTCCGCTCAGTTTGATTGGCTCGTACTATTCGCGCGACGCGGAGGCACGTGCCTCCAGCGATCTTGGGCGGCTCAAGAATGTAGCATTCAGGGCTCAACAGTTGTTTCGTAGCTCTTGCACTCACATTACGAGCTTTCCGTATTGGGGAGGTCAATTCAGCTCGGAGGTCGGGTAAAGGTGGGACGTGGGTGACCCTTCTGGCGGAGATCTCCCACCGCGCCAGGGCGATGCGTCGTCTCGGCCCCACGCACTCCAGAGCAGGGAGGCCTGCCGCCAGGAGCTCGAGCATGGCTGCACCGCCGATGGCTCCACACACACACACACACACACAGCCGACGTCGGTGCTTTTTTCTCGCAGCGTAGCTCCCCCAGAACAGCCTCTCCCGGCGTCTCGTGCTTGTTGACAGTCCCAGGTGGCCGGGCAGGGGCCCCCCCGGGGCGCCGTAGCACGTCCCACAGAAAGGTTCGCGAGGTGTTGTTCGCCGTGCGAGGACATCTGCATCGTCCCTGGCATGGAGTCGGGCCTGTCCCTCTACAGGAGGAAGATTCAAAAATAGTCCACAAAAATAGCACGGGGACGATCCGTTCGCCCACAATCCGCCTGTAGGGGGGCATGCCCGACCTAACCCCAGCATCATCACGTGATCCGTAGCCGCTCTGGCTCAAGGCAGGGCTCCCCCTCCCTCCGCGCGCGAGCGCGCGAGGTCTCCCCAGGCGGGGCATGGCGGAGGAGGACAAGCCGTCCGAGTCCTACCCCATCTTCGCCCTCGCTCAGAAGAGGAGCCTCCTGCTAGGCGAGGCATGCGCGGACCGCGCGAAGCTGGCGGAGGAGGTGATGGCCGTGGTGAAGGAGATCAGAGGATGGCCAGTTGAGACAGCAGTAGTTGGCTCTTGGGGGGCCCTCGTCGCCATGGTTGGACGCAGCTCGGAGAATCCCTGTTTGTGAACTCTCGAACAGGTCCAGGGACCGTGTTCAGGCAGCCGTTGTCTCAATTCGCCCTGCTCCGAAAGGAGAAGAGCATGCTCCCGTACTACGAGACGTACCTCTGCCCTTCGCCGCTAGGGCCGGCTGACGAGGCGCTCAAGGCGGAGATGAAGGCGCGCAACGAGGAGGAGTTGGCCAAGTTGGAGGAGAAGATCAAGGACGCGAAGGAGAATCTGGGGGACATAGAGATCCGCGACGCGATGCTGGCGAAGGCGGAGTTTTTCAACCGTATCGGCGACAAGGACATGGCCATCCAGTCCTACCAGGACGCGTTCGGAAAGTCGGTGGGCGTGGGCGCTAAGCTCGACAACATCCTTACGGTGATCCGGATTGCATTCTTCTTCGACGACAAAGAGTTATCCAAGAAGGAAATAGAGCGCGCTAAGGCCGAGCTTGGGAAGGGCGGCGATTGGGAGCGCCGCAACAAGCTCAAGGTCTACGAGGGCATCTACCACATGATCTTCCGCAACTGGAAGGAGGCCTTACGTCGGGTCCAGGATCGGGATAATTAGCTCCAGAGCGTTCCAGAGGGCATTCAGAGCGGTATGGAACGCTCCCGAACGGCCTCGGCGCCTGATACATCCACCAGAAGCGATCGATCTCAGAGATCCCCCGTTTATCCCGATCCGAGTTTGTCCCGTTCTTGCCCACGTTTCGGAGGCTTCGACGCTTTTCCTCAACGTGATGCCGACGTTCACGGCGACGGAGCTCGTCGAGTTCAAGGACTTCGTGTTCTACACCGTCCTGGTCACGATGCTATCGGGGGACCGCCCGACGCTGCGGGAGAAGCTGGTCAGCAGCCCAGAGGTGCTTAGCGCCATCAAGGATCCATGAGGGCTTAATTGCTTTTGGGTCAAGCCAGACAGATTTAGGTGAATCCAGATATATCGAGGTAAACACTCGTAGATCTAACCCAGGGATCTTCAGAGAAATCTGGAGCACATCGTGGACGTTCTAGCGCGAGTCGAGGGACAGCAGAAGCCGTTACGCCCTGTACGGAAGGAGACGCCGCACCTCCAGGAGTTCATGGAGTCATACTTCCACTGCCGGTACAAGCCCTTCATGCAGCATTTCGTGCCCGTCATCGACCACTGCCGGGCTGACCGGTACCTCAGAGGTTGGTTGCATGTAAGAGTGACCCGTCGCCTGAGTGGCCCTTTTGAGCGGGCCCACTGGCCCCCCCCGATCGCCGAATGCGTTCGATAGCTGTGTGTTGTACACCTGGGTCAGCCCTCCCCCCGCACCTCCCTGGAGCCGCGCACCGAAGGTCATTCGTGCCCAGGCTTTCTCTTGCGTGTAGCCGAAGAGGGCACGTCCGTTATTTCCAGCGGAATATGCGTCTGAACGCATACAGGCAGTTCCTCACCTCCTACCGCTCTGTGACGTTGGAGGCCATGGCTAACGAGTTCGGGGTCTCCGCAAGCTTCATCGACACGGAGCTAGCGTCCTTCATTTCGTCTGGCAAGTTGACTTGCAAGATCGACAAGGTCGGCGGCGTCGTCGAGTCCAACGAGGCGGATCAGCGGAGTCAGGTTTACATCGAGATCATCAAACAGGGAGACCTGCTGCTCAATCGGATGCAGAAGCTCTCCGGCGCCATTGACATGTGACCGCGCCGGCGCCCACGACGCCGTCGACATGTGACCGCCCCCCCTCCAGACATCCGACGCCGTGATTTCTTCACAGCGTGGCTCCCCAGTGGTCTGGACCCCTTCCTGCGGGCCCGTTCTTCATCCCGAGTCGTTCTGCTTGACGGCCCAGGGGCCCAGCGAGGGCCCCAAGATGCCAGAAAATACCAAAAACTTTCTGCGAAAAAGATCAATTCGCAACGCGAGGATGTCACGTCGAGGGTCAAGGTGCCCCCAGCTTCGCACTCACATTTTGGTGCCCCTGGAGCCCCCTGGGCCTCGTCGAGGATGCTCTGGAGGCCATGGGGCCTTCCCTGGAGTCGAAGAAGAAAAAACGCCATAAACATACACTTGTTTGGCGCTCCGCGCGGATTTCTGGGATCCGCGCTGGGGCCCCCCCGGCGCCGCCTCTGGCGCCGCCCCTGGCGCGCGGAGCGCGCCAGGGAGGGGGTTTCTAGCCCGGATCCAAGAAATCCGCGCGGAGCGACAACAGTTTATGCTTATGCAGCTTTGTCTTCCTCTATGGAGGGCGCTTGGCAACGATTCCAGATGAAGAACCGGTCATGGGGCGAGGCGACGGGGGGTCCAGGACCCGCTTCCTGCAGGACCCGTTTCTGTCATGCCAGCCTTCCGCCGCGCCCCCCGTTCGTTTCGGGAGCAGTGCAGGGGGGGGGAATGGTTCGGGGGGGGCATCGGCCCCCAGTCTACAGTCGACGCGTATCAGAAGGCTGCGCGAGGTAAGGATGCCAGGGCCCTGGAAGGCCGTTTCGAGGCTTTCCGAGCGGGACGCGGCCAACGGAAGTGGCCAAGGACGGACCGAGGAGGCAAGGATGCAAGGGCACCCTTGGGAAGCTGCCCATACTCACTATGAGGGTTGACTGTCGATGCTCGTTCCGGGGACCTTCCTGGGGCCAACCTGACGGATCGGTTCGGCTCTACTTCAATTATACCTCGATTTCACTTCGACTCAGGCTCGTTTCAAGTCGACGGACGTTCGACGCAGCACCGGCGCATGAGAGGAGCGAGGGGTTTCAGCACGGTCCTTGAAATGATAATGTAGCATTGTCGTTGCATCCATCGCCGACCTCGATGACAGAAGGGACATGCTGAACGCCCGCAGGTCCGCGCTGACCTCCGACAGATCACGCGTATGCCAGCTCTGGCATTCTGCGCTCGGGGCACGGGGAGCCTGACCCGCCCAGGAACAGTGGGGTCCCCACCGCCGCCCCATCGGCGATGTATCGTCGATTCGAGGTCATTGTAAGTCGGGCCTGTCCCTCTACAGGGGCAATGTTCAAAAATAGTCAAAAAATAACATGGGGACTATTTTTGGAGTATTTTGTTACCATTTTGGAGTATGTTTGAAGTATGTCTTATTTTTCGTCGAAAATCCCTCTGTAGGGGGGGCACTCCCGACTTAAAGGTCGTTGCTTTTCCCCCTGAGCCAGTCCGCCCCCCTCCCGGGCCCCCCCCACTTCTGCCCGCCGGAAGCGTTGGCTGATAGCGGCGAGCAGGAGAAGGCCGTTGGCTGGTGGGGGGGGCGGCCAGAGGGGGATGGGGAATGATAGTGCGACCAAACGAGTGAGAAATGCTTGGGGGTCGCAGCGCCCCAATGGAAGTGGACAGTTTAAATGAAAGATTCCCACGTCGTCGTCGTAGCCGCGCACCCAGACGGGAACAAAAACGCAAGTATATTCGTCATTACCGAATTTGTTGTCGAGTCGCTTGGTTGCATTACGAAGCTGGTGGGGAGAATGAGCAGGCGTGTTCGGCGGTTTGCCAGGTCAGGGTTCCCTTGGCGGGGAGCCTGGATCCCTTTGCGTTGCACATCGCGCCGCGAACAGCAAAAGGCGCCTCTGCGGCTGTGCACAGTTGCGATGGAGGCAGCGATGGGAGCCACGATGAGGGGCAACGATGGGGGCCACGCTGGGAGCATCAGGATAGAGCGGATAAGGATAGGGATAGGGATAGGGACAGGGGTATAGGATACGGACATGCACAAACAGGGGATAGGGATAGGGGCAGGGGTAGGGATAGGCCAAGAGACCCTCCCCGCCCGCAAGCTGTCTCGCTCACTCCCACCCGCCCTCCCAACACATACGTAGCACCCGAGCCTGGCCCGAGCCGCAGCATATGCAGCAGTCGTCTTTGGATGGGCAGCTACTGGGGGCGAATCCGCCGTCGCCGCCGCCTCCGCCGCCGCCGCCGCCGCTCGCCGCCGCCGCCGCCGCGCCGCCGCCGCCGCCGCCGCCGCTGTCCCGCCGCCGCCGCACGCGCCGCCGCCGCCGGCGCGCCGCCGCCGCCGCCCGCCCCAGCTGCCGCCGCCGCCGCCGCCGCCCGCCGCCGCCTGCCGCCCCCGCCCCTCGCGCCGCCGCCGCAGCCGCCGCCCCCGCTGCCGAATCGCCGCCGCCGCCCGCCGCTGCCGCCGCCGCTGCCGCCACCGCTGCCGCCGCCGCCCCCGCCCCCGCCCCCGCAGCCGCTGACCCCGCCGCAGCCGCTGCCGCCACCGCTGCCGCCGCCGCCCCCGCCCCCGCCCCCGCAGCCGCTGACCCCGCCGCAGCCGCCGCCGCCGCCGCTAAGTGTGCTCTGTATTGCTTTTTTGGCAGGGATGGTGGGGTGAGGCCGCATCGGGTTGGCTGCGCATGCTCCGAATTTGGAGGCAGAGTGTGTTTTGTATAGTTTTTTACAAGGGATGGCGGGGGGGGGGCCCGCATTGACTCGGGTTGGCTCCCAGTCGCCTGGGGGAGGGGTGTTTATTAAAACGGAACAGTGATATAGGGACGGCAATGGGAGGCCGTGGGAGGCCACGGGGGGCCATGGGAGGCAATTGGAAGCAATTGGAGGCAACGAAGGGCCACAGGGGACACCGGGAAGCAACGGGCAACAACGGGAGACAGCGCCGCCCGACCGATGCCGGATCCAGCAACGCACCCATCAGATTCTCAAGAATTGTTGTATCGAGCATTGGCAGGCAAGCTGTTTAGGGAACAAGTTAGGAGAACAAGCCATTGCATAAACATACTAACCCGGAAATCCGCGCGGATGTCTCGGATCGGCCTTGGGGCCCCTTGGCGGCGCCTCCAGCGCCGCACCTGGCGTGCTCCGCGCGCCAGGGAGTGGGGTCCAGCGCGGATCCAAAACATCCGCGCGGACCTCCGAGTTGTTATGTTTATGTAATTGTTCGTCCCCTTAGAGTGGAAACAATGGGAGGCCGCGTCGCGCCACCGATTGTGGAATCGGCGATCCGTCTTCTAGTGCCGCAGAAATTCTTGTCGCCTCGTGTAAAAGCCCATCTGAAAACGATCATTGGGAGATTTGCCTTGATCAGGGAAGTGTAGTAATACGCAGAGGAACAGAGAGGGGGGGGGCTTTATACGCCTTCGCGGCTCAGTCGAAGCAGACGGCCAGGGAGGAGGAGGAGGAGGAGGAGGAGGACGCGGAGTAGCAGAAGGAGGAGGAGGAATAAGATTAAGAAGATGAAGTTGTTGATGATGGTGATGCTGATGATTATGATGATAATGATGGTAATGACGACGATTATGTTGAGATTATTACGATGAGGATGCGGATGAGGATGAGGGTGATGATGATGATGATGAGGAGGAGGAGGAGGAGGAGGAGGAGAGGAGGAGAGGAGGAGGAGGAGGAGGAGGAGAATTAGGATGAAGATGAGGATGAGGATGAGGATGAGATGACGTGGGGCTGTTCTCGGTCGAGTCGGCTCCAGGAAAGATTTGCGTCAGTTGTTTGTTTCTGAGTTCGAGGACCACGGGGACGAGGATGAGGGAGAAGAGGAGCATGAGGAGGAGGAAGAAGAGGAGGAGGAGGAGGACAAGGACGACAAGAATTGTTTGAGCCATCTTGGGGTCTTCTTGGGGCACTAATGGGGTCCTCTTGGGGTTTGCTTTAGGTCCTCTTGGGGCCCTCTTAGGGCTCTGTTGGAAGGCCCTGGGACGCCCTGGAATTTTCATAGGGCTCTGTGAAGGTCTCTTGGGGCCATTTGGGGGCCCTCTTGGGGCCCAAGAAGGGAAGTGGAAAGTGAAACGCTCTGAACCACATCCGCCCAGAGGGCTGGTAGAATTAATGTAGTTCCCTTACACACATGCTGTTTAGGGGGTCCTGTGACTGTGATATGATTGCTTCTTCTGGTCATCATTATTCCTCTTGCTTGTCCTCCTCCGCCTTATCCTGAACCCCTCCTCACTCCTTCTCCACATTCTCGTCCTCTTCCTTTCTCCTGATCCTTGTTCTCCTCTCCCCTTCTGCCTCATCCTCGCCACCGTCATCGTCATCCCTCCTGCACGTGCTCCTCCTGTCTCCTCCTCCTCCACCTCCTCCTCCGCCTCCTCCTCATCTCTTACGCTCCGCTCCTCATCCTCCTCATCCTCCTCATCCTCCTCACCGGTGGGAAGCTGCCCGTGCCCACAGAACATCCACCGAGGAAGCGCCCCAGAGCGCGCCCGCCCCAGCGGCACCCGGCCCAGGCCAGCTGCCGTACGCTGCGTGGGCGGCTACGCCTGGTGCAATCTCCCCCGGTCGTTGAAAGTGGGCATTTTTCGAAGAAAAGACTATTTCGTCAGCGGCGAGGCGGCGAACTCCGCTCCAGCGAGAAGCTAGAAAGGGGCACTAACTAGCGAATTGGCCAGCGGGCAAAGAGGGGGGGGGGAAGGCCGAGAGGAAGAAGGGACGCTCAGACGTCGAAGGGTTCGACGATGAGCAGCGGGGGGGGGACCAGCAGCCAGGCGCGCAGGGCCAGAGCGCGGAGGGCGGCCGTGGTGAACCACGATGGCAAGGGTTGCGGGAGGGCGGTTGCCAGCAGCTGGAGGTCGAAGGACAAAAAACGCTATAAACATAAACTGTTGGCGCTGCGCGCGGGTTCCTTGGATCCGCGCTGGGGCCCCCCCGCGGCACATCCGGCGGCACATCCGGCGGCTTTCCATATCCCATTATATGTTGAGCGCCTTCCTACTTCAATTTTCGAGTGGCTTCACCCTTTCCGTCCTCCCGGGGGGGCGGACGGAACCCAATATGTTTTCAATGTTTTCTTGTTTCATGTTTCTATGTATTTCTTCCGACCGATGAGTGTCTACAGTGCACGCTGTCATGTTGCAGATTTTCTCGACTTGTTCTCGACGGGCCACGTTCCGCATGGGTTTCAGTTCTCTGGTCTCTGTTTTCCTCTCAAAGGGATTCAGATGTCGCCAATGATATCGACTGTCTTCCGGACGCTGGATATGTCGGCCCTCTGAGTTTGAAGGACGCTGATTCTAAGATTGTGGCATCTGCCATTACTCGAGCCTTGACCCCCTTGGTCAAGGAACGCACAGACCCCGTTCAGCAGGGGTTTGTCCAAGGGCGGTAATTTACAGCCAATATCGTTTCATTCGACCTTGAGGCCCGCCGCGTTTCCTATTTCCCCGAGCGCCGGCCGATGTTCTTCTCATTTGATGTGCGCGCGCCGCGTTTCCTATCCTATCCCAGGTTTTCCTCTCTCTCCCTCCTTGCCCATGGCCTCCCCGAGGGTTTCACAATACCACTCGTGCTTTCTATGAGCTCCCGCTCGGCTTCGTGAGGCCTGGGCCCACCAGGGAGCCGTTCTGCTGGATCAGCCCCAGCGTCCTACGGGGATGCTTGCTGAGCGGGTCTGCATGTGCACCAGCATTATTCAGGAGGGAAAAAACACACAGACACAATTAATCGTCGATTCCCCAGAAAATATGCGAAAATATGGGAAGTGGGGGGAAGACAAAAACCCAGAAAATATAGGAATATATAGGGGATCCTTTTTATTTCTGTGTATTTATTTGTGTGTCCCAGGGCCCCTTCAATTATTCGACGCCCCTCTTCGCCACCTCCGCGGATTGCTCCCCTTGGGCTCCCTCGCGGTGGCGTGCGCCGACGGCACAGGGTTGTTGCTAGCAGAGGCCCGCCTGCTCAGCGCTGCCCTGGCACCCTTCGGAGCCGTGCGGGCGCTGGCAAATCCTGCGCTCCAGTCCTCAGGAGGGGAGAAAAAAACACAGACACTATTCATCGTCGACCACCAGGAGATATAGGAAAATATGGGAAGTAGGGGGGAAGGCAAAAACCCAGAAGATATGGGAAAATATGGGGAATCCTGTTATTTGTGTGTGTGTGTCTTTATATCCACAGAATGCAGCCTTGTACCGTTGTGGGGCCCGTGCTCGCCCGAATGCGAGGCCGAAGCTCGCGCTCTTCTCGCCTCACACGCCCCTGAATGGTCTGCACTTGCCAGCGTCGGAGCTTGCAAGTACCTACGCGTTGACACTGATCCTGCTGCCACGCTTGCCATGCAGTGGCGGGCTGCTGCCCAGAAGTGATGGACACGCGCGCAGCTCCAGGCTACCGCCGGCGCTGCGATGGCGATCGATGTGCATGCGCACATCACTTCGACGATGCCTGTGTTGTCATATCTTGCTCAGTGTTTTGCCGTCGATTGCAAAATTCTGCGATACGGGATCTTTGCACTACACACGGTTTGCCTGCTACCCCCAGACTCGCTGAAGCTGGCCGTTTCCCACTCCCTCCACTAGTGGGGCAAAACGGGGCTCCCCTCCATCGTCACCTATAGCGCAGCCGCGGCCTGGCGGCTTTGCTCATTTACGATTGACGGGATGCGGCGTCCTCGCCTAGATTCGTTGTCAGAAACAGCCAACACGCACGGTTCCCGAACTATTGTTTTGGATTCCTGAGTCCGCCCTTCCTAGCAGCAGCAGCAGCAGCAGCAGCAGCAGCAGAGCATCGGTGAAATGTGCGCCTCGATGGCCAGCGGCCGCCCCATCCGGATTTCCTCTCGTAGACAGATCTCGATTGCCACCTTGCGCGCCGCCCAAGGGGCCAGCCGCGACGCGGTCGCGCAAGCCGCACGCGGTGCCCAGCGCCCCAGGCTTCGACGGGCTGTCGCTCGCGCTGTGTCTGCGTCCGTGTTTCCCGGCACCTGCCGCGTCCACCATCGCCACGCGTCTCAGAGTGCAGGACCCATCATCCGAGGCGCCTGCCGATTCAGAGCTCCGCTGGCAAGCACTGCGGCGTGAGCTGGCGCAGCTATCCACGGCCCACCAGTGGTGCGTGGCGGAGAAGCTCTGCGCGGGCTGGATCGCGTCCCACAAAACGCACGTCTGGAAGCCTCGTCCTTGCCATTTCTGTTGCTCGGCACGAGAGTCGACGTGCTACTGTTGGCAATGCCCTCGGCTCACGCATTTTACTGCCCTTCCCCGAGCCTTTCCGAGTCCGCGCGTACTCGTCATGTGGGACCTGGGCTCCGAGCAGGATCCTGCCTCCCCAGACGATGCTCGCCTGGCGGTCACCCGCAGGATGATTATCGCATCTTATTTGTTTCACACGGTGAAATTCGAGCTGGACTCCGCCATAGCGCCAAAGAGAGCGCATCCTGGGCTCTCATATACCTTCGCTCACAGATGCCTGCTGGCGGCACGCCAGAGCGCCGAGTTATAACTTTTCACCGGAATTCTGATGTCAGAGTCCCAGGCATTTGCACCAAAGTTTCTGGGCTTCCACGGGGCATGCACTTGCACGACAGTTTCCGGGCCTTCCCAGGGCGTGCACTCGTTGGCAGGGCGGGCGGGTTGCTCGGAGGCGGTCTTGTGGTAGATCTCGGGTGTACTCGTGTATGCTGTGAAGAAACTGTCACGGATAGCCCTCCCGCTGCCCTGGCCACGGGGCCGATACAGTTGGGGCGCATGTCAAGAAACACCTTGCCTGCCTGCAGGGTGCCCTGGGTTTCTCGGGTTTCAATGGTTTTGCTGTGGAAAGCGTGACGTTCCCACACCAAAACCAATGGACGTCCTGGGGTCTCAGGGTTGGGTTTCTTGTGGAAGGTTTCTTGTTTTCGGGCCCCTACTGTAGCGATGTAATATGTCAGTTCATCGACTACTTGCGGGGGTGGGGGGGAGGTTTTATCATGTGGTTGGGCGTGGCGCTCATGCCAGAAATTGCCGTGGCAAGTCGTGCCCACGCCCCTGACCGTTGAGAACATGCCGCCCCTTCACATTGCTGGGCCTCTTTCCTCGCTGTCCACTGCCCGATCGCGGTGCGGCCCCGGCTCCTGTAAAGTCGTTGCGCCTGCCTCTCTTCGCATGGATCGGCGCGCCTCAGTCTACGTCAATTCCTCCTCCTCCTGCTCCTCCTCCTCCTCCCCTTCCTACCCACCCGCCCTCCTTCCGATAAGCAAGTTCCCGTCAGTAGGGCTGGCTGGGCGTTTCGCCAGAGGTTTCTTCGCCAACCATGGCCCTGAAGCTTGAAATTTCCAGCAGATACAAAGATGGAGGGTGGCCCGCTTTCAGCATGTGGCTCTCGCCCAAGCACCGCGCATCTTCGTTTGGAAGGTTTCAAGTAGCTACAAGGATGAAGAGCGGTTCCTTCACAAGATGGGTTCGTCTTTGCGCCGCGCACATTCGTCTCAAAAGGTCTTCCCATCAGCTACAAGGATGGAGGGCGGTGCCTTTTCAAAGTGGGACGTTCGTTTGAGGTGTCTGGAAGTTACCCCATTCAAATCATAGAACTGTGTTCCTGTTGCACGAGCACTGATGGAAGGGGATTTCGTCTCCAAACCGGGTTATCAATCCAGTTCATTCGTTTCCCCAAACAGTGTTTGCATTTGGGGTTCTTATATGGTCTAGGAGGATTCAGGCCTGGATGTCGCTCCACCTGGCTTGTTGTCGCCGTCGCCGCCGTCCGTCGCCGCTGCTTCTGGGCCTGGATGTCGGTCGCCGCGCTTGTTGTCGCCGTCGACGCCCGTCGCCGCCGCCACGTTGCACCCTCCCCCCACCCCACACCCCAGTTGCGCATCACATAGCTTACACCACATAATACACACCACATACGGGTACGCGAATAAGCTCCACAGAGTTTGCTCGACATAGCCTACACCACATATATTGCATCGCGCATTATGTCACCACTCATGTTGCGTACCACATGGATTGTGCCACATATTTTACACCACAGAGACAACACAACGTAGATTGTACCACTCAGCCTAGGCCATACCACATATATTGCACCACACTTGCTTAACATAGATTGCACCACCTAGCTTGCCCCACCTACACTGCACCAGTATATTATCGTCAATGGTGTTCTTATCTTATTGTGTTATCCTACTGCACTCGCTTTGGATCAAGCTCTCACGTTCACACTATTTGGGTGCCCCTCGCTCGCGGACGCGCGCAAGCAGCAATGAAGTGTTCCGTCCTGGTCTCCATCCTCGCTCTCGCGGGCGTGCGTGGCGCGACCGCTGGCGAGTCAAATCCCCTGGGCAAGGTCATCGAGCTCATGGACTCCCTGGCGGCGAAGCTGGTCGCAGACGGGGATGCCGAAGACAAGGCATTCCACAGGTATGTGGAATGGTGCGACGAGACGACTTCGAATCAGAAGTACGACATCGACACCGCAACCACCAAGAGCAGCGAGCTCGGGGCCACGATCGCGAAGGCGACCAGCGATATCGAGGCGGCCGAGGGCAAGATCGGCGACCTGGCGGGCAAGATCGCGAAGGCAGAGGGCGAGCTGAACGACGCCGCGCTGATCCGCAAGAAGGAAGCAGCCGAATTCTCAGCCGGCGAGGCAGAGCTCACGGACACTCTGAGCGCCCTGTCGCGGGCGATCGACCTGATCTCCAAGGAAATGGCCAAGAACCCCGCCGCCTTCGTGCAGATGGATGTCTCGGGCGTGGCCGGTCTGGTCACTGCTCTCAGCACAATTGTGGACGCTGTTTCCCTCGGGGGTGCCGATAAGGATAGGCTCGTTGCGTTTGCACAGGAGCAGCGGGATGCCGCCGAGTCGGACGAGTCTGGTGCCCCTGACCCAGCAGCGTACAGGTCACACAGCAAGGGGATCCTGGACGTCCTCGAGGATCTGAAGGCAAAGGCCGAGGAGCAGCTCGCCACCCTGCGCAAGGAGGAGTCGAGCACTCAGCACAACTACGCCCTGTTGAAACAGAGCCTGGAAGACGAGGTTGCCTACAACACGAAGGAGCTGAAAGAGGAGAAGGCGTTCAAGTCGGACACGGAGGAGGCGAAAGCGACTGCCACCGCGGATCTTGCAACGACCACGAAGTTGCTCAAGGACACGGAGGCAGCGAGGTCGGCAACGCAGGCCGATTGCATGAAGTTAGCGACAGACCACGACGTCTCCACCGCAGGCCGCACTGCCGAGCTGAACACGATCGCCGCCGCGAAGAAGGCGCTTGTGGAGACAAGCTCTGGCGCTGTGGAGCAGACGTATTCCTTCATCCAGAAGGTAAGCTCGAGCCTGCGCACTGGCGCAGACCTGAAGGGCGCCGAGGTGGCCCGCTTCGTCAAGAGGCTGGCCAAGGACCATCATTCTGAGGCCCTCGCGCAGCTGGCATCGCGCATCACAGCGCTCATGCAGTACGGCAGTGGCGCCGGGGCGGATCCCTTTGTAAAAGTGAAAGGGCTGATCACGGACATGATAGAGAAGCTTCAAGCCGAGGCTGACGCGGCTGCGACCGAGAAGGCCTACTGCGACGAGCAAATTGCCAAGACCGAAGCGAAGAAGTCGGAGCTCGAGGATGACATCGCCAAGCTGACGTCCAAGATCGACACCAAGAGCGCGCACTCGGCCAAGCTCAAGGAGGAGGTGAAAACACTGCAGACGGAGCTGGCCTCGCTTGCCAAGGAGCAGGCAGAGATGGACCAGATCCGCTCTGACCAGCACGCAGACTACCTCCAGGCCAAAGCCGACCTCGAGCTTGGCCTGGAGGGCGTGGGCAAGGCGCTCTCGATCCTCCGCAAGTACTACCAGGGTGACGGGGCCGCCATGCTCCAAAGCCAGCAGCCAGCGAAACCCGTGTTCCACAGCAAGGCCGCAGGCGCAGGTGGCAGCATCATCGATATCCAGCTGCTTGCGGCAAGTTCCGCCACCGTTCCAGCCCAACATTATCGGTGGCAACTGCTCGAAACAATGATTTTCTGCGGCACGAGAGGAGGAAGAAGATGAGGAGAGGAGGAGGAGCAGGAGGAGCAGGAGGAGGAGGAGGAGGAGGATTGTTGCGGACGAGTGGGATAAATAAGATGCTGTCGTTGGTAACGATTGTGATGACGATAATGATGATGATGATGATGATGATGATGATGATGATGATGATGATGATGATGATGATGATGCTGATGCTGATGCTGATGCTGATGATGATGCTGATGCTGATGCTGATGCTGATGCTGATGCTGATGCTGATGCTGATGCTGATGCTGATGCTGATGCTGATGCTGATGCCGATGCCGATGCCGATGCCGATGCCGATGCCGATGCCGATGCCGAATGCCGATGCTGATGCTGATGCTGATGCTGGTGCTGGTGCTGGTGCTGATGCTGATGCTGGTGCTGGTGCTGCTGGCTGGTGCTGGTGCTGGTGATGATGATGATGATGATGATGATGATGATGATGATGATGATGATGATGATGCTGCTGCTGCTGCTGCTGCTGCTGCTGCTGCTGCTGCTGCTGCTGCTGCTGCTGCTGCTGGTGGTGGTGGTGGTGGTGGTGGTGATGATGGTGATGATGATGATGATGATGATGATGATGATGATGATGATGATGATGGTGGTTGTGGTGGTGATGATGATGATGCTGCTGGTGATGATGATGATGATGATGCTGACGACGAGGAGGAGGAGGAGGAGGAGGAGGATGAGGATGATGAGGATGAGGATGATGATGATGGTGATGATGATGATGGAAACGATGAAGATGATTAAGATGATGAAGATGAGGATGAAGATGAAGAAGAATAAGAAGAAGAGAACGAGGACGAGGATAGTGGCGCTGACGATGGTTATGAGGCGGAGGGGGAAGAAGAGGAAGGAGAAGAGGGGGCGAGCAATCACATGTGACACTTTCCCTCTGCAGTTCTCGAGGAGGCCTCATGGACTTCATTCCAGTTTGAGGCCCTCGTGGGTCCGTCCTGGGCTGTCCAGGGCCCTTCTCAGGCTGCCTTGAAGCCGTCTTGGAGGCCTCTTGGACGACGTTGAGGCCCTCTTGGGCCGTCGTGGGGCCATCGTGGAGGCTTCGTGGACCGGTTTGAGCCGACGGAAGCCCGAAAAGGCGAGAATGCACACACCATTCGAAAATTACAGAAAATGAATGATGTTGGCCTAGTCGGGCCTTGTTGGAGGTTCTCTTAGAGCCCTCTTGGCCGTCTTGGAGGTCTCTCTGACTGTCTCGAGGCCATCTTGAGACCATCTGAGGCCGTCCTGGAGGCATCTTGGACAATCTTGGCGGCCCTGGTGGCCTGCTCGGGCCGTCTTGGAAGCCATCACGGGCAACTGAGACGCCTCGGAGAGCGCCAGGGTGGCGTCTAGCAGCACAGATAGCCTTGGGAGGGGGGTCGATGCATGCAAATGGATGCTAGTAAACGGGGGGAGGCCCCTTAGACGATTACAGAGACCTTAACAGACGGCACTTGGCTTTCTACCACGCCTCAACGTGCCAGTGGACACGGTGGCGGATCCTGGAGGTCGTAGAGTCCGATTTCGCGAAGAACCTTGCCGACGAGGAGGCAACGGAGGCGGATGCGTTGTCCTCGTACGATGCCAGGACGCAGGAGATCAAGGTGTCCATGGCCACGAAGAGCCAGGATGTGAAATACAAAGTGCAAGAGTTCAAGGGCTTGGACAAGGACGTCAACGAGCTGTCCGCTGACCGCACGTCCACCAACGAGGAGCTGTCGTCGGTGCTGGAGTACTTTGCCCAGGTCAACCAGCGCTGCATCGCCAAGCCGGAGACGTACGAGGAGCGCAAGGCCCGCCGCGAGGCCGAGATACAAGGATTGAAGGAAGCCCTTGCGATCCTGAGCGACGAGACCGCTGCGTCGCTCCTGCAGGCGCGCAAGCACCGCTCCCTGCGCCAGGGGGCCCTGACCGCGTGAGGTGGCCTGCCGTGCCCGTGCGGCGGCCGAGCGGCTGCGCAGCCAGTGCTGGGGCGCTCCGGGAAGGGCCCCGCCGCCGAGGGATCGAGAAGCTGACACCTCTGCCCCAGCGGAAGGTGGCGGAAGGGCGGCGGAAGCCAGCGGAGGAAGTCCAGTGAGGGATGGAGGTGCTTCATTTTCGAACCAGGGCTCTCGTCGCTCTGGCGCCGCGCACACCCGTCTCACAAGCTCGCAGCAGCTTCACGCACGGAGGGCTGGTGCTTCTCAAAATAGGGCTTTTGCTTGAATCTTCCGTCAAAGTGTAGGGCATTGGACCGGAGCAGGGTATGCAGCAGCTGCGCGAGTGGAGGCCGGTTCTTTTTCAAAGGGGGGTTCTCGCTTGAGACCTCTCTCGAACATCACGACTACACAGTGGAAACCCATGCCAAGAAACACCCTGCTTGCCTCCAGGGTGCCCTGGGTTTCTTGTGTTTCGATGGTTTTGCGATGGAAAGCGTGACGGTGACGTTCCCACACCAAGAATCGATGGACCTCCTGGGGTCTCACAGTTGGGTTTCTTGTGGAAGGTGTCTTGTGGTCGAGCTCCTGTTGTATGCGGCAGGGTTCACCGGCGGAAGCCGGTAGAAGTACAAGATCCAGGACGTCAGGAGTCGGCCAATTCGAGCCAGCCGCTTCCGCCTCACCTTCTTCCGCCTCCCTCATCCTCCTCCGCCACCCTCCGCCTGCTCCTTGGACACCAGCCAATAATAGAATAGATTGCCACATGCCCACTTCACATCCTGCTCACCATCGTCATAGTCATCGTCCTTCGGCGACACTCCCCTCTCACCTCACCCCTCTGTTCTCGTTCTCACCTTGCGCCTCAACCACCTCCGCCTCAACCACATTCAAACTGAGAGGGACAAAGTTCGTCAGTGGTGCTCGTATCTCATCTGATCCTCCTACCGCACTCCTGTTGGATCAAGATGTCTCGCTCACACGATTTAGATGCCCCATCCCACACCCCGGTTGCGCACCACATAGCTTACACCACATAGTTCACACCACATACGGGTACGCGAATAAGCTCCACAGAGGTTGCCCGACATAGCTTACACCACATATATTGCATCGCGCATTATGTCACCACTCATGTTGCGTACCACATGGATTGTGCCACATAGCTTACACCACAGAGACAACACAACGTAGATTGCACCACTCAGCCTACGCCATACCACATAGATTGCACCACACTTGCTTAACATAGATTCTCCTTTCTAAAAACAGAATAGGATCTACCCCCCCCCCCCGGGGGAGGTAGATCCTTCCGGGTTCACCTTGCGGGTGTGGTCATAATCATATATAATTATGACCACATGTCCATCCTAAATATGAATTTGCACTATCCCCGGGGGGCCGGTATCCCCCCCCTGAGGTTCCTTTGTAAAAAAATCACTATGCGGTGGCATGTTTTGTTCTAACATAACACTTTTTCACGAATCCCTTGCAAAAAAAATTACGAAGTGCACACGCGCGTCGTCGCGCGCGCATGCCGAAATCCTTCAAAAACCTTCGGTGCTGGAAGGATGTCGCAATCGAGTTTCCAAAAAAACTTACAAAAAACACAGGGTTTTGCAACATTGAATTGCTAAGAAATCTTCCGCGCGAGCTCTTGCGAAATCTTAAGAAAACCATGTATGTTTCAAGATTTTCACAACATGCTATAAAACGGGCTTCGCGCGCGCGCAGGTCGAAATCTGTCGAACGCCCTTGCGCGTGTGCCGTCGCGAGAATCCTCTGCAAAAAATGTGACGAAGTGCAGACGCGCGCGTCGTCGCGCGTGTATGCCGAAATCCTTCAAAACCCATAGGTTTCGGAAGGATTTCATAATCGTGTGTCCAAAGAACCTATTATCCCAGTGCGACCCTACCTAGGAGTTGGAGCATTCAGGAAAGCAACATCTACATCTACACCGACAGCTACGTTTACATCTACACCTGCATCTACATGTACATGAACATCAACAGCGAGCTCACATCTACATCTACATATACACCTACATCTACATCTACCTCTACACCTACATCCACACCTACACCTACATCTACATCTACATCTACATCTACAATGTCGCATGGGTGTTGCTTTTGTTTTGCATTGCTTTTGCTCTTGCCGCTGCTGTTGCCTTTGCTCTTGCTGTTGCTGTTGCTGTTGCTGTTGCTGGTGCTTTGCTACGCTATGGTATGATATGTCATGCTATGCTGCGCTATGATGTGCTGTGCTATGCTATGCTGCGCTGTGCTATGCTAAGCAATGCTATGCTATGCGATGGTGCGCTATGTGATGTTATGTTATGCTGAGCTATGCTATGCTATGCTATGCTATGGTTGGATATGATATGCTATGATATGCTGGTATAATGCTGCGCTGCGCTAAGCTAAGCTAAACGAAGGTAAGCTAAGCTATGACAAGCTAAGGCAGGTTAAGCTATGCTAAGCTAAGCAAGGCTAAGCTAAGCTAAGCCAGGCCAAGCTAAGCCAAGCTAAGCTAAGTTAAGATGAGATAAGCTAAGCTAAGCTAAGCTAAGCTAGGCTGGGGTACGCTCAGCTATGCTAAGCTTAGCTGAGCTGAGCTAAGCTAAGGTAAGCTAAACCAAGCTAAGCTAAGCTAGGGGAACCCAGGGTGCGCAACTGGGGGAACCGCGGGGCGGATCCTAGGGGAACCGCCCAGGGCGGGGAACATTGCCCGGCCCCTTTAAGCTAATAAAGTAAGAACCCTTCTAGGCAGAGCCTAGGTAGGGAACAAAAACCCAAGGTTTCGCAACACGTATTTTCAACAAAAGCGTGCGCGCGCGCTCTTGCGTCGTCGTCGTCGTCGTCGTCGCCGTCCTCCCTCCTCCCGCGTCGTCGTCGTCGTCGCCTCTGTCGTCCTCTGTCTTTCCTCGTGTTCGTCGTCGTCGTCCTCGTTGGCGTCGTGGTCGTTTCCGTCGTCGTTGTCGCCGTGGTCGTCCTTCCTCCTCCTCCTCCCTCGTCGTCGTCGTCTTCCGTCGTCGGCGTCTCGTCGTCGTCCCTCCTATTTCGTCGCCGTCGTCGTCGTCGTCGTCGTTGTCGTCGTCATCGTCTTCCTTCCTCCCTCGTCGTTGTCGTCGTCGGCGTCGCCATCATTCCTCCTTCTTCGTCGTTCGCGTCGTCGCCGTCCTCCCTCCTCCCTCGTCGTTGTCGTTGTTGTCGTCGTTGTCGCCGTCGTCGTCCTCCTTCCTCCCTCGTCGTCGTCTTCGTTGGCGACGTCGTCGTCGTCGTCGTTGTCTTCGTCGTCGTCGGCGTCGTCGCTTCGTCGTCGCCGACGTCGGCGTCGTCGTCGTCGCCGCCGCCGTCGTCGTCGTCGTCGTGGTCGGCGTCGGTGACGTCGTCGTCGGTGTCGTCGTTGTCGTCGTCGTCGTCGTCATCGTCGTCGTGGGTTTTGCAAGCCAAGTTGCGGGTGGGTGGGTGGGATGTTTGCAAGAGCGCAGGATGTGTCAACTCGTTTGTTAAAATCAATTGCACCACATAGCTTGCCCCACCTAATTTCAATGCACCAGTTCCTTATCGTCAATGGTGTTCTTATATTATTGTGTTATCCTACCGCACTCGCTTTGGATCAAGCTCTCACGTTCACACTATTTGGGTGCTCCCCCGCCCCTCGCTCGCGGACGCGCGCAAGCAGCAATGAAGTGTTCCGTCCTGGTCTCCATCCTCGCGCTCGCGGGCGTGCGTGGCGCGACCGCTGGCGAGTCAAATCCCCTGGGCAAGGTCATCGAGCTCATGGACTCCCTGGCGGCGAAGCTGGTCGCAGACGGGGATGCCGAGGACAAGGCATTCCACAGGTATGTGGAATGGTGCGACGAGACGACTTCGAATCAGAAGTACGACATCGACACCGCAACCACCAAGAGCAGCGAGCTCGGGGCCACGATCGCGAAGGCGACCAGCGACATCGAGGCGGCCGAGGGCAAGATCGGCGACCTGGCGGGCAAGATCGCGAAGGCAGAGGGAGAGCTGAACGACGCCGCGCTGATCCGCAAGAAGGAAGCAGCCGAATTCTCAGCCGGCGAGGCAGAGCTCACGGACACTCTGAGCGCCCTGTCGCGGGCGATCGATCTGATCTCCAAGGAAATGGCCAAGAACCCCGCCGCCTTCGTGCAGATGGATGTCTCGGGCGTGGCTGGTCTGGTCACTGCTCTCAGCACAATTGTGGACGCTGTTTCCCTCGGGGGTGCCGATAAGGATAGGCTCGTTGCGTTTGCGCAGGAGCAGCGGGATGCCGCCGAGTCGGACGAGTCTGGTGCCCCTGACCCAGCAGCGTACAGGTCACACAGCAAGGGGATCCTGGACGTCCTCGAGGATCTGAAGGCAAAGGCCGAGGAGCAGCTCGCCACCCTGCGCAAGGAGGAGTCGAGCACTCAGCACAACTACGCCCTGTTGAAACAGAGCCTGGAAGACGAGGTTGCCTACAACACGAAGGAGCTGAAAGAGGAGAAGGCGTTCAAGTCGGACACGGAGGAGGCGAAAGCGACTGCCACCGCGGATCTTGCAACGACCACGAAGTTGCTCAAGGACACGGAGGCAGCGAGGTCGGCAACGCAGGCCGATTGCATGAAGTTAGCGACAGACCACGACGTCTCCACCGCAGGCCGCACTGCCGAGCTGAAGACGATCGCCGCCGCGAAGAAGGCGCTTGTGGAGACAAGCTCTGGCGCTGTGGAGCAGACGTATTCCTTCATCCAGAAGGTAAGCTCGAGCCTGCGCACTGGCGCAGACCTGAAGGGCGCCGAGGTGGCCCGCTTCGTCAAGAGGCTGGCCAAGGACCATCATTCTGAGGCCCTCGCGCAGCTGGCATCGCGCATCACAGCGCTCATGCAGTACGGCAGTGGCGCCGGGGCGGATCCCTTTGTAAAAGTGAAAGGGCTGATCACGGACATGATAGAGAAGCTTCAAGCCGAGGCTGACGCTGCTGCGACCGAGAAGGCCTACTGCGACGAGCAAATTGCCAAGACCGAAGCGAAGAAGTCGGAGCTCGAGGATGACATCGCCAAGCTGACGTCCAAGATCGACACCAAGAGCGCACACTCGGCCAAGCTCAAGGAGGAGGTGAAAACACTGCAGACGGAGCTGGCCTCGCTTGCCAAGGAGCAGGCAGAGATGGACCAGATCCGCTCTGACCAGCACGCAGACTACCTCCAGGCCAAAGCCGACCTCGAGCTTGGCCTGGAGGGCGTGGGCAAGGCGCTCTCGATCCTCCGCAAGTACTACCAGGGTGACGGGGCCGCCATGCTCCAAAGCCAGCAGCCAGCGAAACCCGTGTTCCACAGCAAGGCCGCAGGCGCAGGTGGCAGCATAATCGATATCCAGTTGCTTGCGGCAAGTCTCGCCACCGTTCCAGCCAAACATTATCGGTGGCAACTGCTCGAAACAATGATTTTCTGCGGCACGAGAGGAGGAAGAAGATGAGGAGAGGAGGAGGAGCAGGAGGAGGAGGAGGATTGTTGCGGACGAGTGGGATAAATAAGATGCTGTCGTTGGTAACGATTGCGGTGACGATAATGATGATGATGATGATGATGATGATGATGATGATGATGATGATGATGCTGATGCTGATGCTGATGCTGATGCTGATGCTGATGCTGATGCTGATGCTGATGCTGATGCTGATGATGATGATGATGATGATGCTGATGCTGATGCTGATGCTGATGCTGATGCTGATGCTGATGCCGATGCCGATGCCGATGCCGATGATGCCGATGCTGATGCTGATGCTGATGCTGATGCTGTGTGCTGGTGCTGGTGCTGGTGCTATGCTGATGATGCTGCTGCTGCTGATGATGATGAAGATGCTGACGACGAGGAGGAGGAGGGGAGGAGAGGATGATGAGGATGAGGATGATGATGATGATGATTATGATGATGATGATGATGATGATGATGATGATGATGATGATGATGATGATGATGATGATGATGATGATGATGATGGAAATGATGAAGATGATTAAGATGATGAAGATGAGGATGAAGGTGAAGAAGAATAAGAAGAAGAGAACGAGGACGAGGATTGTGGCGCTGACGATGTTTATGAGGCGGAGGGGGAAGAAGAGGAAGGAGAAGAGGGGGCGAGCAATCACATGTGACACTTTCCCTCTGCAGTTCTCGAGGAGGCCTCATGGACTTCATTCCAGTTTGAGGCCCTCGTGGGTCCGTCCTGGGCTGTCCAGGGGCCTTCTCAGGCTGCCTTGAAGCCGTCTTGGAGGCCTCTTGGACGACGTTGAGGCCCTCTTGGGCCGTCGTGGGGCCATCGTGGAGGCTTCGAGGACCGGTTTGAGCCGACGGAAGCCCGAAAAGGCGAGAATGCACACACCATTCGAAAACTACAGAAAATGAATGATGTTGGCCTAGTCGGGCCTTGTTGGAGGTTCTCGTAGAGCCCTCTTGGCCGTCTTGGAGGTCTCTCTGACTGTCTCGAGGCCATCTTGAGACCATCTGAGGCCGTCCTGGAGGCATCTTGGACAATCTTGGCGGCCCTGGTGGCCTGCTCGGGCCGTCTTGGAAGCCATCACGGGCAACTGAGACGCCTCGGAGAGCGCCAGGGTGGCGTCTAGCAGCACAGAGAGCCTCGGGAGGGGGGTCGATGCATGCAAATGGATGCTAGTAAACGGGGGGAGGCCCCTTAGACGATTACAGAGACCTTAACAGACGGCACTTGGCTTTCTACCACGCCTCAACGTGCCAGTGGACACGGTGGCGGATCCTGGAGGTCGTAGAGTCCGATTTCGCGAAGAACCTTGCCGACGAGGAGGCAACGGAGGCGGATGCGTTGTCCTCGTACGATGCCAGGACGCAGGAGATCAAGGTGTCCATGGCCACGAAGAGCCAGGATGTGAAATACAAAGTGCAAGAGTTCAAGGGCTTGGACAAGGACGTCAACGAGCTGTCCGCTGACCGCACGTCCACCAACGAGGAGCTGTCGTCGGTGCTGGAGTACTTTGCCCAGGTCAACCAGCGCTGCATCGCCAAGCCGGAGACGTACGAGGAGCGCAAGGCCCGCCGCGAGGCCGAGATACAAGGATTGAAGGAAGCCCTTGCGATCCTGAGCGACGAGACCGCTGCGTCGCTCCTGCAGGCGCGCAAGCACCGCTCCCTGCGCCAGGGGGCCCTGACCGCGTGAGGTGGCCTGCCGTGCCCGTGCGGCGGCCGAGCGGCTGCGCAGCCAGTGCCGGGGCGCTCCGGGAAGGGCCCCGCCTCCGAGGGATCGAGAAGCTGACACCTCTGCCCCAGCGGAAGGTGGCGGAAGGGCGGCGGAAGCCAGCGGAGGAAGTACAGTCAGGGATGGAGGTGCTTCACTTTCGAACCAGGGCTCTCGTCGCTCTGGCGCCGCGCACACCCGTCTCACAAGCTCGCAGCAGCTTCACGCACGGAGGGCTGGTGCTTCTCAAAATGGAGCGTTTGCTTGAATCTTCCGTGAAAGTGTAGGGCATTGGGTTGGAGCAGGGTATGCAGCAGCTGCGCGAGTGGAGGCCGGTTCTTTTTCAAAGGGGGGTTCTCGCTTGAGACCTCTCTCGAACATCACGACTACACAGTGGAAACCCATGCCAAGAAACACCCTGCTTGCCTCCAGGGTGCCCTGGGTTTCTTGTGTTTCGATGGTTTTGCGATGGAAAGCGTGACGGTGACGTTCCCACACCAAGAATCGATGGACCTCCTGGGGTCTCACAGTTGGGTTTCTTGTGGAAGGTGTCTTGTGGTCGAGCTCCTGTTGTATGCGGCAGGGTTCACCGGCGGAAGCCAGTAGAAGTACAAGATCCAGGACGTCAGGAGTCGGCCAATTCGAGCCAGCCGCTTCCGCCTCACCTTCTTCCGCCTCCCTCATCCTCCTCCGCCACCCTCCGCCTGCTCCTTGGACACCAGCCAATAATAGAATAGATTGCCACATGCCCACTTCACATCCTGCTCACCATCGTCATAGTCATCGTCCTTCGGCGACACTCCCCTCTCACCTCACCCCTCTGTTCTCGTTCTCACCTTGCGCCTCAACCACCTCCGCCTCAACCACATTCAAACTGAGAGGGACAAAGTTCGTCAGTGGTGCTCGTATCTCATCTGATCCTCCTACCGCACTCCTGTTGGATCAAGATGTCTCGCTCACACGATTTAGATGCCCCATCCCACACCCCGGTTGCGCACCACATAGCCTACACCACATAGCTCACACCACATACGGGTACGCGAATAAGCTCCACAGAGGTTGCCCGACATAGCCTACACCACATATATTGCATCGCGCATTATGTCACCACTCATGTTGCGTACCACATGGATTGTGCCACATAGCTTACACCACAGAGACAACACAACGTAGATTGCACCACTCAGCCTACGCCATACCACATAGATTGCACCACACTTGCTTAACATAGATCCTCCTTTCTAAAAACAGAATAGGATCTACCCCCCCCCCGGGGGAGGTAGATCCTTCCGGGTTCACCTTGCGGGTGTGGTCATAATCATATATGATTATGACCACATGTCCACCCTAAATATGAATTTACACTATCCCGGGGGGGCCGGTATCCCCCCCCCTGAGGTTCTTTTGTAAAAAAATCACTATGCGGTGGCATGTTTTGTTCTAACATAACACTTGATCACGAATCCCTTGCCAAAAAAATTACGAAGTGCACACGCGCGTCGTCGCGCGCGCATGCCGAAATCCTTCAAAAACCTTCGGTGCTGGAAGGATGTCGCAATCGAGTTTCCAAAAAACGTACAACAACACAGGGTTTTGCAACATTGAATTGCTAAGAAAGCTTCCGCGCGAGCTCCTGCGAAATCTTAAGAAAACCATGGATTTTCCAAGATTTTCACAACATGCTATAAAACGGGCTTCGCGCGCGCAGGTCGAAATCTGTCGAACGCCCTTGCGCGTGTGCCGTCGCGAGAACCCTCTGCAACAAATATGACGAAGAGCAGACGCGCGCGTCGTCGCGCGCGTATGCCGAAATCCTTCAAAACCCATAGGTTTCGGAAGGATTTCATAATCGTGTGCCCAAAGAACCTATTATCCCAGTGCGACCCTACCTAGGAGTTGGAGCATTTAGGAAAGCAACATCTACATCTACACCGACAGCTACGTTTACATCTACACCTGCATCTACATGTACATGAACATCAACAGCGAGCTCACATCTACATCTACATATACACCTACATCTACATCTACCTCTACACCTACATCCACACCTACACCTACATCTACATCTACATCTACATCTACATCTACATCTACAATGTCGCATGGGTGTTGCTGTTGGTTTGCATTGCTGTTGCTCTTGCCGCTGCTGTTGCCTTTGCTTTTGCTGTTGCTTTTGCTTTTGCTGGTGCTTTGCTATGCTATGATATGATATGTTATGCTATGCTGCGCTATGATGTGCTGTGCTATGCTATGCTATGCTGCGCTGTGCTATGCTATGCTATGATATGGTGCGCTAGGTTATGTTATGTTATGCTGAGCTATGCTATGCTATGCTATGATTGGCTATGCTATGCCATGATATGCTGTTATAATGCTGCGCTGCGCTAAGCTAAGCTAAACGAAGGTAAGCTAAGCTATGCTAAGCTAAGGTAAGCTAAGCTATGCTAAGCTAAGCTAAGCAAGGCTAGGCTAAGCTAAGCTAAGCCAAGCCAAGCTAAGCCAAGCTAAGCTAAGTTAAGATGAGATAAGCTAAGCTAAGCTAAGCTAGGCTGGGGTACGCTCAGCTATGCTAAGCTAAGCTTAGCTGAGCTAAGCTAAGGTAAGCCAAGCTAAGCTAAGCTAAGCTAAGCTAGGGGAACCCAGGGTGCGCAACTGGGGGAACCGCGGGGCGGATCCTAGGGGAACTGCCCAGGGCGGGGAACATTGCCCGGGCCCTTTAAGCTAATAAAGTAAGAACCCTTCTAGGCAGAGCCTAGGTAGGGAACAAAAACCCAAGGTTTCGCAACACGGATGTTCAACAAAAGCGTGCGCGCGCGTTCTTGCGTCGTCGTCGTCGTCGTCGTCGCCGTCCTCCCTCCTCCCGCGTCGTCGTCGTCGTCGCCTACGTCGTCCTCTGTCTTTCCTCGTGTTCGTCGTCGTCGTCCTCGTTGGCGTCGTGGTCGTTTCCGTCGTCGTTGTCGCCGTGGTCGTCCTTCCTCCTCCTCCCTCGTCGTCGTCGTTTTCCGTCGTCGGCGTCTCGTCGTCGTCCCTCCTATTCCGTCGCCGTCGTCGTCGTCGTCGTTGTCGTCGTCATCGTCTTCCTTCCTCCCTCGTTGTCGTCGTCGGCGTCGCCATCATTCCTCCTTTTTCGTCGTTCGCGTCGTCGCCGTCCTCCCTCCTCCCTCGTCGTTGTCGCTGTTGTCGTCGTTGTCGCCGTCGTCGTCCTCCTTCCTCCCTCGTCGTCGTCTTCGTTGGCGACGTCGTCGTCGTCGTTGTCTTCGTCGTCGTCGTCGGCGTCGTCGCTTCGTCGTCGCCGACGTCGGCGTCGTCGTCGTCGCCGCCGCCGTCGTCGTCGTCGTCGTCGTCGTCGTGGTCGGCGTCGTTGACGTCGTCGTCGTCGGTGTCGTCGTTGTCGTCGTCGTCGTCGTCATCGTCGTCGTGGGTTTTGCAAGCCAAGTTGCGTGTGGGTGGGTGGGATGTTTGCAAGAGCATGGGAAAAAAAAAAAAAAAAAAAAGAAAAAAAAAAAAAAAAAAAAAAAAAAAAAAAACAAAAAAACAAAAAAAAACAAAAAAAAAACAAAAAAAAATAAGAAAAAAAAAAAAAAAGAGCGCGGGATGTGTCAACTCGTTTGTTAAAATCAATTGCACCACATAGCTTGCCCCACCTAATTTCAATGCACCAGTTCCTTATCGTCAATGGTGTTCTTATCTTATTGTGTTATCCTACCGCACTCGCTTTGGATCAAGCTCTCACGTTCACACTATTTGGGTGCCCCCCCGCCCCTCGCTCGCGGACGCGCGCAAGCAGCAATGAAGTGTTCCGTCTTGGTCTCCATCCTCGCGCTCGCGGGCGTGCGTGGCGCGACCGCTGGCGAGTCAAATCCCCTGGGCAAGGTCATCGAGCTCATGGACTCCCTGGCGGCGAAGCTGGTCGCAGACGGGGATGCCGAGGACAAGGCATTCCACAGGTATGTGGAATGGTGCGACGAGACGACTTCGAATCAGAAGTACGACATCGACACCGCAACCACCAAGAGCAGCGAGCTCGGGGCCACCATCGCGAAGGCGACCAGCGACATCGAGGCGGCCGAAGGCAAGATCGGCGACCTGGCGGGCAAGATCGCGAAGGCAGAGGGAGAGCTGAACGACGCCGCGCTGATCCGCAAGAAGGAAGCAGCCGAATTCTGCCACAAGGTGTCCCACGAGCAGGTGACACTGTTCAACCTTCTGAACTGGGTGCACATACAGTTCTCGGTTGTGGTGACGTCCAATGACACGGACGCGAAGAACAACAATTTTGGATTCAGTTTCACGCAGATGCAGGGGCTCAGCATCTGTATGTCATGGGAATATGCCGACAATACGTGGTTATTGTATGGTGGGTTGTATCTAGATGTGTATCATACGAGGGTATGCATAGCAGAGTTCTTTCCTTATGAATGGGCTCGGCGTCACCGAGACCATAACAAAGAGATGCGCGCTTTGCATGGCAACGGACCATCGATGAAGCAAGCACTAGCCAGGGCATTGAAGGCAAAGCACACGCCACAGATGAACAAGAGTCGTGTCCTCACCATGCTGGAAGCAGCAGGTACGGACAAACCGCAGAAGATGTACGATCACTTGAAAAAGTTCTCCACGGAGCGTATGGCTAAGATAGCTGCCATGCCCGCCAAGGAGATTGCTGAAGCGATGAAAGTATGGTTGGAAGAAAAGCCTTACGGTGCTACTCCTCCAGCCAAGCCGCAGCCGCCCAAGAAGCCGAAGGTCTCGCCCCCGAAGCCAAAGACAGGCTGGCAGCATCATGCACGCCTTGACCCTGCTGACTGGGATATTCCCGTGAAGCGCGGCCTTCCGCAAGACTATGAAAGTATGAAAGCTGTACATCTCGTGACAACGGCAGAGTTCCTTGAGCTCGCACGTTTGGACTCATTTTGGCAAAGACCAGATCCTGTGGAGGCATTTGGATTCGTCCTTGCACAATCGCCCAGTCAGGTCTCAAAAGAATTGTTCATGCTGTGTGGCCAGAGGGGTCTGGCTCCCTGCATTACTCTATTAGATGTGCCACTCATTTACGAAGAGAGACGATATATCAAGCAGTTGTACGTATGGCAATATGGAGGATCTACTCAGCAGAAAGTGGAACCGACCAGAGTGCCGACGGCAATAAAATGTACACAGGACGAGCTCATGAACGTGGCGATCCTCGAAGAGCATGCTCCCGAGAAGATCTTCAAAGAGCTCCTGAAGTTACACCGTCAAGCAGCGTCAGCCCGAGACCAGCGGGCAGAGACAACAGGTCAGAAAAGAAAGTTCGACACAATCCCACCGTGGAGAGTGCTGGACGCAGAATTGGCAAGTATTGTGAAGGCTAAATGCAACGGAGGTGCAGACATGGATCTGCGCTGCTGGAGTGGCAGAGTCTTCAATGAAGATCATCCAGGGCATCGTGTGGTATCAGGTTTGTTCAAAGTATCATCTACACGAGCTGTGCAATTACGAGCTGCGTCAGGGCCAGATGGAGTTATCTTCCAGCGATCTCGAGCAGGAGGTATTACCAATGAGGCCCTGGACGAAGAGAAGAATACAGAAGACTTTGTCCCATTCCCCAAGGCCCGCCCCCGCCGCCGCCGCCGCCGCTGCCGCAGCCGCCGCAGCCGCCGCAGCCGCCGCAACCGCCGCCGCAGCCGCCGCCGCCGCCAAGTGTACTCTGTATTGTTTTTTGAAGGGGATGGTGGGGGGAGGCCGCATCGGGTTGGCTGCGCATGCTCCGAATTTGGAGGCAGAGAGTGTGTTTGTATGGTTTTTACAAGGGATGGTGGGGGGGGGCCTCATGGTTCCTGGTTGGCTACCAGTCGCCTGCGGGAGGGGGTGTTTATTAATAGGGAACAGTGATATAGGGGACGGCAATGGGAGGCCGTGGGGAGGCCACGGGGGGCCATGGGAGGCAATTGGAAAGCAATTGGAGGCACGAAGGGCCACGCAGGAACACCGGGATAGCAACGGGCATAAACTCCAGCACACGCATCAGATTCTGCGAGCAATTGGCAGGCAAGCTTTGCTACCTTGTTTGTCTCCTCTCCCGGCTTCCTCCCACCTTGTTTGTCGGTTTTCTCTTTGGCTGCCACCTTTACATTACCTTCCTTCTTTTTGTTTTGTCTATTTTCTGTTGCTCATTGTCTTGTTTTTTGGTTTCTTGTTTCTCTTTTTGCTTGGTCTTCTTTTTGTGTCTTGAAGCTGTTTAGGGAACAAGTTAGGAGAACAAGCCATTGCATAAACATACTAACCCGGAAATCCGCGCGGATGTCTCGGATCGGCCTTGGGGCCCCTTGGCGGCGCCTCCAGCGCCGCACCTGGCGTGCTCCGCGCGCCAGGGAGTGGGGTCCAGCGCGGATCCAAAACATCCGCGCGGACCTCCGAGTTGTTATGTTTATGTAATTGTTCGTCCCCTTAGAGTGGAAACAATGGGAGGCCGCGTCGCGCCACCGATTGTGGAATCGGCGATCCGTCTTCTAGTGCCGCAGAAATTCTTGTCGCCTCGTGTAAAAGCCCATCTGAAAACGATCATTGGGAGATTTGCCTTGATCAGGGAAGTGTAGTAATACGCAGAGGAACAGAGAGGGGGGGGGCTTTATACGCCTTCGCGGCTCAGTCGAAGCAGACGGCCAGGGAGGAGGAGGAGGAGGAGGAGGAGGACGCGGAGTAGCAGAAGGAGGAGGAGGAATAAGATTAAGAAGATGAAGTTGTTGATGATGGTGATGCTGATGATTATGATGATAATGATGGTAATGACGACGATTATGTTGAGATTATTACGATGAGGATGCGGATGAGGATGAGGGTGATGATGATGATGATGAGGAGGAGGAGGAGGAGGAGGAGGAGAGGAGGAGAGGAGGAGGAGGAGGAGGAGGAGAGGATTAGGATGAAGATGAGGATGAGGATGAGGATGAGATGACGTGGGGCTGTTCTCGGTCGAGTCGGCTCCAGGAAAGATTTGCGTCAGTTGTTTGTTTCTGAGTTCGAGGACCACGGGGACGAGGATGAGGGAGAAGAGGAGCATGAGGAGGAGGAAGAAGAGGAGGAGGAGGAGGACAAGGACGACAAGAATTGTTTGAGCCATCTTGGGGTCTTCTTGGGGCACTAATGGGGTCCTCTTGGGGTTTGCTTTAGGTCCTCTTGGGGCCCTCTTAGGGCTCTGTTGGAAGGCCCTGGGACGCCCTGGAATTTTCATAGGGCTCTGTGAAGGTCTCTTGGGGCCATTTGGGGGCCCTCTTGGGGCCCAAGAAGGGAAGTGGAAAGTGAAACGCTCTGAACCACATCCGCCCAGAGGGCTGGTAGAATTAATGTAGTTCCCTTACACACATGCTGTTTAGGGGGTCCTGTGACTGTGATATGATTGCTTCTTCTGGTCATCATTATTCCTCTTGCTTGTCCTCCTCCGCCTTATCCTGAACCCCTCCTCACTCCTTCTCCACATTCTCGTCCTCTTCCTTTCTCCTGATCCTTGTTCTCCTCTCCCCTTCTGCCTCATCCTCGCCACCGTCATCGTCATCCCTCCTGCACGTGCTCCTCCTGTCTCCTCCTCCTCCACCTCCTCCTCCGCCTCCTCCTCATCTCTTACGCTCCGCTCCTCATCCTCCTCATCCTCCTCATCCTCCTCACCGGTGGGAAGCTGCCCGTGCCCACAGAACATCCACCGAGGAAGCGCCCCAGAGCGCGCCCGCCCCAGCGGCACCCGGCCCAGGCCAGCTGCCGTACGCTGCGTGGGCGGCTACGCCTGGTGCAATCTCCCCCGGTCGTTGAAAGTGGGCATTTTTCGAAGAAAAGACTATTTCGTCAGCGGCGAGGCGGCGAACTCCGCTCCAGCGAGAAGCTAGAAAGGGGCACTAACTAGCGAATTGGCCAGCGGGCAAAGAGGGGGGGGGGAAGGCCGAGAGGAAGAAGGGACGCTCAGACGTCGAAGGGTTCGACGATGAGCAGCGGGGGGGGGACCAGCAGCCAGGCGCGCAGGGCCAGAGCGCGGAGGGCGGCCGTGGTGAACCACGATGGCAAGGGTTGCGGGAGGGCGGTTGCCAGCAGCTGGAGGTCGAAGGACAAAAAACGCTATAAACATAAACTGTTGGCGCTGCGCGCGGGTTCCTTGGATCCGCGCTGGGGCCCCCCCGCGGCACATCCGGCGGCACATCCGGCGGCTTTCCATATCCCATTATATGTTGAGCGCCTTCCTACTTCAATTTTCGAGTGGCTTCACCCTTTCCGTCCTCCCGGGGGGGCGGACGGAACCCAATATGTTTTCAATGTTTTCTTGTTTCATGTTTCTATGTATTTCTTCCGACCGATGAGTGTCTACAGTGCACGCTGTCATGTTGCAGATTTTCTCGACTTGTTCTCGACGGGCCACGTTCCGCATGGGTTTCAGTTCTCTGGTCTCTGTTTTCCTCTCAAAGGGATTCAGATGTCGCCAATGATATCGACTGTCTTCCGGACGCTGGATATGTCGGCCCTCTGAGTTTGAAGGACGCTGATTCTAAGATTGTGGCATCTGCCATTACTCGAGCCTTGACCCCCTTGGTCAAGGAACGCACAGACCCCGTTCAGCAGGGGTTTGTCCAAGGGCGGTAATTTACAGCCAATATCGTTTCATTCGACCTTGAGGCCCGCCGCGTTTCCTATTTCCCCGAGCGCCGGCCGATGTTCTTCTCATTTGATGTGCGCGCGCCGCGTTTCCTATCCTATCCCAGGTTTTCCTCTCTCTCCCTCCTTGCCCATGGCCTCCCCGAGGGTTTCACAATACCACTCGTGCTTTCTATGAGCTCCCGCTCGGCTTCGTGAGGCCTGGGCCCACCAGGGAGCCGTTCTGCTGGATCAGCCCCAGCGTCCTACGGGGATGCTTGCTGAGCGGGTCTGCATGTGCACCAGCATTATTCAGGAGGGAAAAAACACACAGACACAATTAATCGTCGATTCCCCAGAAAATATGCGAAAATATGGGAAGTGGGGGGAAGACAAAAACCCAGAAAATATAGGAATATATAGGGGATCCTTTTTATTTCTGTGTATTTATTTGTGTGTCCCAGGGCCCCTTCAATTATTCGACGCCCCTCTTCGCCACCTCCGCGGATTGCTCCCCTTGGGCTCCCTCGCGGTGGCGTGCGCCGACGGCACAGGGTTGTTGCTAGCAGAGGCCCGCCTGCTCAGCGCTGCCCTGGCACCCTTCGGAGCCGTGCGGGCGCTGGCAAATCCTGCGCTCCAGTCCTCAGGAGGGGAGAAAAAAACACAGACACTATTCATCGTCGACCACCAGGAGATATAGGAAAATATGGGAAGTAGGGGGGAAGGCAAAAACCCAGAAGATATGGGAAAATATGGGGAATCCTGTTATTTGTGTGTGTGTGTCTTTATATCCACAGAATGCAGCCTTGTACCGTTGTGGGGCCCGTGCTCGCCCGAATGCGAGGCCGAAGCTCGCGCTCTTCTCGCCTCACACGCCCCTGAATGGTCTGCACTTGCCAGCGTCGGAGCTTGCAAGTACCTACGCGTTGACACTGATCCTGCTGCCACGCTTGCCATGCAGTGGCGGGCTGCTGCCCAGAAGTGATGGACACGCGCGCAGCTCCAGGCTACCGCCGGCGCTGCGATGGCGATCGATGTGCATGCGCACATCACTTCGACGATGCCTGTGTTGTCATATCTTGCTCAGTGTTTTGCCGTCGATTGCAAAATTCTGCGATACGGGATCTTTGCACTACACACGGTTTGCCTGCTACCCCCAGACTCGCTGAAGCTGGCCGTTTCCCACTCCCTCCACTAGTGGGGCAAAACGGGGCTCCCCTCCATCGTCACCTATAGCGCAGCCGCGGCCTGGCGGCTTTGCTCATTTACGATTGACGGGATGCGGCGTCCTCGCCTAGATTCGTTGTCAGAAACAGCCAACACGCACGGTTCCCGAACTATTGTTTTGGATTCCTGAGTCCGCCCTTCCTAGCAGCAGCAGCAGCAGCAGCAGCAGCAGCAGAGCATCGGTGAAATGTGCGCCTCGATGGCCAGCGGCCGCCCCATCCGGATTTCCTCTCGTAGACAGATCTCGATTGCCACCTTGCGCGCCGCCCAAGGGGCCAGCCGCGACGCGGTCGCGCAAGCCGCACGCGGTGCCCAGCGCCCCAGGCTTCGACGGGCTGTCGCTCGCGCTGTGTCTGCGTCCGTGTTTCCCGGCACCTGCCGCGTCCACCATCGCCACGCGTCTCAGAGTGCAGGACCCATCATCCGAGGCGCCTGCCGATTCAGAGCTCCGCTGGCAAGCACTGCGGCGTGAGCTGGCGCAGCTATCCACGGCCCACCAGTGGTGCGTGGCGGAGAAGCTCTGCGCGGGCTGGATCGCGTCCCACAAAACGCACGTCTGGAAGCCTCGTCCTTGCCATTTCTGTTGCTCGGCACGAGAGTCGACGTGCTACTGTTGGCAATGCCCTCGGCTCACGCATTTTACTGCCCTTCCCCGAGCCTTTCCGAGTCCGCGCGTACTCGTCATGTGGGACCTGGGCTCCGAGCAGGATCCTGCCTCCCCAGACGATGCTCGCCTGGCGGTCACCCGCAGGATGATTATCGCATCTTATTTGTTTCACACGGTGAAATTCGAGCTGGACTCCGCCATAGCGCCAAAGAGAGCGCATCCTGGGCTCTCATATACCTTCGCTCACAGATGCCTGCTGGCGGCACGCCAGAGCGCCGAGTTATAACTTTTCACCGGAATTCTGATGTCAGAGTCCCAGGCATTTGCACCAAAGTTTCTGGGCTTCCACGGGGCATGCACTTGCACGACAGTTTCCGGGCCTTCCCAGGGCGTGCACTCGTTGGCAGGGCGGGCGGGTTGCTCGGAGGCGGTCTTGTGGTAGATCTCGGGTGTACTCGTGTATGCTGTGAAGAAACTGTCACGGATAGCCCTCCCGCTGCCCTGGCCACGGGGCCGATACAGTTGGGGCGCATGTCAAGAAACACCTTGCCTGCCTGCAGGGTGCCCTGGGTTTCTCGGGTTTCAATGGTTTTGCTGTGGAAAGCGTGACGTTCCCACACCAAAACCAATGGACGTCCTGGGGTCTCAGGGTTGGGTTTCTTGTGGAAGGTTTCTTGTTTTCGGGCCCCTACTGTAGCGATGTAATATGTCAGTTCATCGACTACTTGCGGGGGTGGGGGGGAGGTTTTATCATGTGGTTGGGCGTGGCGCTCATGCCAGAAATTGCCGTGGCAAGTCGTGCCCACGCCCCTGACCGTTGAGAACATGCCGCCCCTTCACATTGCTGGGCCTCTTTCCTCGCTGTCCACTGCCCGATCGCGGTGCGGCCCCGGCTCCTGTAAAGTCGTTGCGCCTGCCTCTCTTCGCATGGATCGGCGCGCCTCAGTCTACGTCAATTCCTCCTCCTCCTGCTCCTCCTCCTCCTCCCCTTCCTACCCACCCGCCCTCCTTCCGATAAGCAAGTTCCCGTCAGTAGGGCTGGCTGGGCGTTTCGCCAGAGGTTTCTTCGCCAACCATGGCCCTGAAGCTTGAAATTTCCAGCAGATACAAAGATGGAGGGTGGCCCGCTTTCAGCATGTGGCTCTCGCCCAAGCACCGCGCATCTTCGTTTGGAAGGTTTCAAGTAGCTACAAGGATGAAGAGCGGTTCCTTCACAAGATGGGTTCGTCTTTGCGCCGCGCACATTCGTCTCAAAAGGTCTTCCCATCAGCTACAAGGATGGAGGGCGGTGCCTTTTCAAAGTGGGACGTTCGTTTGAGGTGTCTGGAAGTTACCCCATTCAAATCATAGAACTGTGTTCCTGTTGCACGAGCACTGATGGAAGGGGATTTCGTCTCCAAACCGGGTTATCAATCCAGTTCATTCGTTTCCCCAAACAGTGTTTGCATTTGGGGTTCTTATATGGTCTAGGAGGATTCAGGCCTGGATGTCGCTCCACCTGGCTTGTTGTCGCCGTCGCCGCCGTCCGTCGCCGCTGCTTCTGGGCCTGGATGTCGGTCGCCGCGCTTGTTGTCGCCGTCGACGCCCGTCGCCGCCGCCACGTTGCACCCTCCCCCCACCCCACACCCCAGTTGCGCATCACATAGCTTACACCACATAATACACACCACATACGGGTACGCGAATAAGCTCCACAGAGTTTGCTCGACATAGCCTACACCACATATATTGCATCGCGCATTATGTCACCACTCATGTTGCGTACCACATGGATTGTGCCACATATTTTACACCACAGAGACAACACAACGTAGATTGTACCACTCAGCCTAGGCCATACCACATATATTGCACCACACTTGCTTAACATAGATTGCACCACCTAGCTTGCCCCACCTACACTGCACCAGTATATTATCGTCAATGGTGTTCTTATCTTATTGTGTTATCCTACTGCACTCGCTTTGGATCAAGCTCTCACGTTCACACTATTTGGGTGCCCCTCGCTCGCGGACGCGCGCAAGCAGCAATGAAGTGTTCCGTCCTGGTCTCCATCCTCGCTCTCGCGGGCGTGCGTGGCGCGACCGCTGGCGAGTCAAATCCCCTGGGCAAGGTCATCGAGCTCATGGACTCCCTGGCGGCGAAGCTGGTCGCAGACGGGGATGCCGAAGACAAGGCATTCCACAGGTATGTGGAATGGTGCGACGAGACGACTTCGAATCAGAAGTACGACATCGACACCGCAACCACCAAGAGCAGCGAGCTCGGGGCCACGATCGCGAAGGCGACCAGCGATATCGAGGCGGCCGAGGGCAAGATCGGCGACCTGGCGGGCAAGATCGCGAAGGCAGAGGGCGAGCTGAACGACGCCGCGCTGATCCGCAAGAAGGAAGCAGCCGAATTCTCAGCCGGCGAGGCAGAGCTCACGGACACTCTGAGCGCCCTGTCGCGGGCGATCGACCTGATCTCCAAGGAAATGGCCAAGAACCCCGCCGCCTTCGTGCAGATGGATGTCTCGGGCGTGGCCGGTCTGGTCACTGCTCTCAGCACAATTGTGGACGCTGTTTCCCTCGGGGGTGCCGATAAGGATAGGCTCGTTGCGTTTGCACAGGAGCAGCGGGATGCCGCCGAGTCGGACGAGTCTGGTGCCCCTGACCCAGCAGCGTACAGGTCACACAGCAAGGGGATCCTGGACGTCCTCGAGGATCTGAAGGCAAAGGCCGAGGAGCAGCTCGCCACCCTGCGCAAGGAGGAGTCGAGCACTCAGCACAACTACGCCCTGTTGAAACAGAGCCTGGAAGACGAGGTTGCCTACAACACGAAGGAGCTGAAAGAGGAGAAGGCGTTCAAGTCGGACACGGAGGAGGCGAAAGCGACTGCCACCGCGGATCTTGCAACGACCACGAAGTTGCTCAAGGACACGGAGGCAGCGAGGTCGGCAACGCAGGCCGATTGCATGAAGTTAGCGACAGACCACGACGTCTCCACCGCAGGCCGCACTGCCGAGCTGAACACGATCGCCGCCGCGAAGAAGGCGCTTGTGGAGACAAGCTCTGGCGCTGTGGAGCAGACGTATTCCTTCATCCAGAAGGTAAGCTCGAGCCTGCGCACTGGCGCAGACCTGAAAGGCGCCGAGGTGGCCCGCTTCGTCAAGAGGCTGGCCAAGGACCATCATTCTGAGGCCCTCGCGCAGCTGGCATCGCGCATCACAGCGCTCATGCAGTACGGCAGTGGCGCCGGGGCGGATCCCTTTGTAAAAGTGAAAGGGCTGATCACGGACATGATAGAGAAGCTTCAAGCCGAGGCTGACGCGGCTGCGACCGAGAAGGCCTACTGCGACGAGCAAATTGCCAAGACCGAAGCGAAGAAGTCGGAGCTCGAGGATGACATCGCCAAGCTGACGTCCAAGATCGACACCAAGAGCGCGCACTCGGCCAAGCTCAAGGAGGAGGTGAAAACACTGCAGACGGAGCTGGCCTCGCTTGCCAAGGAGCAGGCAGAGATGGACCAGATCCGCTCTGACCAGCACGCAGACTACCTCCAGGCCAAAGCCGACCTCGAGCTTGGCCTGGAGGGCGTGGGCAAGGCGCTCTCGATCCTCCGCAAGTACTACCAGGGTGACGGGGCCGCCATGCTCCAAAGCCAGCAGCCAGCGAAACCCGTGTTCCACAGCAAGGCCGCAGGCGCAGGTGGCAGCATCATCGATATCCAGCTGCTTGCGGCAAGTTCCGCCACCGTTCCAGCCCAACATTATCGGTGGCAACTGCTCGAAACAATGATTTTCTGCGGCACGAGAGGAGGAAGAAGATGAGGAGAGGAGGAGGAGCAGGAGGAGCAGGAGGAGGAGGAGGAGGAGGATTGTTGCGGACGAGTGGGATAAATAAGATGCTGTCGTTGGTAACGATTGTGATGACGATAATGATGATGATGATGATGATGATGATGATGATGATGATGATGATGATGATGATGATGATGCTGATGCTGATGCTGATGCTGATGATGATGCTGATGCTGATGCTGATGCTGATGCTGATGCTGATGCTGATGCTGATGCTGATGCTGATGCTGATGGATGCTGAATGCCGATGCCGATGCCGATGCCGATGCCATGATTGCCGAGCCGATGCCGATGCTGATGCTGATGATGATGCTGGTGCTGGTGTGCTGGTGTGATGATGATGATGATGATGATGATGATGATGCTGCTGCTGCTGCTGCTGCTGCTGCTGCTGCTGCTGCTGCTGCTGCTGCTGCTGCTGCTGGTGGTGGTGGTGGTGGTGGTGGTGATGATGGTGATGATGATGATGATGATGATGATGATGATGATGATGATGATGATGGTGGTTGTGGTGGTGATGATGATGATGCTGCTGGTGATGATGATGATGATGATGCTGACGACGAGGAGGAGGAGGAGGAGGAGGAGGATGAGGATGATGAGGATGAGGATGATGATGATGGTGATGATGATGATGGAAACGATGAAGATGATTAAGATGATGAAGATGAGGATGAAGATGAAGAAGAATAAGAAGAAGAGAACGAGGACGAGGATAGTGGCGCTGACGATGGTTATGAGGCGGAGGGGGAAGAAGAGGAAGGAGAAGAGGGGGCGAGCAATCACATGTGACACTTTCCCTCTGCAGTTCTCGAGGAGGCCTCATGGACTTCATTCCAGTTTGAGGCCCTCGTGGGTCCGTCCTGGGCTGTCCAGGGCCCTTCTCAGGCTGCCTTGAAGCCGTCTTGGAGGCCTCTTGGACGACGTTGAGGCCCTCTTGGGCCGTCGTGGGGCCATCGTGGAGGCTTCGTGGACCGGTTTGAGCCGACGGAAGCCCGAAAAGGCGAGAATGCACACACCATTCGAAAATTACAGAAAATGAATGATGTTGGCCTAGTCGGGCCTTGTTGGAGGTTCTCTTAGAGCCCTCTTGGCCGTCTTGGAGGTCTCTCTGACTGTCTCGAGGCCATCTTGAGACCATCTGAGGCCGTCCTGGAGGCATCTTGGACAATCTTGGCGGCCCTGGTGGCCTGCTCGGGCCGTCTTGGAAGCCATCACGGGCAACTGAGACGCCTCGGAGAGCGCCAGGGTGGCGTCTAGCAGCACAGATAGCCTTGGGAGGGGGGTCGATGCATGCAAATGGATGCTAGTAAACGGGGGGAGGCCCCTTAGACGATTACAGAGACCTTAACAGACGGCACTTGGCTTTCTACCACGCCTCAACGTGCCAGTGGACACGGTGGCGGATCCTGGAGGTCGTAGAGTCCGATTTCGCGAAGAACCTTGCCGACGAGGAGGCAACGGAGGCGGATGCGTTGTCCTCGTACGATGCCAGGACGCAGGAGATCAAGGTGTCCATGGCCACGAAGAGCCAGGATGTGAAATACAAAGTGCAAGAGTTCAAGGGCTTGGACAAGGACGTCAACGAGCTGTCCGCTGACCGCACGTCCACCAACGAGGAGCTGTCGTCGGTGCTGGAGTACTTTGCCCAGGTCAACCAGCGCTGCATCGCCAAGCCGGAGACGTACGAGGAGCGCAAGGCCCGCCGCGAGGCCGAGATACAAGGATTGAAGGAAGCCCTTGCGATCCTGAGCGACGAGACCGCTGCGTCGCTCCTGCAGGCGCGCAAGCACCGCTCCCTGCGCCAGGGGGCCCTGACCGCGTGAGGTGGCCTGCCGTGCCCGTGCGGCGGCCGAGCGGCTGCGCAGCCAGTGCTGGGGCGCTCCGGGAAGGGCCCCGCCGCCGAGGGATCGAGAAGCTGACACCTCTGCCCCAGCGGAAGGTGGCGGAAGGGCGGCGGAAGCCAGCGGAGGAAGTCCAGTGAGGGATGGAGGTGCTTCATTTTCGAACCAGGGCTCTCGTCGCTCTGGCGCCGCGCACACCCGTCTCACAAGCTCGCAGCAGCTTCACGCACGGAGGGCTGGTGCTTCTCAAAATAGGGCTTTTGCTTGAATCTTCCGTCAAAGTGTAGGGCATTGGACCGGAGCAGGGTATGCAGCAGCTGCGCGAGTGGAGGCCGGTTCTTTTTCAAAGGGGGGTTCTCGCTTGAGACCTCTCTCGAACATCACGACTACACAGTGGAAACCCATGCCAAGAAACACCCTGCTTGCCTCCAGGGTGCCCTGGGTTTCTTGTGTTTCGATGGTTTTGCGATGGAAAGCGTGACGGTGACGTTCCCACACCAAGAATCGATGGACCTCCTGGGGTCTCACAGTTGGGTTTCTTGTGGAAGGTGTCTTGTGGTCGAGCTCCTGTTGTATGCGGCAGGGTTCACCGGCGGAAGCCGGTAGAAGTACAAGATCCAGGACGTCAGGAGTCGGCCAATTCGAGCCAGCCGCTTCCGCCTCACCTTCTTCCGCCTCCCTCATCCTCCTCCGCCACCCTCCGCCTGCTCCTTGGACACCAGCCAATAATAGAATAGATTGCCACATGCCCACTTCACATCCTGCTCACCATCGTCATAGTCATCGTCCTTCGGCGACACTCCCCTCTCACCTCACCCCTCTGTTCTCGTTCTCACCTTGCGCCTCAACCACCTCCGCCTCAACCACATTCAAACTGAGAGGGACAAAGTTCGTCAGTGGTGCTCGTATCTCATCTGATCCTCCTACCGCACTCCTGTTGGATCAAGATGTCTCGCTCACACGATTTAGATGCCCCATCCCACACCCCGGTTGCGCACCACATAGCTTACACCACATAGTTCACACCACATACGGGTACGCGAATAAGCTCCACAGAGGTTGCCCGACATAGCTTACACCACATATATTGCATCGCGCATTATGTCACCACTCATGTTGCGTACCACATGGATTGTGCCACATAGCTTACACCACAGAGACAACACAACGTAGATTGCACCACTCAGCCTACGCCATACCACATAGATTGCACCACACTTGCTTAACATAGATTCTCCTTTCTAAAAACAGAATAGGATCTACCCCCCCCCCCCGGGGGAGGTAGATCCTTCCGGGTTCACCTTGCGGGTGTGGTCATAATCATATATAATTATGACCACATGTCCATCCTAAATATGAATTTGCACTATCCCCGGGGGGCCGGTATCCCCCCCCTGAGGTTCCTTTGTAAAAAAATCACTATGCGGTGGCATGTTTTGTTCTAACATAACACTTTTTCACGAATCCCTTGCAAAAAAAATTACGAAGTGCACACGCGCGTCGTCGCGCGCGCATGCCGAAATCCTTCAAAAACCTTCGGTGCTGGAAGGATGTCGCAATCGAGTTTCCAAAAAAACTTACAAAAAACACAGGGTTTTGCAACATTGAATTGCTAAGAAATCTTCCGCGCGAGCTCTTGCGAAATCTTAAGAAAACCATGTATGTTTCAAGATTTTCACAACATGCTATAAAACGGGCTTCGCGCGCGCGCAGGTCGAAATCTGTCGAACGCCCTTGCGCGTGTGCCGTCGCGAGAATCCTCTGCAAAAAATGTGACGAAGTGCAGACGCGCGCGTCGTCGCGCGTGTATGCCGAAATCCTTCAAAACCCATAGGTTTCGGAAGGATTTCATAATCGTGTGTCCAAAGAACCTATTATCCCAGTGCGACCCTACCTAGGAGTTGGAGCATTCAGGAAAGCAACATCTACATCTACACCGACAGCTACGTTTACATCTACACCTGCATCTACATGTACATGAACATCAACAGCGAGCTCACATCTACATCTACATATACACCTACATCTACATCTACCTCTACACCTACATCCACACCTACACCTACATCTACATCTACATCTACATCTACAATGTCGCATGGGTGTTGCTTTTGTTTTGCATTGCTTTTGCTCTTGCCGCTGCTGTTGCCTTTGCTCTTGCTGTTGCTGTTGCTGTTGCTGTTGCTGGTGCTTTGCTACGCTATGGTATGATATGTCATGCTATGCTGCGCTATGATGTGCTGTGCTATGCTATGCTGCGCTGTGCTATGCTAAGCAATGCTATGCTATGCGATGGTGCGCTATGTGATGTTATGTTATGCTGAGCTATGCTATGCTATGCTATGCTATGGTTGGATATGATATGCTATGATATGCTGGTATAATGCTGCGCTGCGCTAAGCTAAGCTAAACGAAGGTAAGCTAAGCTATGACAAGCTAAGGCAGGTTAAGCTATGCTAAGCTAAGCAAGGCTAAGCTAAGCTAAGCCAGGCCAAGCTAAGCCAAGCTAAGCTAAGTTAAGATGAGATAAGCTAAGCTAAGCTAAGCTAAGCTAGGCTGGGGTACGCTCAGCTATGCTAAGCTTAGCTGAGCTGAGCTAAGCTAAGGTAAGCTAAACCAAGCTAAGCTAAGCTAGGGGAACCCAGGGTGCGCAACTGGGGGAACCGCGGGGCGGATCCTAGGGGAACCGCCCAGGGCGGGGAACATTGCCCGGCCCCTTTAAGCTAATAAAGTAAGAACCCTTCTAGGCAGAGCCTAGGTAGGGAACAAAAACCCAAGGTTTCGCAACACGTATTTTCAACAAAAGCGTGCGCGCGCGCTCTTGCGTCGTCGTCGTCGTCGTCGTCGCCGTCCTCCCTCCTCCCGCGTCGTCGTCGTCGTCGCCTCTGTCGTCCTCTGTCTTTCCTCGTGTTCGTCGTCGTCGTCCTCGTTGGCGTCGTGGTCGTTTCCGTCGTCGTTGTCGCCGTGGTCGTCCTTCCTCCTCCTCCCTCGTCGTCGTCGTCTTCCGTCGTCGGCGTCTCGTCGTCGTCCCTCCTATTTCGTCGCCGTCGTCGTCGTCGTCGTCGTTGTCGTCGTCATCGTCTTCCTTCCTCCCTCGTCGTTGTCGTCGTCGGCGTCGCCATCATTCCTCCTTCTTCGTCGTTCGCGTCGTCGCCGTCCTCCCTCCTCCCTCGTCGTTGTCGTTGTTGTCGTCGTTGTCGCCGTCGTCGTCCTCCTTCCTCCCTCGTCGTCGTCTTCGTTGGCGACGTCGTCGTCGTCGTCGTTGTCTTCGTCGTCGTCGGCGTCGTCGCTTCGTCGTCGCCGACGTCGGCGTCGTCGTCGTCGCCGCCGCCGTCGTCGTCGTCGTCGTGGTCGGCGTCGGTGACGTCGTCGTCGGTGTCGTCGTTGTCGTCGTCGTCGTCGTCATCGTCGTCGTGGGTTTTGCAAGCCAAGTTGCGGGTGGGTGGGTGGGATGTTTGCAAGAGCGCAGGATGTGTCAACTCGTTTGTTAAAATCAATTGCACCACATAGCTTGCCCCACCTAATTTCAATGCACCAGTTCCTTATCGTCAATGGTGTTCTTATATTATTGTGTTATCCTACCGCACTCGCTTTGGATCAAGCTCTCACGTTCACACTATTTGGGTGCTCCCCCGCCCCTCGCTCGCGGACGCGCGCAAGCAGCAATGAAGTGTTCCGTCCTGGTCTCCATCCTCGCGCTCGCGGGCGTCCGTGGCGCGACCGCTGGCGAGTCAAATCCCCTGGGCAAGGTCATCGAGCTCATGGACTCCCTGGCGGCGAAGCTGGTCGCAGACGGGGATGCCGAGGACAAGGCATTCCACAGGTATGTGGAATGGTGCGACGAGACGACTTCGAATCAGAAGTACGACATCGACACCGCAACCACCAAGAGCAGCGAGCTCGGGGCCACGATCGCGAAGGCGACCAGCGACATCGAGGCGGCCGAGGGCAAGATCGGCGACCTGGCGGGCAAGATCGCGAAGGCAGAGGGAGAGCTGAACGACGCCGCGCTGATCCGCAAGAAGGAAGCAGCCGAATTCTCAGCCGGCGAGGCAGAGCTCACGGACACTCTGAGCGCCCTGTCGCGGGCGATCGATCTGATCTCCAAGGAAATGGCCAAGAACCCCGCCGCCTTCGTGCAGATGGATGTCTCGGGCGTGGCTGGTCTGGTCACTGCTCTCAGCACAATTGTGGACGCTGTTTCCCTCGGGGGTGCCGATAAGGATAGGCTCGTTGCGTTTGCGCAGGAGCAGCGGGATGCCGCCGAGTCGGACGAGTCTGGTGCCCCTGACCCAGCAGCGTACAGGTCACACAGCAAGGGGATCCTGGACGTCCTCGAGGATCTGAAGGCAAAGGCCGAGGAGCAGCTCGCCACCCTGCGCAAGGAGGAGTCGAGCACTCAGCACAACTACGCCCTGTTGAAACAGAGCCTGGAAGACGAGGTTGCCTACAACACGAAGGAGCTGAAAGAGGAGAAGGCGTTCAAGTCGGACACGGAGGAGGCGAAAGCGACTGCCACCGCGGATCTTGCAACGACCACGAAGTTGCTCAAGGACACGGAGGCAGCGAGGTCGGCAACGCAGGCCGATTGCATGAAGTTAGCGACAGACCACGACGTCTCCACCGCAGGCCGCACTGCCGAGCTGAAGACGATCGCCGCCGCGAAGAAGGCGCTTGTGGAGACAAGCTCTGGCGCTGTGGAGCAGACGTATTCCTTCATCCAGAAGGTAAGCTCGAGCCTGCGCACTGGCGCAGACCTGAAGGGCGCCGAGGTGGCCCGCTTCGTCAAGAGGCTGGCCAAGGACCATCATTCTGAGGCCCTCGCGCAGCTGGCATCGCGCATCACAGCGCTCATGCAGTACGGCAGTGGCGCCGGGGCGGATCCCTTTGTAAAAGTGAAAGGGCTGATCACGGACATGATAGAGAAGCTTCAAGCCGAGGCTGACGCTGCTGCGACCGAGAAGGCCTACTGCGACGAGCAAATTGCCAAGACCGAAGCGAAGAAGTCGGAGCTCGAGGATGACATCGCCAAGCTGACGTCCAAGATCGACACCAAGAGCGCACACTCGGCCAAGCTCAAGGAGGAGGTGAAAACACTGCAGACGGAGCTGGCCTCGCTTGCCAAGGAGCAGGCAGAGATGGACCAGATCCGCTCTGACCAGCACGCAGACTACCTCCAGGCCAAAGCCGACCTCGAGCTTGGCCTGGAGGGCGTGGGCAAGGCGCTCTCGATCCTCCGCAAGTACTACCAGGGTGACGGGGCCGCCATGCTCCAAAGCCAGCAGCCAGCGAAACCCGTGTTCCACAGCAAGGCCGCAGGCGCAGGTGGCAGCATAATCGATATCCAGTTGCTTGCGGCAAGTCTCGCCACCGTTCCAGCCAAACATTATCGGTGGCAACTGCTCGAAACAATGATTTTCTGCGGCACGAGAGGAGGAAGAAGATGAGGAGAGGAGGAGGAGCAGGAGGAGGAGGAGGATTGTTGCGGACGAGTGGGATAAATAAGATGCTGTCGTTGGTAACGATTGCGGTGACGATAATGATGATGATGATGATGATGATGATGATGATGATGATGATGATGATGCTGATGCTGATGCTGATGCTGATGCTGATGCTGATGCTGATGCTGATGCTGATGCTGATGCTGATGATGATGATGATGATGCTGATGCTGATGCTGATGCTGATGCTGATGCTGATGCTGATGCTGATGCCGATGCCGATGCCGATGCCGATGCCGATGCTGATG